CGAGCTCGCTATTATTGTTACGAGTAAATTAGAAATTTGCCAGGGTAATGGGGATTATTAGAGGTTTGGCGTCCTTATCGGCGAGGGCTTTTAATTCTTAGATCCGCTTCTTAATCTTCTTCTAATATTATTAAACTTCCCGTCGGTATTAATTTCGTATTTCGAAGTCGATTTCTTTTTTACGGTAATTCGGGAAAGGTTAGTCCGCGGGGATAGGTTTTGCGAAGGTACAACCGTTTATAAAGCGGGTAATAAATTAATTATTATTTTTACTATTTATTCATCGTTTATTTTCTTTAATTATAAGGGCTTCGTAATATTCTAAATTTTTCTAATAGGCGGGGTTAATTAGTGTAGAGGTCGAATCCTAGATTTCGAAATATTTTAATTAATTAAGGTCCGGTTTCTATTCCGGGAGAAAGAGTAGACGCCGGTTCGTATAATCTACTTAGATATTATAAAAGTCGAGCTATTTCCGGCTAATAATAATATTATGCGCTATATTAATTATAATAAAATAGTCGGGCGGGGTAGTTCGGTTCTAGATTTTTAAAGCGGCTTTAATAACTTCTTTAATATTTTAATTCATTTTTCCTTAGTAGTCGCTAATTCCTCGGACTAGGAAGTTATTCGTAGATTCTACTAATAGTCGTTTCTTTAATTTTTTAACAAAGGCGATACTAATAAATAAGTAACCATTTATTCTTATAATAATTAAAGTATTAAATATAGATAAAAGAATTCTATTATTAATTAAGGTATATTAAATAAATAAGGGTTCTCTTCTTAAAAAACATTATAAATTAAATCCTTCTTTTCTTTTATATTTCGGTTTATCTTTTTTTATTACTCTATAACTGATACCTCCCTTAGGAAGGAGTTTAATTCATTTAGGGTAATTAATTTTTTCATTCGTTAATAATTAAAGTAGTAATTGGGGCGGTTGGGGCCGCCTATTTATTTTTATAAATTAGATGATAGTTAACGATAGTAATAATATAATTACGACATTTATAGTCGAAACGTTCTTTTTTGGGATAATTACGTTTAATATAACCCTTCTCTTTATAAAGGAAAAATTTACCCTTGTTAAATAATCGAATAGTTTTTTCGCGATTACTACCTTAATATGCGGCGCCTCCTCTATTACCTCCGCTTTTATTAATAGGTTTAGGAGTAGAGTTAAAGTCGGGCCTCTTATTGTTTCTATTAGAGTTATTATTTTTACCCAATTTAGAAACAACTTTATTTTCGTCATCGATAATTTTTAATACTTATTTAAAACCGGAGTAATCTATATAATATAATTCGAAGGAGATGAATGAGTCGCGATATTTCGCGCCTATTTCTTTCTTATATTTAATTAGAAAGCGTTGGAATAGCTCGTGCTTCTACTCGGTTTTAAAATATTAATATTCGCTAACTATCCGAATAAATTTATTTTTAAAGAAGTCGAATTTATTATTATGTTTTATTTTTAATTTGGTAAAATTCAAAAGCGTATTCTCTTCTTAATTAAAGTTATAATATTAATATTATAAATAAATTAATAAATTAAAATAGGTCTTAATTTAATCCGGGTAGGTTTCGCGTAAGTAAGGTATTGAATTATAATAAATATAATTGATTAAACGATTTTTAATATATAGAAATTTATTACAGTCGGTCGGGTAATAATTAATATTAATTTCGAATTGATTTTAGATTAAATCGTACTAGGTTTCGAAGGGAATATTATTTTCCTTATTTTGGTTATAATATTTAATAGGGTCGGTTTACTTAGTATTATAGTAGTAGGAATTGGAACGCTCTCTATTATCGGGGTCGGTTTCGGAGAGTAAGGTCGAAAAGCGGGTAGAAACCTTAAAGGGGGCTTCGTTAACATCTTTCTTAATATTAGGAAGGACCGTTTTTTTAATTCTTCCCTTATTTTTAGTTATTCCTTTGCTGATATTTAAATTAGTAATAAAGTCTTTTAATCCCTTAATTGTATCTTCCTTTTCTATAAGGGAATTTTTTAATTATTAGATTATAGCGGGAGTAGTAGTACTATAACGGTTGGCTAAAATAGGGACTTAATTATAAATAGTTTTGAATTTAACGTTTAAGTAAGAAACGAAGCGGTAAAGTTCCGATACTTGCTCCTTCTATACTATATTTATAATAGATAGGAATTTAAATTCTTAGAATATAATTTAGAGATTTCCGTAGTATAATTTAGCGAACTTTTCCTTAATTAAATAGCCGGAGAACGGGAGGGTTAAGGGGAGTAATATTTAGAAGGGGACATTAGGGACGGAGTCGTAAATGAATAATTTAGCGAATTCTTCTATCTTTTATTTTAACTCGTTAGTGACTTTATATTAAATTAAACGAGCGTCGAAGGTTTTAGTATCTTTTACCGCCGTAGTGATATATTAGTCGAATAGGTCAAAGGATAGTTCGGGTTCGTTGTCGTTATTTCCCGCGTTGGCTATTATATCGGTTAGAGCCTCGTGGTGTGATTTTAATTAATAATATTTATAATATAGGGATTTCTTACAAAGGATTATAAATTTACTACGACAATATTCTTTATTTAAATAAAAACTATTATAATGCTTCTTATTAAATCGTACGGCTTTATACGCATTATTTTTAATAATAAAGTCAATGGGTTTGCGCTTATTATTAATAACGACCTTCTTCTTAAGTTTAGGTTTTATAACTATATCCTCCTCCTTTTACTTAGGGTCGGGATTTAGAAAGTTAGAACCTCCTTTTCCGTCGCTAGTTCCGCCCTCTTCTCCAAAGAAAGTATTATTACAGTCGTCGTTATCCGAAGCTTCCTTATAACGACTATCATTATAATTATCGGTCTATTCGGTGCTTTTATAACTACTGGCGCTGTTGCGTATTTGGCGTAGTAGTACTATCGTATTTCAGTTGTTATAAATATTCGGTATTTTGAATTCTTGCGATAGATCTTTTTGGTTTCATTTCGGTTTGGGATTTAACCTTCCTAGGTAGTTGTTAATTGATTTGAAATAATATAAGGGTATAGTATGGGTGAATTGAAGGTAAAGTTAGGATTCTATTTATAATGGAAGATTTTAGATAGGGAAAAGAAAAGAGGAAGAGAATTAGGTATAAGCGTGTAAACTTTAAATAAATACCCTAATCGTATAAGCGATAGCGGGACCTATATGCGGGTTGCTATTAGCTAATCCCTTCATTCGTATCCCCTTCACTTACAGGATAAACCCCTATACGTGCCAGGGTCTACCCTATAACTAGTCTTAGTATAGCTAATTGAATAGCTTGTATTCTCCAGACCGTGCTATGCTTAGAACCTCTATATACCTCATTCCATCGCGCATGGCACCCAGGCCCAGACCTAGTCTGCCAGCGCCGTCACAAGTAGTAAATTTTTTAATAAAATTAAAGGTATATAAAGTATTATTTATAAATGGATTTAAAGTTTATAAGGATTTATATATTCTATAGTACTATAAGGCCATCAATATTATACTTTATATTTTACCCTTATGTATCAATTATATATTTTAATTACTTAATATAGGAGTTTATTAAATAATTAAGAAGGTTTGATAAAAGGCTTTAATAAACGAAATTACTAGTAGGGCTATTAATATTAACTATATAATCTTTTTAAATAATTAGAAGAATATTAAGGAAGCGGGCTTTATTCAAAATAATATTTATAAAGGATAGGAAAAGATTAGTCTTTAGCCTTTTAAACCTGGCGTCCTTCTTAATAAACTTCGTAAGGCTGTAAAAATATAATAAGAACCCTTATTCTTTAAACGTTTTAAAACTATTATACTACGTAAAATCCTTTATACCCTTAATTCACTAGTTATATAGAGACGGATTAAGGAGGTTAATTTACTGTTTAAAACGTAAGCTAGTAATATAAAGGTTACTGTAAAAGTTTCTATTAATATATAAAAATTAGTATTTAACTAATAGGAGAATTAGAAGCGCCGTATTAAAGTAGAAGCTTAGAAATAAAACCCTTATAAATATATTTCTATTAGCGATAGCGTTTATATGAAAGAAGTATTTAATACTAAAGTTATAATAAAAAAGGTAATTAATATAAAAGAAAAATTAAAGGAAATATAGCGAACTAACCTTATTTTTATTAAAAAGGTCGCCCTCGAGGAAAATCCTAATTTTAAATAGTAGCTACTACGAAAGTCAAAAGCTAAGAAGAAAACTATATTTAAATTTAATAAGGATAGTATTCCTAACGTTAATAGCTTCGTTAGTATTATTATAGACTACTTAGAATACAATTTAATATTTAAATAAAAGGAAGGTTAGGACGAAGCCGTTATTAATAACGACCGCCGTAGGTTTATAGTTCGTATTTAGAATCCTATTTATTTATATTATATATTAGAAATAAAAGTATAGAAGGCTACCTAACTAATAGAATAGGACTTTAATGCTTTCTTAACTAATTTTGAAAACGAAGAGGATAAATTTTATAAGGCTATAAGGAAGGCTACCCTTCTTAATTATAATGAAAACTTTATACCTTTTAAAATATATAGTAAGAAGCAGGCTAGAAAAATTCGTAGAGGGAACACTTTATTAATTGAATTTATTTTAGATAATAGGGGTATAAAGGATATACTTAATAAATTCCCTATTATATTATAGTATATTTATTTAGCTAAGCTAAAGTTAAGATTCCCCTTAACGCTATACCTTCCTAAGAAGAAATCTAAGAAGGGGAAGGAGAGGGCTATCAATATAGATTCTAACGAAGAGGCTATAGCGATTATAATGGTAGCTAGTAAAAAGCTAGAGGTGCCCGTACGCCGTATAAGGGTAATAATTACTATAAACGACGATTTTAGCGATAATAGGAATTTATAAGAGGAGGAGGAGGAAGAGGAGGAATTAGATATTGTATTATAAAAGTCTAGCGTACGGGCTATAAGGCCTTTACGATACTATAACAATACATTATAATATTTTAAAAATAATTCACTTATATTATTGAATATACGTAATTGAAACGAATAATTTGAATCCTTTGCTATCTTTTTTGCTTGTGTTTTGGTAGAGAAATGAATTGTTGAAGATTCTGGCCGTTACAGACCTTGCACGTTACATGTAAAAAATCCGACTCTCAAAGGGACGATGAGAGTCGGTTGGCTAGCTGTAAGCGAGACCCCCAGAGGGTGGACTCCATACCTAACCGACGAGTATCCCCGGTGCTATACCTATTTGAGTGAAATCAAATCGGGTGAGAATTACCGGTAACATTCACATCAATACACTACAACGGAGCCCGGCGATTTAAGAACTCACCTTCGCCTGGCTCACGTCAGGATAGATATCAAACCTCCGCTGATCCCTTAGAGGAATGCCCGACCTCGCCTCCTCGATCTTTGTCCCGTCAAGCTCGGCACTCACAATCGTCTCGCCCTCCTCCGCCTCTACCAATACTTGGGCCATGGGGTCGACGATCAGGCTGTGACCATACGCATGGTAACCCGCGCTCATATCCCTCGCCGGACTGCATAGGGCCACGTAGATTTGGTTGTCCATGGCCCTCGCCTGTCCCTGCAGCCGCCAATGCAGCGGACCTGTTGTGGTGTTGAACGCGCCCGGATAAATGAGAGCAAAGCAACCCTTCCGGGCAGCAATCATGGCCAGCTCCGGGAACCGGATATCATAGCAAATGGCCACGGCGATACGGCCGTAGTCGGGCAGATCCACCAGTGTCACGCTGTTACCGGGCGACAGCACATCGCTCTCCTTAAACTTGATCTTGCCCGGAATGTCGATATCAAACAGGTGCACCTTACGATGCAACGCAAGCAACTTGCCGTCGGGGCCGAAGATCAAGCTGGTGTTGTAGTACGTCTTCTTGTCCTCCGTACCCTCCTCGATGGCGAGCTCGGGAATCGATCCGCCCACCAGGTAGATGCCGTTGTCGCGCGCCATGGCGGAGAGCGCGTGGAAGGACGGGCTTTGCTCGGCAGTCGGAGGCGAAGGGAGGAGCTGCTCGGCGTACGAGGGGAAGAAGTCGCAGCCGTAGGGGGAGTTGAAGCATTCGGGGAGAACGACAATTTTGGCGCCGCCCGAAGCGGCCTCACGCACCTTGTCGGCGGCATGCGAGAGGTTGGCGGACTTGTCGGCGCCGCTGGCAAGCTGGATGCAAGCTAGCTTGACGGGCTTCTTGAGGAGGATCGGGTGCTTGGTAGAGGAAGCCATCTTGCGGATTTGAGAATGAAGGAGTAGACGGGTGGTTGTGGGGAGGGCGGAAAATGGCCGGTGGTGGTAAGTCGAGCTTTTCGGTCGGGTGAAGCTTGCGATAAGGGAGTTGGTGAAGATTCGTAGGGTGCGCGAAGTGGCTGTTCGCATTATGGTTTGCGAATTGCAGTGCTGATGGGAGCAGGAAAGGATGAAAGGAGGAAGGAGTGGAGGGGTTCCGCGATGTCGGCGCTCCGTGCGGGAGCTTCCAGACGGAAGCTGCCTTCTAGATGACCCACCGAAGCCGAACGGCAGTGACCCCGCGCCGACTGTGGTGGGGGCGGGTGGGGGCTTGAGGTTTACGTAAGTTCTTTCCACTCCAAACTGAGCCACATGAAGAGCGAGCCTCCTTTGGGGAGGGGTGTATTTAGTGGGCAACCGCCACACATTGGTACATGGGTACTTCCCACTTACACCGAGCTCACTTTCCATATTCGGACTCGATGTTCAAGCTGCGGAAGGAACGTACACCACCACATACCATAGGCCACGATCGCAGCTTCCTCGCCCAAGTTAACATGAAGCTAACGGTGAGATCCCTCAGCCCGGATCGTCTCCTCAAATTCTTCCACTCTTTCCGAACTCTCTCCTTGTCATCACGTCGAGTGCATTATTCAAACAACACCACGCTCACAGCATCGATACCGGCTCGACAATTTTCCTACTCAACTTTCGAAGCTTTTATCATTCACCTCAGCTCTTCAGTCGGCCTTAATGGGCCCTTTTTGAGCCATCCACATTTCCAAATATCTTTATCATTTTCGACAACTTCCGAGCCCAATGGAGTACTCTTCTTCCGGGTCACGGCCATGCGAGCAGTTACTTCTTTCCAGAAGACTCTCCAAGTTCTTCAAAATGAACTGGACCGAGGGGACCTTATACCGCCATAGCCGCGGGAAGTTGCGGAAAGCCAACGCAGAAAAGCAACGCCAGAAGGAGTACTTCGCAAAAGCTCACCTTCGAGCAGCTGAGCAAAGAGAGGCTATGAAGAACGGCCCTCCTCCCATCTCATACCTTCAGTCAAGCACGGCTCTACCAGAACCCCCTCCTGATACATTTCCCCCCGAGCAAAGCTCTTCCCACGGCGCCTCTCATCGGCGAGGGAGATGGGGTGCGAGTGTACCAACAGCAGAGGATCCTGCAAAATCCGAGCATCTCTTACCAACAGTCGATCAGTTCTTGAAGGAGCAAGTTGGCAAGGCTACTGCTACAGACACAGCGCCTTCTCGGTCGCGCACCAACACCAAAGAGGTAGAGAGGTTGAGACAGAGGCTTCTTGCGAGCAAAGACTGGGGTGCAAGCCGAATTCGGTCCCCTGTTCAAGTCAACAAACGACCTCGCCTTGTGCCAGAGCAGGTAGGCCCAACTCAACCTACGAAAGCAACGAAAGAAAAGCCGGCGCATATTCTCCAGAGCAATCGGGGCCTGTACCCTCAAAAGCACACGTCACGTTTGCGTTCTCTTCGCCGGGCGGATGTGCAAATCCGCGTTGGAAGTCAAGAAAAGCAGCTTAAAGAAAGCTCAACCATTGGCAGCGAAAGCTTGGCACATCCAAAGCAAAATGCTCCAACTGAAAAGAGTCGGCATTTCATGAGAAGTTCGAGTGGTATGTAGTTGCCCAGAACAAGATGACTTCTATATACTGATTTCGTTTACTAGACTGTGAACCCGGAGATATGCCACCCCGCAAGCGAGTCCGAAGACAACCTTCCTCAGATGCCGAAGATTATCCCTCTAGACAGGCAACCTCACGACATACAGACAGCGATGATACACATCATATTGTGACATCGGTACCGAGCATTTTTCATCCAGTTCCTCTGCGAGCAATATCAGGTCATTTATTGCTCTCTTCGGGGACATTGGATTCCGCAAATATTGCCAGCCATGTTGCTCAGGTTGGACGAACAATATCCCCTGTCCCGCCCTCACAGAAAGCAGAAAACTCGATCTGGAAGGCCTGGTTGGAGGAGTCTAGCAGTGCTCCTGGTGCACAAACAAACCCTGAACCACATGAGCCGGTGGCACAGCCCAGAATCAGTCCTGGAGTAAGCGAAAGACACGAAGTAAGGTACGAGGAGTATTCACCACCAGCTCAAGCACTCCGTGCCTGCGAGAATGACATTACTCTGCCTGAAGCTCCGCTTTCCAATGCAGACGCACATTCGAGTGTGCTTGGCCAATATGACAGACCAGTCGACAAGATTGGACACTCGACACCATCTCCAAACCAGAGAAGGCTGTCGGTATTGCTCGAAACATCGTCAAATGATGTCAAAAAGACAATGAATAATGGATACTGGCATATACCTGCTGTCTCCAACCAACCAGTCTCGGCCCCATGCGAACCCACGAGAGGAGTACATCAAGGTGACCCTATTGATGTTTGGAAGACATTCGTGTTTGGGGACGATGATAGTGAAGAGGTCGAGCGAGACGCATTCAGTGAAGCAAGACATGATGCAGCTCAAAAAATACGGCCATACGATGAAAACAGCCTTCCATCCATCGGAGACGAGGATCATTCTGGGCACGACAGCAACATTGCAATGGCTGGAACGTCTTCTTCTGCCAACGTCGAGCTGTCAAAGTCTTATGGGAGAGACTTTGCCATTGAAGACTCAATCCAAAGCCAGAGAAAGATCAATGAGCCAGGATCGACGAGTTCTCAGCCTACCTCAGCCTCCCCGGAGGAGCGTGTTCTTAATCCTCGATATACGCCACTTGCGAATAGTCATAGTAGTGTTGCCGTGGAGCCTCTTTGTGTTGACACAAGTCCCATCAGTAACGAGCCTGAGACAACCGAGAACATGACGATCGCCATGTCAGATGCGCCGGGCGAATCGACCTCGGTAGCGGCTTCGGTAACCACATCTACAGACGCGTCTCTGGTAGTTGAACCAGCGCAGTCCCGATTCGGGGCCCCGGACTCGGGGGAACAGTTTCGATTTGCGCCGCCGAGACCATTTGGGGGTAAACACTCTATCCCATCACGCAATGACCGTCCTTCGGCAGCCATTGCCCCGGTCACTCTTAAACGGAAAAGGGGTAGACCGAGAAAACGGGCCCGTGACGGGAGAGCGGATATACGGGCACTACCTAACTACAGCGGCGACCCTATTGAGGAGATTGAAGATGAGGTTGATGCTCCGCCGCCATCCTTGTTTGGCTCTCTGGACGTTTGTTATGATCAGTAATGGTATTTGTTGTAATCAAACACCATATCTGAAACTATCCTCGCCAAGTGATAGCATGTACAGAGTCCAGGTTCCTAAATATTTTTGGTTTCATGTATCTTCCGGCTTTTCTGTGTTGTTCTTGTCACAAAAAAAATATCCTGTAACCTCTCTTCGCTGTTTTACATGTTCTTCTTTAGTGGATTGAAGCCCAAGAGGTCAGTCACATGGTAGTGTTGCTCGGTACTTAGAATACTGAGCCTGTACAATACTAGATCATTGAGTGACACATGAACGAGCATATGTAATTGATGTCTCGGAGAAGTTTTGCCGTTTTCGTGAGACAAGATCCCTGGAACTAGCCGAAGGTTTGTGCTTCGGGACAGAAAAGGCAAGCATTCCCTCTACACACAGTAGCTCGTGGTTCCATGTCGGATCCGTGAGCTAGCAAAGGATGCCTCAAGGGTAAGGTAAGTATTGAACATGCAGTCTTTAGGCTGTGGCTTCACAGACCTCTGATCAGGAACAGCAATGTTGAACATTTCTCTTCTGCCGTTTCGGAACGACTCCGAGTGTCCAAGACCTGTTTTTAATGCCATGAGATCAAGATTGACACTAGACGTGCCTCCTAAAAACCTGGACGCTCGGTTTCGGTCGAGTTACACGGGTAATGTGTCTCAGGCGAGACTGTGTACATACGGAATCAGTGAGCCTGTACCTGCATTTCGAAGTTGAGGTCACAACCATACAGGATGGGATTGTTTGCTGGTTGGAGGAAATTCCATCCGGCCAATCTGTTTAACCCAGACCAGATGTGACTTCCGCGTGAAAGCAAGGGTTTTCGACGAACGAGGGTAATGACTGTCTTGGCCTTGCGAATTTTGGCCTTTTTAGGATCTTCGCTCGAGGCATCCGCAATCTCGGTTCATGGTTTCGTGTCTTGTTGAGGCTGGACTATGAACCCGGGCTATGCGTGAAGATGCAACGCCGGAGGGAAGACCGGGAAAGGGTTGTCATTCCGATATGACTGACATTAGGCTGGCTCGCTAGGTCCGAAATGCTCGTTGTTGAAAATCGTTTGCAACAAGCGACACAGTAAACACAGGAAGATCGGAATGTAGAGACCAGGGACCGGTCACGGCAAGGTGAGAGAGCCATGCCCATACGAACGTATCCGGCATCGTGTAAGACGAGAACGGACCGAGTTTCCCCAAAAGGTTCCAGAGCAAAAACTAGTCGACTAGTCACTGCTAGCAGGCCCCCCAGGGCCGACTCCATGGGTTCCAGATGAAGTTCGGTGCAGGTCCAGCTCGTGGATGTTTTTGCTCCACAGTTGGGTCGAATGGGTTTGTGACTTTGTGATAGAAACGCATGTGTTGGGTTTTGGCACTTTTTGGAACATCACATCAGCCCGGTCATTTTCAGAGCGGAGTTCAAGTGGGAAAAGAAGTGAATCAAGCCGGCCCGTCTCTGTCACAGTGACTTTGACGGACTGGACGCGAACCATACAATCAATCCAAGCTGAGGTTGGTGACAAAAGGTCTTTTTTTTTTGCTGAGGCATTTTAACATGGAGTTGGGTTTCGTTGTAAAGGAAAACGGACAAGAAGCGGTCTGAAAGACCATTATTATTTGTAACATATTTCGTATTTCTGGCCATCGTAATTGGAGCGAGCGGAAGGAGGAGGCTTGCAATGGATGGCAAAGCAGAAAAAGCCAACAACAAAACGACAACAAAAGCATATGATTTGACGTCTCGTCTATTTCCGTCCCGTCCTTTGGGAACGTGGTTTTCTTGGCCCTTGCCAGCAAGAAAACGAGGTGACGCTACCGACGGAGGTAAAAACAAAAAAAGGGGGAGGCTGCAACCACCGACACCAGGGGCACCACCAGCCAGGAACCACACTTGACATCCTTACGGGAAGACGGGATCTCGGGAAAGGCCGGGGTTCATGGGGAGCAGTGATCTGAATGCGGGGAGGAGCCGAGAAAAATGCGGGTTGCGCAAAGGACATGGCAGACTCTGGGGAAGAATGGAAAAAGGCGTGGATGTGTTCGCCAAGCCCAAGGGAACACCATATGCAGGGGTTCACGGAAAAGAAAAGGCGTGGTGGAACTTTGGCTAACATGTTTCGCGATGATCTACCGCCAATTCCGTTAGTGGATCTTTTATTTTTTTCCTCAAACTTCTCCACTCCCCAGGGCAATTGTAAGCACACACGATAACAGCCTACGATGTGTTATTCACGGGACCCCAACAATCTTCCAGGAAGAGAATTCAAGCCATATGAAAGAGACTGGAAGAACACGGTACGACAAGACGTTGAAAGAAAAAGTCGACGGCTCAACGAAAAGCTTCAAGTTAAGCGACCAATGAGAAGATGGCGATAAGATCAAGGTTAAGTGTGGTGTTCGCGGCACGACCTGAGCCAAAGAGCGAATCGGCTGTGATAGCCACATCGATGCCGTGGGAATTGGGCGATTCAATTGAATTATTCTTACCTACAAAACTGCAAGGATCCAAGGATGTCCCCTGGACCCGCCGAGAACGGACCGTCGGGTTGGGCGTGTCGTGGAGGTTCGTGGAAGTCGTGGGACGGATCCGTACCTGACGCTCGCCTGTTGCCCTGCCTGGCGGCTGCACCGATGCTGCACCGATGGTGCTCTGTGTGCACGGTTTGCAGGTCCGGCTTGTTCTGGGCCTTGCAGCTGAAGGGTTGCGCTGAGGTTGCGCTGAGATGATACCATCGGCAAATGTAGCCTGATACTGAGCAACGGATATGCAGTGCAAGGGCAAGACGTTTTCCGAGTTTCATGCTGCTTTTGTTGGGGGTCCCACTTCTTCTTCTGCCTTTCCTGACTTTTGACTTGATTCCCCATTGGTGACGGGTTTGAGTCTGAAGAGTCTGGGAAACTGGGACGTTGAATGCCGCAAGTTAAGACTTTGAAGGCGGCAAGACGGACAAGCTTCGCCGTCTCGAACCAGGTACCTACAGCGTACCTGGAGCACAACCTGTACGATATGTTGCGAGGTTATATCCATCCAGGGCTGGCGTTTTGCTGAGAGCAATATCGATAACGACGACGACGACGACGACGACGACGCCGACCGAGATTCCACAAGGAAAAAATTCTGGACACCACGCGTCTGACTTGGAGCGCTTGTACACAGTGTGTACAATAAGCGGAACCAACGTTGCTGGATAGAACTGAATCCTCAGCCGCCGGTTTACCGTGCACTCAGTGCCAGTCAGCCGTCTTCTATGTCTCTTTATCAAGAATCCGTGCTCGACACGAGTCCGTGCGAGGGAATACATTATAGGAACAAGGGAAGTGACCATACAGTTCCAATTTTGGGTGGATGTAGGTAGAAATGACCGGATGATGTCAACAAACAAAGAATACGGTCTTGGCAGGGGCTGGGTTTGAAGGTCATGTTTCTCTCAGTCCTACCAATGTGAAGTTGAGAGAAGATGGGTTGGAAGTTCTTGAAACCTTCCACAGGACGAAGGGTCTCTGAGGTCGGGTCTGGGGCTATGTTAAAATGCCACGGCAGAACGCTCATCCCCGGATCCAGGGATTTGGAGCGGTTCAGTTACACGGTCATATGTCAATTTTCAACACCAACAACACTTCAAAGTTCAAAATGCCCCTGGCAACCCGCAGGCACAAGAGGGGCCCACGGCCGCTCCTCCTGCCCCTCTTTCAATGGAACTGACAATCGCGGCTCGATTCCTGTTCAACCTGGAAGGTATCCGCCCACCTTATCCGCCAGTGTTTCCGCCTGACAGAGAGAGGAGCCTTCCCGGGCCGAAGAGTCATAGGCGGGGCCGACGGTGGACTACCGGTGGAATGCAGTACGGTCACGATACCTGAAGCGATTTCTTGAATGGCCTGAAAACAGGAACGCTCATTGATGGGGGAGATAGGGATGGATAACCGCCAGCGGAGCGCCAGGGACGCCAGGCATCATCACTGTTGCGTGAGGAAGATCCTTGACCAAAGATCCATCCAAATGACTCGACAGATCGGCCCCCTGTTGGGCGAGGTTGGAAGCCTTTTTGGGATGCACTTCCCGCTCCATCGCTCCAGCCACTTCAGTGACGATGAGGGTGTATGCCCTCAATGTCGAATTTGGTGTGGCGTCGTGCCCTGCTTGTGAGTTGTGATGCTGTGGAACATTCAGCCCGAGTCGCTGACACTCCACCCCACGCTTCCACAGTCCACACACCCTTGAAACCCGTTTTGGACGTGACCACCACACTTTGCTTTTCAGCCGCGTGGACGGGTATCAATAAAGGCTCTCGGTTGTGCGTGTGATTGGTATCAAACGGAAACCACAAACCATGGACTCGAGTTTGAAAGGAATATCTCATATGAACATGAAATGAAAAGGCCTCAAACGCTGTCTCAGGTAAAGACAAGACATAGAAGCAGCTAAGGTGACCACAAAACGCGGGGTTTACCTATACCTCCCTTCCTTTACGTATAACCCCCGAGGTAATGACGATCTTGTAAAGTGGAAAAGTTACATGTGAGCCGAAACCATCGGTACAGGAATTACCCCTGAAAATGCATGTAATCCCGGACGGCACTTTGTATGCATTTAGAGGGCTCATGCATTTACAGTTCCATGCCAAGACTTTCTACCCGCCCTAGCATAGGAATTTTGGGGAACTTTAGAGGGTTGGCATCGCTGTCAGGCCCTAAAAGGTACCTAAAAAAGGACGCCAATAAATGCATATACACCAATTTAGCCAGCAATCTAGTATGCAAATAGCAGTTATGCAAATTCCCATACTAAATAATTGCGGACGGCCAGCTGTAAGCATTTAGAGGGTGTTATGCACTTTCAGGTGCATGCACTGTCAGGGGTAGTTCCTGTAGTTTCTCCTTTACCCTCAGATCCCCGATTGCAAGGGACTTCAACACCTCGGTGGCAAATTCCCCGCAAGCCGTCGACGACCTTGAATTTTTCAAACAGGAAGCCATCGTCACTTCAAGGCATTCCGCAACGACGGCGGGGAACTCAATTCAAGCAGAGAGGGTGGCTCTGATGTAAAACAACATGAAGGCTGCCAAACTCTACCGAGCCACCGCCTTCAACTCGTCCAATCCGAGTTGGAGATCTGTTGCCAAACGCCAAAAAGGGAAATGCTAGATGACATGTACGGACGAACGGGTGGACACTGGAACAACGGGCAGATGCCAGATGCACATCGAGACGCAAAGACGGTCACGACACTACACTACCGAACAGTGAAACTCGGACGAGATGAGGATGAGTCCCCAGTTCTCTACGTAATGGGGGAAGAACTTGGAACATCTCTTTTGGTTCCGTCGATCACGAACATTTCCATGTCTTTGTTGAGCCCCGACCTGTGGAAGCGGTAAATGTGCCAAACGTGCCCACTGTTTTCTAGAGTGCAGTGCCCCGACTGAAATAGAACACAGAAGGGCAACAGCGAAGAACACACCCGGGCAGGGGAACACTGGTCTGCAGGTACCTAGTGCACAACAACAGCGACTCGGTCTAGAATTCCCGTCTGCATGAATCGCCAAAGCAAAGAACCACGTCGGAGACTACGTATCAAGAGGTCACCAACGAACACCGTGACGATGTTTAGTTAAACCGATGCCTTATCGTCTCGTAAAAAAGGGGCAGTAAAGACGAACCGATGGATGGTAAGACTGTTCCTGGACGACCGAGCGAGTAGCTAGGTACCTACGTATCTCCAACAAGTAGGACTGTCGTCGTTACCTCACGATGTACATGTGCTGGAGAGGAGTATACTTTTCTCGACGTAGCAGGAATCCGGCCCTCGCCTCGCCCCCGCCTTGTCTCCTGCCTTCTCCATCCCACTGGCGACCCGGCTCCAGGGCTGTTGGCCGTGACCAGTAGGCTCGACGAGGGTAATTCCCGACTCCCCACTCTCGTTTGGGCGGACCGTCAAGATGACAATGCGCGGAGTCGTGGGAAGTCTCTTGTGTGTCAGTGAGCACCCACGGCGCCGCACACAGCATGCACACAGGCATTTCTCGATTCTCGGGGGAGTGTCGCTATTTTTTCTTAGCCAGCAATCCCTGTTTTCGGTATCTGTTTTCCTTGGGTGCCGCTTCTTATCTCTGGATCCAAGGCCAGAAAAGTTTCTTTGACTTGATGCACGGTATACATGGGCGTCCGTACCGCACGTACCCTGCTCCGTATCTCGAGTACCTCATCGCATCCCTAGATGTATCTTTGCCTGCGACAACGGTGAGGTAGGCCTGGCGACAGAAGCAAAGAATATAAAAAGCCTCAGACCCCGCCGACACTGCAGCCCGTATCTATTGTCTCTTCTCTCTATCAAAATCATATCTCTGGCGCTAGGATACCCCATTGCACCAGCCCTTTAAATTGCAACACGTCCTCTTTGCTTTGGTTTCCCGAACAACACCCCGAATTCTTCTTGTCCATACGTAATATCCTTCCCATCTTCACATACACACACACACACACAACCGCAGAAATGGTGAGTCCCCCAACCCTCTGTGCCGTACGCCTATGGAGGTCGTTGGTACACCTACATGGTGGAACTTGGTCACTGACCGCATCCGGACTACAGGCGTCAGAAACAACATTCCTCTCCAACGCGGAGAACCTCAAGAAGTTCATGCGTCTTCCCCAGAACGGCCAGCTTATTGCCGAGTACATCTGGATCGACAGCGAAGGCGGCACCAGGTCAAAGTCGAGGGTGAGTTTCTTTCTCGTCTATTTTCCTTTTTTGCGCATTGTTTCACGACTTGTTCCATGGACCCTTTTGTCCGTCGTCACTCTCGGCGCATCCTCGAATCCACCATACCATCAGCCAATCGACGGGCTCCCCGATTTGCCCTCTGTCCTCTCCGAGTGCACGACCCAAGCAGCCAACCACGACGGCGGAGAGTGCGACGATCCCGAGCCCTTTCCTCACATTCCCACGCTTTTCACGTCCCGCAAAACCGGTTTCAGCTCGCTGTGGCGTGGTGTTGGACTCTGCACCAGCCTCGGGTGCATTGGCTTCTGGGCGCCGTGCATGGCCTTGGCCTTTTCCTTGTGGCGCAGTCATGCGAGAAGCGTGACAGTATGACACGGCTCATCTGGTCCCGGTTCTCTATGGCTATGCGACTTGGAGAGGTTCCGGCACCCTCTCGGTTACCCACGGGCTGCCCGGCGGACCCATTACAGCCCGGATTTCGATGCATAACGATCATGGATGCGGTGATGCGGATGCGCCGAATGAGTGACGACCTGAAAACAAAGCGGGCAATTTGCTTTAGACATGGCGCATGACATGACGCTAACTCGCACCTGTTCTAGACTCTTCCCGAGAAGGAGGCCCAATATCAGCCTGATGAGCTTCCCATCTGGAACTTCGATGGTTCCTCGACTGGCCAGGCCCCTGGCGATAACTCCGATGTCTACCTCAAGGTAAGATACAAACCACAACACTCGACTCTGACAAGCCATGGCGCTAACAATGACTTCCTCCACAGCCCGTAGCCGTCTTCCCTGACCCGTTCCGTGGTGCCCCCAACATTCTCGTCCTCTCCGAGTGCTGGAACGCCGATGGCACTCCCAACAAGTTCAACCACAGACATGAAGCCGCCAAGTTGATGGAGGCTCATGCCGACCAGGTGCCCTGGTTCGGTCTCGAGCAGGAGTACACTCTCCTCGACCTCAACGACAGGCCCTACGGCTGGCCCAAGAACGGTTTCCCCGCTCCCCAGGGCCCCTACTACTGCGGTGTCGGCGCTGGCAAGGTTGTCCAGCGTGACATCGTCGAGGCCCACTACAAGTGCTGCTTGTACGCCGGCGTTAAGATCTCTGGCACCAACGCCGAGGTCATGCCCGCCCAGTGGGAGTTCCAGGTCGGCCCTTGCGACGGCATTGAGATGGGTGACCACCTCTGGCTCGCTCGTTTCCTCCTCCACCGTGTGTCTGAGGAGTTCGGTGCCAAGGTCTCCTTCGACCCCAAGCCCATTCCCGGTGACTGGAACGGCGCCGGCCTCCACACCAACTTCTCTACCGAGAACATGCGCAAGGAGGGTGGCATGAAGTACATCGAGGATGCCATCAAGAAGCTCGAGGCCCGTCACAAGGAGCACATTGCCGTTTACGGCGAGGGCAACGACAAGCGTCTTACCGGCCGTCACGAGACCGGCTCTATCGACTCCTTCACATACGGCGTCGCCAACCGCGGTGCCTCTATTCGTATTCCTAGGGAATGCGGCGCCAAGGGCTACGGTTACTTCGAGGACCGTCGCCCTGCGTCCAACGCCGACCCTTACCAGATTACGGGTATCATGATGGAGACTTGCTTTGGCGCTGTTTCGGAGTAAAAAAAAATTGGGAACGAGTTTTGGGTTTGGCTTTCGGGGTTTCTTTCAGGCATAACTTGATTTCAGAGGAGCGTTCGGGAACACCAACTGCGTGTTACATAGATCATTGAGCTTTTTCACATCCTACTGTGGTGACCACAGTACTAATACCCCGGCATATTGAATGAACGGTAACTTGGATCGATTGTTTATCGTCCACACTCAACTTCGGCTCCTTCAGCCCTACAGAACCCCAGACTTTGCAAAGTGTTCTTACCCTATTCTCTGCCCCTGTCCTTGTATGTTTACATCGCGGGGGGTTACATCCACACAGTGTCCCATGGTTATCCTCAGCCTTGAGTCTTGGCATGGTGTTTTCCTTCGAGCCGGTATCCGTAGACATGACCATGATAGCCATCCGCCACACAGGTACGTGAGCCGGAAATCATCCGCCTTGTCAATGACACAGGGCTCGGCATACTCCATCAGTTGGCCTAGTTTAAGTCCGGGTGGATATAGGGATCCATACTTGACGTTATTCCAGACTTGAAGGCATTCAGACCTTGTTGGGAGAGCGATTGTCCAGATCGATCATCAACCAAACGATCACTCGTTTACAATGACGTATGTCTGGTCAAAGGGTCTTGGCGAATGGTCCACCACCGAGAGGATCACGATGATCAACTTGACATCACTTTACGTGATATTCAATAGTCCATGCAAGCCTTCAGTTTGGTTACATCGCAGCCTTGGGCACACGAAAGATCGGTTACCGTGTACTCAAAGGTAGGTTCCGCTCGGTCGAACATTTGTGGATTTTGGATAATGTTACTAACAGACGAGGAGTTGTATAGAGGTCTGTTTACGTTATCAACCTCGATATTTCCTAGCAACACTCTTCCTCACCTACGTCTGGCCTACGTCGAACTCACTCGTCTCTGTTGAGCCAAGCTTATTCACGGTAAACACGGCTCTGGGCCATTTGTCCTGGGATCTCGTGTTAGATGCACGCTTCATTTACCCGGGAGAAGCCAAGGCCCATGAGGAGGTGCGGAGAGCCGAATACCAAACCTCCCGTAAGAAGCTTGTCGGCGATGCTAACCTCCGGTACGGCTAAATGAGCGAACCTCGCGGTCGGGTCAAGCCTCCGGTCTCCCAGGCTTCAACAATGGAGAGGGGAAATGGTAGTATGTGATCGGTCACCAACGCTTGATGAGATTTTATTAAGGTACGAGCGGGTAAATAATATGGCAAGATCTCCATGACATGGTTCCGTTCCCACGGTACCGGTCAACCTCAGAAGACATAAGAAGCCGTGATGTGTCTTGCCCACGCATCCAGTCTACACACTTGACAGAAGGCGACTGAACCCGTTCACTTCTGATTCGGGTGGTTGTTCGTTCTCCTTTCCTTTCTTCCGCCCTCCCCAACATCACGACAACCATCAAACTCGCAGACATTCGCGATGCGGCTCCCTTTCCCAACGCTTGCAGCTCTTCTTCCCATCCTTACCCCTCTCGCCACCGCCCAACTTCACCACTATGCCACCCTAGCCGGACTCAAGTACTTTGGTGCAGCAACCGACACCCCCGGCCAGCGCGAGCGCGCCGGCTACGAGGCCTCGTACGCTCAATACGACGCCATCTTCTCTGACCCTTCCGAGTTCGGGCAAACAACGCTCACCAACGGGCAGAAATGGCTCTTCACCGAGCCCTCCCCAGGCGTCTTCAACTTGACCGAGGGCGACATCGTCACGTCTCTGGCCGCCAAAACCGGCAAGCTCCTGCGCTGCCACGCGCTCGTCTGGCACAGCCAGCTTGCGCCCTGGGTGGAAGCCAAGAACGAGACCGAGTGGACCAAAGAAGAGCTGAGCGCGGTCATCGTCCGGCACATCAGGGGAGTCATGGGCCATTACAAGGGCAAGTGCTACGCTTGGGATGTGGTCAACGAGGCCCTGAATGACGAGGACGGCGGCTATAGGCAGAGCATCTTCTACAAGGTTTTGGGCGAGGAGTACCTCCGTCTTGCGTTCGCGACGGCCGCTGAAGTTGATCCGGCCGCGAAGCTTTACTACAACGATTACGGAATCGAGAGGCTCGCGTCTGTCAAGACGGAGGACGCGAGAAGGCTGGTGAAAATGCTCCGCGATGCCGGTCTGCGCGTTGATGGCGTGGGGATGCAGGCGCACATGCACGCGGATAATCACCCGACGGCGGAGGACCTGGAGGAGACGATGAGGGGGTATGTGAAAGCCGGAGTGCAGGAGGTGGCGTTCACGGAGCTGGATGTGAGGATCACGATTCCGGTGAATGAGACTAGTCTGGAGTGGCAGAAGGATGGATATCAAAAGGTGGCGAGGGCGTGTGTGAAGGTTAAGGAGTGCGTGGGGATCACGCTTTGGGACTTTTATGACCCGTTTAGCTGGATTCCGTATACGTTTCCGGGAAAGGGAGCGGGGCTGTTATGGTTTGAGGACTTTGGTAGGCATCCGGCGTATCAGGGGATCATTGATACGTTTAAGGAGCTGATTAAGGATAAGACGGGCAAGTGTGGGAGGAGGTTGTCGAGGGTAAGGAGGGCTACGCTGCCTCGGGGGCGTGCCTGAAGGCAGGGTCTAGTCGCTTTGTGGCAGACGTTGCGGAAATATGTCTACACATGTATCGGAGTATATAAGGAACATCTCCTGCCCCAAGCAGATGTCCGGTCTGTTGCTGGTTTCCTGCCCCTGGGAATATTTGGCCGGTATCGAGCCACGAACCTTCAACAAAGCCCGATTAGCTCAGCTGGTTAGAGCGTCGTACTAATATCAGTCCTCTGATATCAAGTAATGCGAAGGTCAACAGTTCAATCCTGTTATTGGGCATTATACTTCAAAGTATCCTTTTTTTTTTCGCTTTCAAGGATGAAGCCTGTCGTGATATTTTCGCGCTTTTTTTTCGTTCGCCGCCCCAGTGCAAGGGCACACGAGAACAGCTATTCCAAGCGCCACTAACAATAACAGGTCCGATGGTGTAGTTGGTTATCACGTCAGTCTAACACACTGAAGGTCCCCAGATCGAGCCTGGGTCGGATCAAATGTTTAACTTTTTTGTCTTTTTTTCCGTCTTATCCTGTCAACAGGACAGACACATTCCACTTTTGTTTTCTTTCTTTTGTTATTTCGTCCAATTCCCGGAGTCTATGTGTCCCTTTTCTGATGTGCTCTCAATGCCTGGTCTTGGTCTCGACTACTTTGAGTGGCACTGTCGCTGTTCAGCCATCTCATCCCGATTCTACCGCGTCTTCTCTGCCACGGAGATTGAGATGTGAATGACATGCCTCTAGCCGATCTCGCTCTCTCACCTTTTCACAAAAATCAAAAGAGCTTTCTGCAGCTTGCACTGCCCGTTGGCTGTCTAATAGTTTGTTAGGCTCCTGGCAGGAGGAGTGTTATTCGAGCCTGACACTGACAGCTCTATCGCTTTCTACCCGAATCTTCCCTTTCTCAGGTTCAGAACATAGTTAAGACTGCGTTTGTTCTGGTACGGTTTTCGTACAAAAGGCCTCATATGACCTTTTTTATACTCAAAAAGGCGGCCAATTCACTAACTGTCCTGAGTTGAGTTGTAACTCGCCTTGGGGGTCTCGAATTGAGTTTAGTTGGGTTGAGTTGAGTCGAGTCGGTTGAGTAAGTTGAGTTATTCCAAGCGCTGTACGAAAACCGTACGAGAACAGACGCAGCCTAACAGTATATGGCTTTTTTTTCCCTGAATCTCTCTCGCCTTTCATTCTTTCAAGGTCGGGGTACATGTCCATCACACTCGCATATTACCTTCCGATCAAATCCTGACCAGGCTACCAATAGTCGATAGAGTTTTGCGTAGGAGTGTGCGTTGTCCGGTTGTGTCTACACGTGTACTTGGTAGAATTCATCCCGCCCCCAATATTTGCATTTTGTTGGCGTTGGAAAGCCAATAGTCCGAACCAGGGCTTACTTCTATCTCCAGCTTGCCGCGCGCGTGTGTTACACCATTAATTCTAACGCGGCCTGATGGAGTGTTATATGGCAGCCTGGTCTCTCCTGTTTTTTGGGAAGGCGACTCCCGATATGATATCGCACCCCTTTTCCTGGTTTGTTGATGATCATGAGTGGAAGGATCTTTTCGCTTTGGTGTCCAGCCGACGTCTCTGTTTCTAATAAAGCCACTGCGCTCACCTCTAGACCGTTTCGTGGTTCCTCGTTTTTTTCTTTTCTTCTCTGTTTTCTTTTTTCTGGTTCTGTGTTTCTGTTTGTTGTTACTGTGTTGTTTCGGCTCTGCCAACTTATTCAATCAAGTTCCAAGACCTGAACTCTTCTTTGCCGCATCTGGCTTGACATCAGTCCAGCTTTTCTCGAGAACATCCGTTATCATTTGAGTGTCTTCAAGTATACAGAAAGATCAGGCTCGCTTTCTTTCCAATATCCCGAATCGAAATGAGCAGCAACATATCGCAATGGCTTAAGACCTCCGAAATATCTCCCGTCCTCCTCAATCTGAACTTGACTCATTTGACGCCGATACTCGACTGCGAGGCAGCTGGAAGGTTTGCTGCAGAGTTTTATCGTTTGCTCAAAAATGATACAACTGCCTTACCACTTACGAGTCTCGCGATCTTTCTTCACAGCTACTCTGCTATACCCCTGACAAATGTTACCCTGGCCAGCTTGGGGAATGGCTCTCCTTGTATCACACAAAGTACACAGAAGATGACCGACAGACCACTTACGACGCTAGACTGTTCTTTATCTACATCAAGGATTCTTGTGAGAAAGAAGTCTGCCACAATATCGAATGGGCAGGTGATCCGGATTTGTCTGGTATTGGTGTAAGTTTCTCTTCTCTTTCTGAAGAGTGTTTATAGAGCGCAGGGAGGATGATTCTTAGGCTCTGACCTGGATGGCGCAGTTTTATGCCACGTATATTCTCATGACCGTCTTGGCTACGCTTTTCTCCGTCATTTATGCCTGTTACTTTCTGCATTGGGCGTGGGAGGAAAGACCGGGACAGCCTCACAGCATCTGGAGCGGTCTTGCGGCGTCTCAAACCCCTCCGGAATGGAAACCACTTAACGACTCGCTTCGCTCCTTCTGGATCTTTTCTGTGTTTTTTGCTTATGGTATTACCATCGCTGGCTTTACCCTGGACAGACTCGAGGGGAGCGACGTGATGACCTACAGGCATTGGTTCTCCTACCGCGAAGCGCACCTTTCCTTGATGCTATTGCTGTCCTTGTGGCCATGGTACCGAAAACAAAGCACCTACCCGCGCCTCACTATCATAGGCCTCGGCATCCTATTCATAATCCTTGCTGCAACAAAATACGGTGACTCTGATTTCGGAGTGACCTGGGTGTATGGCGAGGAATCGTTATACGAATCATGGGACTGCGCATACGTCGAGGACAAAACACTTGACTTCAACAATGCAATGTACGCCGCTCAGTTTGTCCTCTTGATCTGGATCGGACGTCCTATCCTGTCATTGCTCGAGGGTTGGACATCGGCAAAGACGATTCAAAAAGGCCTCAAGTCACTCCGTCGCTGTATACCGGTTCTCACAGCATCCTTGGCGTTCGTTTTCATGTGGATCGACTTGGTCATCTTTGTTCGCTCGCGTAGTGAGTTGAACTATAATGCCGGTTCCTCGTATCAAGAGAACAAATGGACTTTTGGGCAGATTGCTGCTGTAACGACCTTGTTACCCTTGTTGGCTGACTTCTACCGGATCTGGTTGTGTGAGTGACACTCGCTATTATTATCGTCAGCCGTAGAGGTTGGGTCTATTTTCAAGTCACTGACGCATTTCCAGGGGATTACACCATGCTTTTATATGAGATTGTCATACCCTCGTGGATGAGAGTGTGGATCGAACAACAGCTTACCGGCGTGCAAAGGGTGAAGTCCACCCAAGCAGACATCGAAAATGGAATCGGAGCGAGTGATGTTGAGGAAGAGAGGCAATTATCAACCCTTCACCCAGAGGGATCAGAGAGCCAGCACAAATTAATAACTGCCGCTGGGTGAAAAGCAAAACGCAAAAAGGGATGCAACAAAGGGCAAGAAAAACATACAACACCTGGGATTCGCTGGTCGTCACCGACCCAACTACTAGTCAGGCGATTGGTAGCTTATCTATGGGAGAGCGGACGGGATCCCGAGTTTTCTACCATCTATGGTCGTATGTATTAGTGTTCGTCATTTGACCAGATTATATTCTCGACGTTGCCTACTTGTCTAGTGTGACTCTTTTCCCCTTCCTTCTATTACAGTAATTACCCCTGCTCGTGCATGCACCTGAAAGTGCATAAAACCCTCTAAATGCTTACAGCTGGCCGTCCGCAATTATTTAGTATGGGCAACTGCATAAAAGCTTAAATGCATGTCAGCTTGGCCGCCAAATTGGTGCATATGCATTTATTAGCACCTTTTTTTAGGGGCCTGACCGCTATACTAACCCCCTAAAGTCCCCCAAAATGTCTAAGCTAGGGGGGCCCGGAAGTCTTGGCACGGGACTGTAAATGCATGAGTCCTCTAAATGCATGTCAAGTGCTGGCCCGGATTACATGCACGAACAGGGGTAATTACTGTACTTTGCCGACAATGTGTTGTGTATTCACTTCCGTCTCGGTTAACGTCATAATCGCGGATGACGTGACAAAATCGGTTATCGGTATATCTGACTCGCTCGCGGACCTTTTCCGATGCCATCACCTTTTCAGAACGCTTCGGGCTAGTAACAAAAAATGGGAAATGACGCTTGATACGAATTTAAATTCTGGAATATCCTCCTTGGTGTCCCCTTTTTCTTCTAAGCCTAGGCAGCAGCCTTGTCTTTCTCCTCCTTCTCCTTAGCCTTCTGGGCCTTCTTGGCCTCTATTTGCTTCTGCTTCTCGAGCTTCTTGAGCTGGTTCTTGGTCAACTTTCCATCTCCGCCCTCAGCGGCCGCCTCCCCATCAGCGCTTTGCACCTGGGGCACCACGATAGGGGCACGCGGGTTTCCGTTCCACTTGAGAGGGCGTGTCGCCATGAATAGCTTGACAGCCTCGTCGTCAACCTTGGCTCTCCTTTCCTGGAAAGCGGCGACATATGTCTGAAGCTCCTTGATACAGATTGCCTTGAGCTCACCAGTCAACATGTCACCAGACTCGTAGGCGACGCGAATTTTCTCCAGCTCCTCGTCATCTTCGAGGAAGAAGCGCAAGTACTGGTAGGCCACGTCGACGCTAGTATCACCTCCCTTCTCGCGGTGCTCCTCAACGGAGACCTTGCCACCCGAGAAGGCATACTTGTTGATTTTGTTCTTGATTTGGTTGGGGGTATCTCTCATGAAAACTTTTTTGAAGGGTCAGCAAAAGTCCGGATAGGAGACCACAACAAGCCATGTGGTAGGTCCAGTCATGGCCTGGGACTGGAGTAGGGACAATGACTTACTAGCAGACTCGTCGATAGAAGCGGACATCTATACACATGTCAATAAATGCCAAGATCAATGTTAGACAAAGCGATCAGCGCCTAGTACGTACCTTTGTGCCAGGGCCCTGAAGAGCATCAAGGAAACGAGAGTGAATCAGGGCCGGCTTCGCGTACGAGATGTTGGTGTTCTTGTACTTCAAACGAGCGGAGACGTCTCTGGTCATTCTGAAGTAGGGATCCTGATCAATGGCGCAGGGAATGAGACAGGGAATAGCGACGCTCTTGGACTCATCCTCGCCGAAGATGTGGGGGAAGGACGACGCCCAACTGCTAGCACCCTGGATACTGCCGAAGTGAATGCGACCGATGTTCGTGCTGTCGTTGAAGCCGAAGATAGCGCGGGCCTGGTTGAGGGTGATGTGCTTGGACAGGCGCACAACGTTCTTGTAGAAGGCGCCACCCATAAACTGGAAATCGCTGAAGATGAAAGTCTTGTTGGGATCGAAGCCGACGGAGATGATGTCCTTGGCGTTGTTGTTGCAGTAGCCCTCAACCTCCTCGATCGTCCTCTTGTCGGAGAAGAGATACTTTTCGTCGTCGGTCATCATGATAACCAGCTGGAGGCGGCACCGTTAGTCATCCCTGCCTTTTCCTATGTTGTTGCGACGGCGTAGGTACTTACAGGAACATCGAAGGTATCCTGAAGCCATTTTGTGAACTCGAAGGGAATGGTGTGGCCGACGTGGACACTGTCGGAGGAAGGGCCACGGCCGGTATAGAGGAAGAAGGGCTCGCCCTTCTCATAGCGGTCGAGAATAAGCTCGAGGTCGCGGTGGGAGAAGACAATGCTTCTCCTGAGGAAGCGATGGGGCTTCTTGCCGGTGACCCTCTCGAGGCGATCGAGCAGGGCCTGGTCGATCTTCTTGGTGCCGAACTCCTCGACCAACTTGTTGTAATCGATGGCCTTGACAACGCCATCCTCGCCGACTTCGCCTTGGACCTGTTCGCGACGAAAGAGAGGCAGTCAGACCAATGCGCCGGACATATGCAAGTACACAGACCTAACCAGAACTGACATTGTAGGGGTCCACTGTCTGCTTGTGGGCAGCTTGCTTCTCGATCGCCTCGGGGATGGGCGCCTCCTTGAGCGCCTCGGCGTTAACGTTGGTCGCCATGTTGGAAGAAGATGTCTGTTGTGTGCTGATGGCAATCCGGGTGGGTTGTCGAAAAGTCCTTCAAAAGGGAACCTCTTTGGCTGACAGTGACTCGAGTGCGAAACGGCTCGAACGGGTGGCTCGTCCAGGGGAACGAATTGCGACGGCACCTCAGACGGAACAGGCACATGGACGCTGCGGGGGAGGGGCTGCAATTGAAAGCCATTCATCGCTTTCTGCCGGGATGTGGAGGGTCCAGACTGACATCAGATTGTTTCCGGCAGGCGGTTTCTTACGGCAGAATACATCAAGTTTCCGGCAGGCAATACATAATGTATGGGGAAAGATACGCGCTGCGTAACGATCAATTGGCCTATGGAATTTGGGAACCCCTCCGTCCGCAAAGTGGGAGGAGCAGTTCCCATCAAGATTGGCATTTGACCTTGCATTGAACCGGGCAGCTCTGGAAGCCATCTGGATGTCGCAAAAGTTTTCCGTCTGTCTGCAACCATGTTGGCAGCACCATGGGTATGTCGGAGCTGCGCCCGTTCGTTAAGGCGCTCGGGTGTCTTCGTCTCTCTTCAGCTTCGCAAAGCTAGCACAGGTACGTTCGCAGCATCCCAAGTGGAAGCATTTCTCCCCAGATTCTGGTCGCAAGCCGTGGAATCCGATCTGCTAAGGGGCACCTTCTGACGCGTCTCTTGTCGCAGCCAGCCAGACACTCGCAGGACTTCCACCTGTCCTCCTCGACCGAGCGCGCAATCTAGCCGCCGAGCATCAACAATTGACGAAGCAACTTGAGAGCGAGTACGAACCTACAGCTGCGAAGCGCGCCGGCGAAATCTCAAAGGTTGTCGCTGCTCTACAAGAGCTGGACAAGGCCAAGGCAGCACTGGATGAGCTCAATGGACTCCTGGAATCAGACGACGCCGAGCTGCGCCAGCTCGCTAACGACGATCTCGATGCAACAAAAAAACACCTGGAAACTCTGGGGCTCAATCTCTCAGCGACCCTGACACCGAAGCACCCGTTTGCGGACATGCCATGTCTGATAGAACTCCATCCTGGGCCAGGAGGCACTGAAGGGCGCCACTTCGCCGATACCCTTTTCCGCATGTACCAGAAATATTGCGAGAACAAGGGATATTCTGCGCGGGTGATCTCGTACCAGGAAGCCGAAGATCGTACGCCAGGCTTGGACGGTGAGGTTCCCATCTCAGAAGCCGTACTCGAAGTAACGGATCCCGGCGCCTTCGCAGCGTTCCGTGGAGAGGCGGGTATGCACCGCGTGCAACGAATTCCCGCGACCGAGAAGCAGGGGCGCACTCATACAAGTGCGGTGGCAGTTTGGGTTTTGCCATCATTCCCCGAAAACAGCACCGATGCTGAGAACGACTTCAACAACCCGGAAAGTGACTTCTACGTTGACCCGACAGAAGTCAAGTCAGAGAAGATGCGCGCGAGCGGTGCCGGCGGTCAGCACGTCAACAAGACAGAATCCGCTATTCGACTGACCCATATCCCGACCGGTATTCAGGTCAGCATGCAAGATTCGCGATCGCAGCAGCAAAACAGAGAAAGGGCTTGGCGCTTGCTTCGTTCGAGAATTGCGTCGCTAAGGCGAGAACAAAGAGAGGCGCAGGCAAAGGACCTGAGAGACAGTGTGCTATCTCAGTCACAGATGTCGCGCGGCGACAAGATCAGGACGTATAACTACCAGCAGGACCGGTGTACTGATCATCGGAGTGGGCTGGATGTCCACAACCTCCCCAATGTCTTACAAGGTGGGGAGGTGTTGGACAAAGTCATCAACAGCGTGCAATCATGGCTAACAGCGATGGATATCCGAAACCTCATCGCCCAGGAAGAAGCGCAGGCTAGAGCAGCGGCGGGAGGATCTGATAAAAAGAAGAAAGGCGGAAAGTAAGGCCAACGTCTTACTCACCGCGCGCTACAAATACCGGCTACACAGAGCAGCCTGTGGATCTGTAGAGAGTTCATTTGTGTACAATACCCCTTCGGAACCAAACCACGGCTGGTCAGATTCTCGACTCTAATTCGGTCGGCTTGGATCCCTTTGCGCAGTTCTACTCGGCCAAGCTTGATTTTGCGCGGGGTCGAGCCTCGTTGGAACTGTTACCAGAGAGCCGACCTATCTTCGTCATAGCCGGGCAACCTCAACACGGCACCGTGATTTTGCACGATCGGCTCCGTCACCAAAAGCGAGCGAGCGATGGACAGGGGCAGAGCGGACGCCGTTGGTTTTCCGTTGACCAATCAGTGCCGCAGACTTGTAAGTGACCTGCCATATCGGGATGGTGGCGGCCGTTGTGGATCTCCGTGCAGTGTGCAGCACGCCCGGCGCTTCGTGGGCGTGGGGAACATTGAGCAGTTCCATTCCGTTCCATGGACATGGATGGACAAAGATTTATTGTATCGCGAGTCCCAAACATTGAAGTTGCATTCTGCCATTTGAGACAACCCGAAAGATGGAGAAAACCAGATATTCATCCCCTGTCGCCAACTGCCGACGGAGACATAGCGAACCGATCGATAAACGACTCGGGATTCGGAACCGTAGTTTTCGATTTTTCAACTTCTTTCTGTCTCTAGTTCTGCGCGAAATTCAGACGACTCCGCCATCGTCCGGGACCGTCCGCATCTACGCTGGAGAAAGTAGTTCAGAACCTCAGTCTGAGCTTATCTTTTCTCCAATATTCCCTATCCCTTCCCTGCGCCGCGGGACGGAGCGGAAATGCTTATGCAGAAGACAATCCGACCATGTACCTTTTCCGCCCGCGCTTTGCAAGCCAAATCAAAAAACCCAAGTACCTACAACTTTTATCAAACTACTACATCAACCTCGGCACAACCCGATATAAAGTTAACCCGTGCAAAAAGCCCCCTTTTGGGCGCGCTAAATTTACTGGTTTAATTAGTTTTTCGATGCAGCGACTTTTCATGAAGATGTAGTAAAAGTGTCGAGCAAGAGTGACTTTGGGGTAGACGAGGACTTGGCGCCAAGAGACAGGGCTTGGCGACCAAAAATGTGAGGGGCGCGGGAAAGGTACATGGTCGGATTGTCTTCTGCATAATCGATTCCGACGGAGCTATGGTATTCCAAAGAATATCGGGGATGAGGTAAGACAATATCCATGATTCATGTACGTACCAGGGATTGATGGGTAATCGACGACTCCAACAAAATGTGTGTGCTTCGTATTGGCTGATATCTCGGCAGTCCGGCTTTTTCATCGTTGGGAGGTTGACGTACTGCGTAGTTCATGTCATCCTAGGCTGCCGTTATCATCAACATTGCATTTCTTCAATGGTAGAATGCTACGGCCGTCTCATCAACGCCGGCTTTCCATATCTTCTCACTCTCTCCCTCGATTGATGTATCCCAACGCCTGTCAATCTTCCTAGTTGGGATGACGAACTTGCCCACCAACACACGGCGCACGTAACCCACCCATCCCATGCTGCACCAACGACACAATCAAACCTGCTGTGCAAGTCCGAGATCAGATGGTGCTACTGGTCTTGTCAACTTGTCTGCTTTACATGCGTGCCAGTGTCTGCATACTCATCCTACCTCAGTTATGCGACCAACAGCCTGGTTTTGCATTGCTTATATCCCAATATTTGCGGAACTGGTGGCATCTCAACTTCCAGGACGGGTAGGTGCTTAGGTGCAAAGGAAAAGACGGGAATATGATACACCGTGGGAATGCAAGCAAACGTTGTGCGTGACGGACCGGGTGTGACTTGTCCTCCCAACAGCGTTGATGCTTGAGAGGTCTCAGGTAAAGAGCTGGAAAGCGCAAAATCTCATTGGAGCTTTTGCTCCTGATTCCTTCTGTCATATCAGCATCACTGTATAGCAGACCGAAAAAAAAAGAGTGGCATCGGTTAAGCCTCTAAGTATCCGAACTGTGAAAGCTCACACTAGCACCAACAAGAATGGAGACAGTCTCGGAGGAAGGCCGTTGTTTGCCATGTCAACGCGGAAGCTAGGCAGGGCGGAGTGGAACTCCAGCTTCAGATCACTTCCCTTTTCTGTTTAAACTAGTTGGAAATTCTGACCTGCCATCCCTCGTCGATTTCTAGGCCTATCTTTCCTCCGTTGGGAACGAAGTAACTCGAAAGGAGGAAGCTCTGTTTTTGTCAGTCGAGTACTTCATGGTGAGACTCCCCCCTCCCTGCCTCACCTGTACAACCTCTCTTTTTTTCCCTCCACTCTCCTCCTCCCTCTTCTTTATACCGCACGGGCCTTCTTTATAGTTGTCATCTCAAAAGAAGAAGCTGCCAGCCCAAGATGCGTCTGATCGCGCTAGTCTCGTCGCTACTCTTAGCGACAACTGCCACCGCTGGCGGTCCTAGCTTCGGCAAGGCTGAGAAGAAGTACCTGGAGCATGTCGCCAACAGACTCAAGAACCACGCTGCGAAGGTCGAGGCTGCCCCGGTCGTTGAGCGTGATGTCGCCAAGGTTCAAGAGCCCAAGTTTCTGAATGACAACACTACAAGTGAGCTTATATCCACCTTGAAACGCAACTTCACCCAGCAACTAACACAGAGAACGTAGAGTTCGCTGTCGACGGGAAGAACATCCCTGATGTGGACTTTGATGTGGGAGAGTCCTATGCTGGCATGTTGCCTATCAGCCAGGACCCCGAGGAGAAGAGCGAGCTTTTCTGGTGGTTCTTCCCATCTACGAATCCCGCCGCTAAGAAGGAAATCCTGATTTGGCTTAACGGTGGTGTAAGTTCCATCATATCTACCAACCCCCCCTGGAGAAACCAGCAGACTATCTAACAAGTCATACCTCTTATATAGCCCGGCTGCTCTTCACTGGAAGGTTTCCTCCAAGAAAACGGCCCGTTCCTCTGGCAGTATGGCACTTACAAGCCCGTCAAGAACCCCTGGAGCTGGCACACCCTGACCAACGTCATCTGGGTCGAGCAGCCCGTCGGCACCGGCTTCTCTACCGGAAACGTCACTGCCACGAGCGAGGAGGATGTCGCTGCTCAGTTCATGGGTTTCTGGAAGAACTTCATCGACACTTTCGCCATGCAGGGCTACAAGGTCTACATCACCGGCGAGTCATATGCCGGCCTGTACTGCCCCTACATCGCCTCCGCCTTCCTCGACGCCAACGACAAGACCTACTACGACCTGTCCGGCCTGATGATCTACGACCCGGTGATCTCGTGGGACGAAATCCAAGAGCCGATCCCCGTCGTCCAGTTCACCGAGTACTGGTCCGGCCTGTTCCCCTTCAACGACACCTTCCGGGCGCACATCAAGTCGGTCGACGCCAAGTGCGGCTACTCCGACTTCGTCTCTCAATACCTCGTCTACCCGCCCAAGGGCCCGCAGCCCTCCAAGCTGCCCGGTACCGATAAGAACGGCACCACGCGCAACGAGTGCTGGGGTTTGTTCTACGACGTCTTCGACGCCATTTTGTTGCTGAACCCGTGTTTCGACATCTACCAGGTGGCCACCACCTGTCCCCTGCTGTGGGACGTGCTTGGGTTCCCGGGATCGATGGGGTACCTGCCCGAGGGCGCCTCGGTGTATTTTGACCGGGACGACGTCAAGAAGGCGATCCACGCTCCCGAGAACGTCAAGTGGTCCAGTTGCTCGGAGCAGGACGTGTTCGTGGGCGGACGCGACCAGTCGGAGCCGTCGATCTTCCATGCCTTGCCGCACGTCATCGACGCGACCAAGAACGTGATCATCGGCCACGGCGCGATGGATATGGTCCTGATCGCCAACGGCACGCTCCTGGGCATCCAGAACATGACTTGGGGCGGCAAGCTCGGGCTCCAGAACAAGCCCGACCAGCCGTTTTATGTGCCGTACAACACCATTTCGGACCTGTCGACGCTGGCGGCCGGCGGCGTGTTCGGATCCATGGGCAGCGAGCGAGGCTTGACCTGGGTCCAGATCGACATGTCGGGCCACATGGTGCCGCAGTATGCGCCGTCGGCGGCGTACAGACAGCTCGAGTTCTTGCTGGGCAGAGTGAACTGCTTGAACTGCACGGTCCCGTTCACGACGAACCCGGATGCGCCGCAGAGCCAGCAGCCTTTGGGCAAGGGGACGGCGCCTCAGAGCTGGAGTAAGTTCTCGGGTAAGAAGGGAGGACACCATGGAGGTGGAAAGGGCAGGTTTGTCAGGTAAAGGAGGCGTGATGATCATGGAGGTTATGACGAATGAAGAGTCTAGACACCAGTAAATGAGAGACGAAGCTCGTAATGATCAAAAATAATCCTAAATATTGTGTTGAAATCCCGTCAGCTAGGTGTGGAAACAAGGAAATTCGCATGAGAAACCGTAGTGCATCACCCCTATATATCCACGTCCTTATCGTCATGCCTTCTTTTATATTTTCTTCTCGACGATCAGTCCTGGGCCTTCCGTCAAGATATATTTGATAAACATACACATATATACGTTAGTGAAACAGTGATTGTTGAGACCGTTCCTTTTCATAACCAATACCAACACAAAGAGTGGAATAAAATGACACAGAGGGTACGCGCAGTCCCCTCAACCAGTCGGCTGACGCCGCAGCCACTAGTCTCCCTCCTTTCAAAAACTTCAAGAAGGGGTACGCGGGTATATGCTCGCGTGTGAGCGTGTCGTGAGGATGACTTCCCCAATCGTAAGCGACCCGGTGACAACACAGAACCTGAACCAACGCCATGCTAAAATCAACGACAATGAGGTAGTGTACAAACGCAGCACCAAAAAGGACAGCCCACAGAGGCTAGGGCCCATCTCGTCTTGCGGTGCTGTAGAAAAGATGCGCCTTTCGTCGGGGCATTTCCGCCGGACTTCTTTGCCCATACTGATAGCGAACTCATGGCGAAGTTCGAGCGCCAGATATAGCGGACAACAGGGCCGAGTACGTCTCGCAGACGCTCAACGGACAAAGGCCGCGCGGCAAGGGCAAGTAAGCATAAACTTTGAAAAGACCCCAGAGCACGGACGGCTAGACGGTCATCATCGCTCAAGCCCAGCAATCCGTTCAAGCTCTCTCCATGTTGCGTTCCCTTGCCATCTTCCTGAGCTCCAGGACGCCCATTATGCCCGACTGGCGAAGGCGCTCGAGGATCAGCTTCATGCCCTCTCGGCTCTTGCCAAGTTGGTCCTGGGTCTTCTTTGACGCCAGACTCTCAATGCTCCGTTGGATACCATGGGCACCAAGCCGGGAAAAGAAGCCGCCTTTCTCTTGTTCGACTTCGTGCGCGTGCAAGTGACCCAGCTTATCGCGAATCCGTTCTCCAAAGCGAGATCGAAATACCACCGTCGTGGCAACATCGGTCGTATTTCCATAATCATTAGTGTTCTTCGGGATCGTATAGATCTGCTTCTCCACCACCGACAGAACGCCAGCAAAGTTCAGGTTCCGGCTCTCGGTCGACATCCAGCCCTCCTTCATGTCCACAACGCTGGTCTCCAGGATATAGGACGCCTTCTCGGTCGTGGCACCACCGGTAATGCTGGTGGGGAGCATCTTCATGATAGCAGGTGGCATGCGCGACTTCTTGAGGTGGATGCGAGTCGTGTGTAGACGGCCGGTGGCCGGGTCGACATGCGAAGAGAGGGTGTCGGTGCTCATGACATGCTGGGAGAAGGGATTGAGCTGCGGGGAGCAGTACCGGAGGAAGAAGGCGAGCGTGACGGTCGGGAAAGGATGGCTATAGGTATGGTTGGTAGTGTGCGTGAGAACCATTTTGACTGAGGAAGAGGGTAAGGCTCGTTGCTAATGCGGTGCGGGAGATTTCGGTACGTATCGACTTGCCCAACGATGGGATCGGACTATGGAGTGCTCGGGTTTCGGATAACCGGTTCCTAGGGCTGAAGGTATATAGGGAGCACGGTTCGAAGCTAGGCTCGGGCAGATGGGTTGGTTCCAGAAAGTAGCTAGCAATGGCTTGCCGAAACGTGGAGAGACTGGAGTGAAGTCACTGGAGGTGGCGATGTTGTGATCGTGGTGGACGTTGTCGGGACGTATCGTGTATATGTTATCTGTGAGAAGCGCAGCTCACGATCGATGGTAAAGAAGATGTGACATTGGAACGGGGTGCGGCTACAAGAAGCTGTCAAATCCTCTTTTCCCGATGGTGACGATGATGTCGTGGTGTTTAGGAAATTTTTGTGTACAAATGGAAGAGTAAAGCGAAGTAGGCAGTGGTAGGTAGAGGTAAGAAAGTTGGGGAAGAAGGACGGAAGATAGGTTGACGTGGGGCAGGCAGGATTTGTAACTTGGGAAAAAGGTACCAAGAGCCGAGAGCGACGGAAAAAGCGATGATGAAAGTGATCCGACGACGAACCGACGGGATGGGCCGATGGAGGTGGATACCGGTACACTAACGGGCACCACTTCCACTTTGCGGGACCTTACTGTAGCGGCTCTGCAAGTACAAGTGAAAACGAGGTGCTTTGAGTTCTGTGGATGCAGAGTGGAGGATCCCGTCGTGAAAGTGTTCTGCCAGTGCTTGCTTGTGCTACTACAACAAATAGCGAAGGGTTGGGTGGCCAAAGTTGGAGGTATAAACAAAGAAGAGACAGATGAAAGTAAATGAGGGGACTGCGCAACTCTGACGATAATGGGCTCATTTGCTTCGAATGATCCAACGATATCGTCGAGCGCCTGACCATTGTCCGTCCGGTGTGTAACACGGGAGCTCCCACTGCTCCCTTCAAAGGCAAAAAATATCGTCATCATCATCATGCCATCCCCTCCACCTAGCGCAAGCAGCTCGTGTGCGTAACAGTGCAGCACTGCGTACCCTGCGATAACCCGGCCTGGACAACCTCGATCGTGCCCATAAAAAAGACCAAGAGTTAGACCGGCCACAGAGCAATGCTCTAAAGACAGACTGGAAAATCAAAGGTATGTTGGGACCCTGAGACTGTGGTGATATATGCTTTCACCGAGTTAGTATGTGTAGCAATGGATGTTTGGTACGGTGGCTTCCTTGGGCTTTTGCCGGTAGGAGGTGTTTCCCATTGCCAGTCACTGCCAAGCAGTCTTCGGCTGGCTGCCAGTGCCGGGGAGCCGGGGTGCAATTTTCAACCGTTTGGAGCACGGACGCAACTTAAAAGTGGGGAGCCTGCCGTGTCTCGGAGTTGCTTATTCCGCTTACAAAACAGGGGTCAGACAGTCCGTGCCAGCCTGGCACCAGCTACAAGTTCAAACTCCAACTTTCAAATTTCAAACCCTCGCATTCCACCCTCCGCAACCCGATATAGAGCAAAACAGCGCAAAAAGCCGGCTACTGGGCCAGCTGCGTTTTGTGGATGCGTTACCGTTCTTGCAGTGTTGATATTGCTCGAGATACGTTCGATTCGACTGAATTTGGGGTACCTGAGACTTGGCGAGACAAGGTGGAAGAAAGCGCCAAGGCTGTAAGCGGAATAATCGACACCCGTGTCTCACTTTCAAACGCCCGATGCGCTTCCTACTTGCCTGCCGAACCTGCACCTATTCACCTGGCAGCAATTGCAGCGCAATGCAATGCACAGGGCTGCTTAGTCATTCTACTTCCATCCATCCAATCCTTCAATAGGCGCCAGCGTTAACATTCCACTTTCCATTTCAGCTGCCCTCTCGGATTCCCCCGATCCCCCAACCCTCCCGTTCATTTCTTCCTCCAGCAAAACTTTCAACTTGCGACACCACGGCGAATCAGTCAGTTGGCCATCACAACTGCATCGGCCGACCTTCGATTCATCAATTCTTTTCTTTCCCAGCGTCGTCGCTTTGTTGACCGTCTACGACAAACGTCTCGCGATTCCTCACATTCCATCAGCGCACCGAACGACAAGCGACAATCTGAGCCAAACGTGATTCGCGACGTTTCACGATACCACAGCGAAAACCGACCATTATCACTCCAGCCAACGCGTGACGGCGTGCCATCATTCCGCCATCATCTAAACATCAGATCCAAACCGCTCTCACTTTCCTTTTCCTCGCGTACTGACAAATCTCGAGACTCGATATTTTCTGGCTGTTGGCTCGCTGGGCTGGCCTGAAAGGTGATCTGAGTCTCTGGCTGTGGCGCAATTGATTTGATATCTGGGACGGGAAACAAGTGCGAGTCTTCCAACAGTACCATTCATCCCCCTTGAACTGGTTGTTGCAGTCTCGCTGGGTCTTTGTACTTTCCTTCTCTTTATCTGTCACTTTGTGTCTCTTCCTACGAGTACATTCAGAATTGACTCAGTCTAACTTGTGCAAATCCAAGAGCAAGAAAAAGAGAGGAACAAGGAAACAAGTCTATTATTTTTGCTGAAAGGGGACAATTCACTGCCACCTGAGACAACGCAGAAATCATTTTCACAAGCCCCAGCCCCCAACTCGTATCGTACGTCAACATCGTTTAGGAGAGTCTTCTAATAGTACAGTGTTTGCCTTGGGCGTGGTGTCACTTCTGGATCCTGTTTGGCATCCCAGTTGCGCAACCTATGACCATTGCCTCTACAGTCAACATCACATCAACCTGAACTCAACATGGAGTCCTCAGTCTTCTTCAAGTTCAAGTCTAACAAAGAGCCCACGCGTGTGGAGTTCGACGGAACTGGCATATCCGTCTTCGAACTAAAACGTGAAATCATCCTGAAAAGTGCGCTCGGCGATGGCACTGATTTCGACCTCGTCATCGCTGCCGATGAGGGCATGAAGGAAGGTAAGTACGATCCAAGTGGATATCAAAATGGCTATGCTCAGAACGCTGACACGGATCTAGTCTACGATGACGATACAACCATTATTCCAAGATCAACCACGGTCATTGCCCGCCGCATGCCCGCCAAAGTACAGGGTAGGGGAGGAGCTGCTCGCTATGTCTCGGGCAAAATGCCCGTGCATGCCAAGAACTCATCGCGCAAAGAACAACCGATCGTAAAGGCCTTGGCTAAGCCGGTCGTCAACCCAGTCGTGCAGCTTAACAGTGCCATGACTGAGGAAGAGAAGATGGCAGCCGTCTTCCAAGCCCAGACCGAGAATTTCACCGCGAGGGAGGAGGAAATGGCTACGTACGTATACTTTCCACCGCTTCAGTTAACCGCGAAATGTGTTGATACTAACTCGGATGTTTAGGCAGCAATATGTCGCCAAATCTGGCCCCAAGAAGCCTGCCAACGTCCCTGACCATGACCCTCCGCAGGGATACATCTGCTACAGGTGTGGTGAGAAGGGTCACTGGATCCAACTCTGCCCAACCAACGACAACCCCGACTATGACAACCGACCCCGCGTAAAGCGGACCACCGGCATCCCCAAATCCTTCCTAAAGACAGTAGACAAGGCAACCGCCCTGGGTCAGAATGGGGACGGTGACGAAACCAAGACCCCGTCTGGCATCATGGTTAATGCCGACGGAGAGTTCGTCATTGCCGAGCCTGACAAGGCATCGTGGGAACAGTTTCAGGCCAAGGCCAAGTCAAACTCGGCAGCTCAAAAGGCTACTCCTGAAGGAGACAAGGAGATCCAGGAGCGTGGGCTGGAGTGCCCCATCGACCACAAGTTGTTCATAGACCCAATGAAGACACCGTGTTGTGAGAAGACGTATTGCAATGATTGCATTACCAACGCCCTCATTGAGAGCGACTTCATCTGCCCAGGCTGCAAGTCCGATGGCGTACTTATCGATGACTTGAAGGCGGATGAGGACGCGGTCGAGAAGATCAAGGCTTTCCTCGCGGAAAAGAATAGTAAGGCGAAAGAAGGGTCCCAAAGCCCTGGCAGTCCCAACAGCCCGACAGCAGCAAAGTCTCCGACATCTACCGACGCTCCTGCCGCCGAAACCAACACTGAGCAAACCAAGCCAAAATCCGAATCTCCGACTCCGTCTAACACTGCACCATCTGCATCGCAGCAAGCCTCGCAGCAGCAGACATCACAAGCGTCACGTGCAGCATCGATGCAATTCGGCTCCACCGGCCAGACAACGCCACCAACACAGGCTAACCGGGAACAACAAAGTCAGCAAGTTTCGAAAAAGCGCCCTGCCGAAGATGCCCTCGAGAACCCCAAGATCCCAAAGGCGCCCAAGGCCATGCAGCAGAAGGCCCAACAAACCCAGCAGCAAGCCATGATGGAACAAATGATGGGCGGAATGCCCGGTATGCCCGGCTTGAATGGTATGAATGCTATGAACTGCATGCCGCAAATGTTCCCGGGCATGCCCATGATGGGTAACTTTGGAGGTATGGGAATGCCCAACATGAACATGGGCATGATGAACCACATGATGAACCCGATGATGGCCGGCGGCATGGGACCTGGCTTCCCACCCATGAACGGCGGGATGGGCCCTGGTGGTTTCCCCGGTGGCCCCGGCGGAATGCCCAACGGCAACAATCCCGGAATGTGGAACAACGGCATGGGCATGAACGGCCACGGCGGCGTTCCCAACGGTCCTAACATGGGTGGCACCACGGGACCAGGCGGTGGCAGAATGAACGTTATGAATCAAGCAGCCGGCATGGGCATGCATAATGGTGGCGGCTATCAAGGCCAGCAGCACCAATTCAAGAATTTCTCTCATCAGCCCGCTGACGATGACGATGCCTACTTCAGGAAACCTGTCAACCCGCACCGTCACCAGAACCGCCAAAGGCGGGTCCGGCCGAGTGATTACCGGGAGCTGGGAGGGATGCCATAGGTACACATGGTTCTAAAGCAAGAACAAGACAGGCAATCAGAGAAAATGACATACCCGGCATGATAGTCATCAGCACAATCCCGGTTTTCGAACTTTGCTCGCACCACAGCATAACAACACCCTATACATGCACATATTACAACAACCCAAACCATACAAACAACCACATGCATGACATTTGAAAGGGGAGCAGCGGCAACATCACACAAAAAGATTCAACGAAAATACCCAGATGAGGAAGAAAGCTACGAGACATGGAGGGCCCTTTTAAGAAACGGCCAGCCAGTATTCATTCACACTCACTTTTTGTTTCTTGAGAGCATTGGAGGCGTTTATGGTTTTTGCTTTTTGCACTTAATCTCGAAACTATCATGGAAGGACTGGATGGATGGATGGATGGGTGGGTGGAAGGTTGGCTGGCAGGGTTGCGTGGCAGGGCAGGATGGTCACGCGAAGGAACCATGGGCGCGAAAGGCGTATATATGTGATGGATGGATGGATGGACATGATGGCATGCAAACGAAACATCTAGGGGAAGGGGAAAAATGACGGCAAATGATGGACGTTATGAAAAAGAGAAGGACGGTTTGCTTGGGGAAAGGGGACTTTAGTGACCGCTAGCGGTTGCTCTCTTTCTTGATGATGGTTGGAGGGATCATGACAAGCGAAGGAGAACGTCGGCATGAACCGACTCCCGCGCACCCCATGCTCCCCCCTTTTAAATAGGCAATGGACGACCTACGGACTTGACCTACCATGATTCTCCCACTCACTCCGTCTTTTATAGCTGCTTTGATTTTGCTGCACGTGTTACTCGGTTTAGATTGCTTTCGAGGTCTAGGTATCGTAATAGAAAACAAGTGTTTTTTTTCTGGTCTTTCCTCTCTTGTGTTCCATGTGTGACTGTGTTGTATTTCCAAATATGGCTTGAAGTGAATTAACCTTCGGCGCAGTGTCTAGACCCAAAAGCCTATTCCCATCACGGCCTCAGTGTCTTGGTCACGACCAGACAAGACGACGAGAATTTGTAGATTATCATTATTACGCCTTTTATATTATATGATATAAGCCTCCTATTGTGGCGGCACAAAAGGCTTAACCAACATCTCGCTAAACTTCTCCAGCCTCTCCTTACCACGGACCTCCTCCACCAGCAGCGGCATCTTGACAACGTTGAACTCGTCGTACAGCTCCTCGATCTGATCCAGGTACTTCTTCTGCATCTTCCTGCGGGCCGTGCACTGCTCGCAGTCGGAACCGGGCTTGGGGAACAAGAGCTGGTTGACCACGATGCTGTGGGTGTCGATCCCGTAGCTGGCCAGCTCCTGGATCATGCGCTCCGTCTCGTACAGCGACAGGAACTCGGGGATGCAGACGCACACGAACGTGGTCAGGCGCTCGTCCTTAAACTGCGTGTTCACCTCCGAGATGGTCGCCCGCAACGTCTCGAGCTTTTCCATCATCTCGTTCAGGTTCTGGCCGTTGGGAAGCGTGCCGTTGGAGCCGAGGAAGCCGTTGAGCAGGGGGCCGTATTGCGAAGAGAGCTGCGAAACCTTGGCCAGGGCCTTCTCGAGGACTGAGGGGAACTGCAGGAAGCGCAGCGTGTGGCCGGTGGGTGCTGTGTCGAAGATGATGGTCTCGTACGAGAGCGACTTGACTTGCTTGAGGACTTCGGCGAAGGACATGGCTTCATCGATACCGGGGATCTGTGACAGATTCAAGAGTCAGTATATGTCATATAGCGCCTAATTGTGTATGCCATGCGCAGGAGACCCAAGGTCAACAACGTACCGCAAACGCCAAATCCTGCATCATGCCGCCCACACCACCCATATCACCAGCACCCTCATTCTCGCCCTGGCCAGCCAGGAGATCCTGGATGCTACCGTTGGGGTCAATTTCCATAGCGCTGAGGTTGTTAAAGCCATCGATCAGACGCGCCTCCTTGCCGAACTTTTGGCTGAAGGCGTCGCTGAGGTTGTGGGCGGGGTCGGTCGAGATGAGCAGGACCGAACGGCGGACCTTGGCCAGCTGGATGGCCAGACTGCACGATGTCGTCGTCTTGCCGACACCACCCTTGCCGCCAACGAAGATCCAGCGCAGCGAGCGCTGGTCGAGAATCGACTGGAGCGTGGGCTCCAGGTGGTCGTCGTCGGCGTTGATGACTGCGGTAGACATGATGATGTTGTTGTTGTCGGTTGACACCTAAACGGGTTCGGGTATCGCGATAAAAGACTGGATATATGGCGTTTCAACGAACGGGTTGAGGTAAACCGCGAGAGTGTGTTGTGTGGTCAGGGGCGAGTCTGGTCGGGGAGGAGTGAGGCCTGGAATCAGTTCGAATCGCAAAGTCGACCTCCTTGTGACGCGATGTCGGGTTGGGGTCACCATCCCCCCTCGTCCCCTCCAGTGAGAAGGGACAACGTCACTGGGCTTTGGTGGGGTAGCTGTACCTCTAGGGGTAGGTGCCCCTGTGCCTTATCGTCGAAATCTCCTATAGCGCACAGGTAGCGCTTTCCCTCACTGATAGGTAAAGGCCCCTCACCAGCGTCCATGGGTGTGTAAACATACCCCTGAATAGGGCAGAAGGTGATCCTCGTCCCCTCAGCAACTCGGCGTCTCCCAAAGGACCCGAGGGGAAGGGGAAGCGTGGCTATCCGGCCCTATGGGTGGAGAACCATTTAAACGTGAACTTATACCGCAAAGACTCGGGCCACTGATTTTTAGGTTCCAGGGCTTAACTGACAGAATCTATGTATTAGGTGCCTTAGGGTTTGGGTTTTAGAAGAGATTCGAGCAGTCTGCAATGCTAGAGATGCCTCAAGTGTACTGGAGGTGATTATGCCTGATTTCCCTGGAACCTAAAAATCAGTGGCCCGAGTCTTTGCGGTATCTTCCTCCCCTTCTGGAGTGCGGATGACCTTTTCATTTGACGCAATTGACCACGAGAGTCGCCAAGGTGAGCATCAAAAATCGATGGCAGACATGGTGGACCTTTTGCTACCTCCTCCTAGCAGGACATGCCTACCTCTAGCCAAGTTCACCGGCTCCGGAAGCTAAATCTGAGGCCGGAACACCATCCCATATCACGTAGCTTCAACGCCAATGGGCAACCTGCCAAGATGTCCAGCTAGGCTCGAATGGATATGGGATTCTGTCCAGATGAATTTCTGTTATGCACAAATTAATAAGCCACTCCATCAAGCCAGAGATCAAGAAGGACCCAACGCCGTTGAAGTCATGTTTCCACTTAGCGGGGTATTCCTTAGTCCGGAGGAGGTTCACCCGCCACGCTTTGCTCCGGCCTCCTTACCGTTCCGCGGTACACCATATCCTGGACGTCTGGACGTGAAACTGCAGGCTCAACATCCCCGGCGTGGCAGCCAATATATACAATACAGGACTGGTTGATTCGGTACCTCAAAAGGTCTCCGTCCCCGCATTCGTCCTGGACCGAAAAAGGGTTTCGGAAGCACATCCGAAGGCCATGCGCATTATATATGGGTACCACTGCAATGCCCGTCCCCTGGTTTGAGCCTCAACTACTTCAGACGATCAACCAGAACCAGAGGCTCGAACCTCACCCGCCCTCATTTGCCGTGGTCCACCGGCTGTGCGCTATTCTGACCGCCGTGGCATGCCCTTGGTTGGTGGGCAGCGCTAAGCAACAGGGATGAAGCCGTTGAGCTTCAGAACAACAGGCCTAATATTGCCATTCATGGTTGAGGAGACAGTCCAGCCTTGACAAAACCCGCTACCGTGACTTTTCTTCCACCCAGAGTATATAAAATCTGACCTGTCTTTTGGGATGACACTATCTTTTTACTGAGCCTCTTACTGAGTCACAGCTCACGATATCGGAACCCAGAACCAAAGTCACGTTTCACGGCAGCAGCGAGGCAACACTCAGCAGACCGAGAACAGAACCCACCGAGCGACTACAGCGCAGAAGAGACAACAAGATACCGATTTCAGCTATCACTTTGTGAAGATCACGGCATCTACGGGCATCCGGAGGCATCAGTGTCACACTGCCTCTCACTCACTGGCTGACATCGAGATACACGCAGCACGGTCCAGCCAAAGACTCTGGGGAAGGGTAGGGTGTCGTCTTGTAGACAAAGCTTCAGCTCCAAGCCGGCACCTTTGTTACGCGAGCTGAGCGGCAACTGCTAGCGAAGGAAGAAGCGAGAGACAAGGTTCCTGCTCCTACACTCAGGATGGCGGACCGCAGGCCTTCGGAAGCTGTGCCGACCACGAGCGGAAGACAGTCTCATGCGATTCCCGCAGCATCATTCCGTGCGTGCGCCACCTTTTCGTTTTACATACCAGCTTATCTCAACTACATCACATGTTTTCAACCTTGATACAAATCTTACTCTTTTGCCCCAAATCCTGTTCTTTGCTACTACTCCCCCCAAGCCATGATTCCATATAACTGCTAGACACGGGCCGCGAGTCTGACCTGTCATGGACCAACCAGCAACCCATAACTCGCCGAGGACATGGCTAATAACGTCTGCGCTCACGCCACTCGCTGTCCGGCTGATACGCCAGCTCCTGGCGCATGGTGACTACATAGTCGCCTGCCTGCCACCACATGAGATTGAGCACGAAGACCGCAGCGCCGAATTCCGTGAGCTCATCAACGAGTGTAAGAGCAACCGCAAGGATCGTGAGGGATGGAAGGACCGGATCCGCCCCATCCGGTGTGATAGCCGCGTCATGGGCCAGTGCGGCGCTGCCGTTGCCGAAGCCGTCCAAATATTTGGGAGGATTGACATTATGCTCTGTTGCAGAGCCGAAGGTAAGTGAATCGAAAACGTTTATGTCACAAGACGATGGCCCGCTGATTCTTCTTGTGTTTCTTAAAGCCGTTGTGGGGACCGTTGAGGAACTATCAACCAGCCCTGCGACGCAGAACCTGGTGAGGGACCAGTTCGAGACTGTCTACTTCTCACAGGTGAACTTTATCAAGGCTGCCCTACCGCAGCTCAGAGCGCAACATACAGGTCATATCATGGTTCTGACCAGCATTGGTGGCCACATTGGGACACCAGGCATGTCCTTTTACACAGCTGCCGTTTGGGCACTCGAGGGCTTCTGTGACTCGCTAGCATACGAGATTGCGCCCTTCAACATCAAGATGACGATTGTGCAGCCCAACAAGGAAATCCTAAGCCTAACCAACAGGCTCATATTCTCGCCGCCACTACCCCAATACGAGGCCGACCTGAACCCGGCTCCAAATATGCGGGATGTACTGTCTACCGTCCTGAACTCGAATCCGGACACGTACATTGAGCAAAGCGAAGACGAGATACAGTACCGCTACGCGAAACTTCCGCCCGCCACCTTGGACAAGCTGGTCATGGAGACGGTGCATGCCTTGACAGCCATTGGCGGACACGAGAACCCGCCGGCAAGGCATATCGTCGGGTTTGAAGGTGCTATTGCCGTCAGGGAAAAACTGAAGACGGTGACAGAGGAGTTGGAGGACTTTGTTGAAGTTAGTCTGGCCGTGGACATTTTCGACAGCGAGCTCAAGGCCGAGGCAAGAAAGGGTAGGTCGGAAATGGAGGCTACACAGGGCATGGGAGCGGGCGAGGGTTCATCGGGCGCGGGAATGGGTGGTTTCCCTGGCATGGGACCAATGTCATGATAACGCCTGGCTCTACACCGCTATCAGCTTAAGGATGGTCGAGCAAAGGGAGTCATGGCAGGAATGGGACAAAATATGCCTCTGGTCGTCATAGCTTAGACTCTGTAGGCTACCTGTACTATTCGAACAAATGGAAAGGAAAATCACAAAGGCCACTGTGTCTGCTATCATGCTACTCCAGGGCTCGATTAAATATTGAACACGGCTGAGTCGCCGTTTGGTCGCCGTGAGGGATGCCGTTCACCGGAGGTACTTCCGGACCCTTGGTCGGCTTTTGCTCCACTTCCCGGCCGGGGCAGGGAAGACGGCCGGAGTGATCACCGGAAGGCGGGGGAAGGGGAAGGGATGGAAGCTGTTCAGAGCTTGGGCCGCCTTTACACATTCAGTATACTACAGCGGGGAGCTGCCTGTATTCTAGCACCAAACCCCTGCGCCATGCAGCTGCCCGCCGCCTTGACCCCCCCATCAACGCCATCCGATCCAGTCCAAGTGTGATGGACTGATCCCGCCAATCCGTCTAGGGGGGGTTCGGCCTATTCAACGATTCACCGAAGGAACATCACCACCTTTATACAAAGACGGGACTCGGTGCCCGCTCGAAACAAACAGCTTCTTTAATTTTCACAGCTACCTAGACACCCTTTCTGCATCACCACTGCAACACGTACAGACGTAACGACAGCCAGCAGGTGCGGAACAGTAAGGCAAGGCAAGGCAAGGTAGCAGCACTCGCGTGCCTGCCTGATGCTTCGAAGCTCCTCTTGGACCCCGACATGTCCCTTCTCTCCCTCTAAAGGAAGCTAGCAACACAACCTCGACAGCATCCCACCGCGTCCCCAGGGCTCAGGAATGACCTCGCCGAGACGACCATGACTCCGGATCCTTTCCTGCCCGTCGCGCCGGCGAGGGTCAAGACACTGGTGTTGCCCATAGGAAGGATTAAGCGTGACCGCTTTGACACCTTTGTCAAGAGCCTGAACACCGAGAATGTCGTCCAGCTACGCGACATCACCGCCGATGGCCGGCCAAACAGAAGTAGGGATAGCGCCAGCTTGTATCCAAGGTCCATGAGAGCTCTCGCTGACCCGCGTATCTGCCTCTCCTAGACATGTTCACCCCTCTGGCCTTCCCCGACGGCGCCATGTTCTACGATCTTATGACCCACGTACCACCCCCTTCGCACCTTGCGCTGGTGCCCTTCGACCTGTATCGCGAACCGCTGGCCCTGCTTGCCATTGCCGATGGCTCCGAGATCAATAACGTTGTTCTCAGCAAGAGGCAATCTGGCGGCAGGACAGTCGCCGAAACAAACATACGCTCGCTTGATCAGGAGTTGGAAGACCTAAGGGACCGCTACCCCAGGATACTCGTCCACCAGGTACTACTGTTCGACTATGTGCCTTCCGAAGAGAACCCAATAACAATTCCAGAAGGAATCGTTACAATCCCGCCGCCTGAGCAGCATAAAAGAACCACCATGAAAACGGTCATGTGTGACATATCCTCGTTGATTCTGGCCGAAATGACCACCCTCGCCAAATCATACGAGGGTATGACCTTTATCGACTCGCCCGGTCACGCTTCCACCGCGGAACAGATGTATGGGGGACAAGGACCTCTAGGAGACCCTTCGAGGAGGAATTCCCAGTTTGCATTGCCAACCAACCGATCAGTCTCAGCGAGCGGGCTTATAGATAGGGGCCACCAGGCGCGCATGTCCATGCCTCCTGTCCCTTTCAAGGGAGGCACTTTTGGTTCCAACCGTGCAGTTTCCGGTCAACCTGCGACACCGCCAAATGGACGAAGCGGGTTGTCTAAGCCGCCTACGAACTTTGACGACATCACGGAAGGCGAGTCGGTTAGTCCTGAGAAGGCATTGCCTTCGCGTCCCGACTTTATGGACGTGTTCAGGACCCAGAGCCAGGACAGGGTATCAGTCCAGGGATTTGGATCAGGCGGACCGACCGACAAGAAGTTGCACAGGGGAAAGAGCAGGTTCCAGATCGTCTTAGGCTCCCTGTATCTCCAGGCTGGTCGGTGGATTGACGCGCTCAGAGAGCTGACCGAGGGTGCAACTGGCGCCAAATCGACTAATGATCACATTTGGCACGGAAAGGCCCTGGAGCTATCTCTAATAGCGCTGTTGCTGCTGGGTTGGGCAGGCGTTGAATTCGATGTACACCCTATCTTGCTACCAAATGCCGACAAAGGGACAGCGCTCGCGAACCAGATCCTGGAGGCCGAACAGAAAGACCCAGACCAACCGCGGTGGCTACGGAGACTACAGGTGTACATCCCAGAGTTGCTTGACCGTATCATCAGCCTCTACTCGAGGATAACAGCCGAAAATCTCCAACCGCTACCCATGTCTGAGACCATCATCCGTTTCTGCAAAATGCTCACGGCTCTGCATGTCGCGGATGGCAAGCTTGATGAACGGTCTCTAGAGATGATGGTCCTTGGTACACCGCCGCCAAAGCAGTTGACCACGTCTCCTAGGTTTACTATTATCCCAACAAGAACTCATATCCTATCGACTTTGATGAAGGCCTATCCGGGTTCTGCTTCTGAACTGTTGATTACCGCTGACCGAATAGTACTCCTAAGCGGCATTGCATCAGTCTTGGGAGTGCTAGGTTTCCAGAGGAAGAAGGCCATGGTCGTTAGGGACTTGGTGTCGGTTCTTATCGGCGGCCTAGTGGAAGCGCGCACCAGGGGAGCCGCAGATGTTGGAATTCATCCCGCAGCTGGGCTTGTCGGTCTTAATGGGCTCGGCGGGAACGGCCATGCCGGTGCTCTGGATCTAACAGAAAGTGACATCGAGCAGGGTATCGGCGCCTTTCTCGGGCTCCTGCTTAGGACGTACGGAGTGGTAACCGATGACCCGGGCTCGACAGCGTCGCTGGAAGGCCCAACCACAAGAGACGACTCCGATGAAGCAATAGTTGCAAGAATCCTGAAACAGTCCGATCTACGAAATTTCGGCATACGGGATCTCAAGCTCAACATTCTAAGGACGTGCGTCAGCTTCTCTGAAGCGCTTCCAGACTTTGCTGGCGTGCTAAAATACTCGAGCGACCTCCTACGGACCGCTGGGAGCGGTACCGCTCCTGGCCTGCGGCGCGAGGACGCTTACCCGGCAATCCATAGAGAGGACCAAATACGCTTCGCTACCAACATCTCCAAAACATCCAATCTTGCCAAGCGCCTGGGTATGGGCCATCTGGCGGCCGAGTATTGGGACGAGTTTCTTCTCAGGGGCGTTAAGCTCGAACCCTTGGCCACGACACGAACACCAGTTTCACATGCTCGGAGCGTGCTACCTAATGCTGTGGCGACGACGAGGACCTCGCAGGATGTCAATCCATTCATCTATAACCCATTTCTAAAACAGCCAGACGCAGCAGCTGTCGAGAAGGTTCTAGTTGCTGGAGAGGCAGCAACGTTCAAGCTTACCTTCCAAAACACATTCGAGATGGATTTAGAGCTGGAGAGCATCCGGCTAGATACTGAAGGAGCCGAGTTCGAATCCGCAGTTGAAAGTCTCGTTGTAGGGCCCTATCGTACCCAAGTCCTCAGGATATCAGGAGTGCCGAAAGCTGCAGGGACCTTGAGGATTAAGGGTGCTATTATCAAAGTCAGGGGCTGCCGCGAAAGAAGGTTCCCTATTTTCATTGAGCAGTGGGCTCCTGAGAAAGAACCAAAGGTTAAAGGCATCGGCCTTGCGGCACTTGATGTTCCTCCAGCGAAGCGTACACCTCCAACACGGCGTCCTAAGCCAGAAAGCCTTGGGCTTAACGTCATTGCCGAACAGCCTGTTGTCGTCGTCAAGTCTTCAACGCTTCCCCAGTCATCGGTTATGATCCTTGAAGGGGAGCGCCAGAAGTTTTCGGTTACGCTGCAAAACCTATCAACCACGACTCCAGTCGATTTTCTGCTGTTCTCCTTCCAAGACTCGACCCAAGAACCATTGCAGGCCGCAATGGCCAGCAGAGATGCCACTCCCGCTGAGCTTTATGAATATGAGCTCATCCTTGCCAAGAAGCAGGCTCTTCGCATACGCAAGGAAGGGAACCAGAAGAGATACATCCCTCCTGGCGGAACAGCAACATTCGACTTTGAGATCCTTGGGAAACCGGGTCTTACCCATGGCCTCATCCAGGTTGACTATGCTTACTTGGGCGTGCCTCCCGACGAGCTAGAAGGAGAGAGGTTCTTTACTCGTCAGGTCTCGTTGGCACTTACAGTTACTGTCAATGCCAGTATTGAAATAGACCGCATGGATGTCTTCCCGCTGCACGGCAGCATCCCTGAACCACTCTGGTTACGTGCGGGCAGCAACAAAGAGAGCACGTCGGCACTCACCGCCGATACACATTGCCTGCTAATGTTGGATTTGCGCAATGCTTGGCCGAGTACTTTGGTGGTACAGCTCGAGTCAGAGGACGGAGCCAGGCTCGAGGAGCATATCCTTCCTGGAAACGTCAACAGAGTGATCTTCCCAATCAAGAGGGTCTACCTCGAGGACCCTTATGCGTTCATTCCTGTGCTGAACCCCTCCCGAAAGAGACAGTTCATTGTCAGCTCACATCTTACGCCTGAAATGGAACGAGCCAACCGCGAGGCGTTCTGGTACAGGGAGAGGGTCCTAGACTCACTCAAAGGAACGTGGCGGACCGGGCCAGGAGGGGGAACCATTGCTCGCGGTAGGAGCGGAAGCATTGAGCTGAGGGCTATGAGGTTGACGAGCCGCATGATCGAGGCGGTAAAGGTGGATGAGATCGGAATCGAAATCTCCGTTTTGGACGCCTCCGCCTCGCCATTACCCCTTGAAGAGCAAAAGCACAAATCACACGCAATCGCCAAGGTCGAGTCCTTTTTGCAGCTCCGCGTCGCTGTCACCAACCGCACAAAGCAGCCCATATATCCCCTCGTCCGCCTTATGCCGTCCCTCTGCCACCGACCCCTCAACGTCGCGCTCGACTTCACCCGCAAGTTTGCCTGGAACGGCACTCTACAGAAAGCACTTCCACTTTTGGCAGGTGGAGAGAGCGCCGAGGTCGTTATGGGCGTCACGGCATTGTGTAGAGGCGAGTTTGAGATCTCTGCGAGCGTGGAGGAGACGATGGTGTGGAGGCCGAGTGAGGAAGAAGAAGAGGAGAGGCGGAAGAGGAGGAGCGAGGCGGAGAAGATGCAGGATGCGGCGATGGGGATGGAGATTGCGGGCAGTAAAAGAGAGAGGAAGGTGTGGTGCTCTAGGAGGCCGGCTAGAGTTGTCGTGGTTAGGAATGACGGGGATGAGTGAATCATATGAGTTGATCATTCTGTCTGGGATGGTGAGAATGGGTAGGCAGCGAATACCTAAGGAAGGAAGAAAGAAAGAAAGGATGTCGGTAGGTATTGTATGCATGGCCAAGCGTTGATATTGGTTTCCGGGTTGGGGTTGGTGGTTGGGGCCTTGGACGGAAAGCATGGAAGTATGATATGAAGTTGTATGACACGTAGAATAAATATTAATTGCCATATATCCATCAGGTACTTCCATTTGTCCAAGCATAGAGCTAATCACAAGTCCTGATCTGCAGAACGACACGATGGTGCTGTCATTTGTGATAACGAAGATCGCTATCATGCCAGGGTTAGGGTTCTGACAATACAAAACCCTCGACCGCTGAAGCCGCTCGCCACTGCAATTCACCGAAACGGTGGCCAAGGCTTTCGAGATTTTGTTAAACGAATGTCACCACTGACTCACAAAATCAGCGCAAGACCTCATTTTTTCCCCATTTTGTGTAGGAAGCGTTGCTCGGTGGACTGGTTGTTAAAGAAAAGGGGTTTTATTTCGTTCCTGCAGCGCAGCACACCCCTTCCGTCATTAAATTTTCCTTCGCATGCAAGGAAGGCATGGACGACCAACCCAATTCCGAGTCTAACACCAACATGGTTACACCCACCCATCCTTCTCTTATTGATTCTTCTTCTTCCGAGTCGTCTTCATCACACCCTCCTTCGTCTGAACCTCACATCACCAACGGCAACCATGTCTCTCCAACAAAAACACGCAACAATGAGAACAGGAAGGAGAAAAAACACAAAATCCTCTTCCTAGACGCCTACGACTCCTTCTCCAACAACATCACCTCCCTCCTCACCACCCTCCTCGACGATGTAGACGTCTACGTCCTCTCCATCGACTCTCCTCTCCTTAATCCCGCCTCTCCCGATTTTGGCCAGCGGTTCCGCAGGGAACTCGCCCAGTACACGGCCGTGGTATGCGGTCCCGGACCGGGATCGCCCGATAATGATGCGGATGTTGGGTTGATGAATTATGTTTGGCAGCTTCAGCTCGATGCTGCTGAGAAAGGAAGTAACGGTGGAGAAGGTGGACTGCTTCCCGTCCTGGGCATCTGCCTTGGGTTTCAGAGCTTGGTGAAGTATGGTGGTGGAGAGGTGAAGAGGCTTAAGAGGGGGTTGCATGGGATGGTTAGGGAGGTTTTGCATCGTCCTGATGCCAACGGTGGTGATGGCAATATCTTTCGGGATGTGAAGCCGTTCAAGGCGACGCTTTATCACTCGCTTTGTGGCGATATTGGTCAACATGAGGTTTCTGAGGCGGACTGGAGGGAGGGAGGTACGAAGTGGAAGCCTATTAAAGGGTGTGCAGATCTCTTGCCGCTGGCGTGGGTGGAGGAGGAGCGCGACGACGGGGAAGTAGAGAGGATCCTGATGGGGGTGAAGCATCTGAGGAAACCATTTTGGGGGTTGCAGTACCATCCCGAATCCGTGTGTACGGAGCAAGAAGGGAACAAGGTCATTGAGAACTGGTTCAAAGAGGCGCTGAGGTGGAATGAAGCGAGGGGGAGGGTGGTGATGGAAGTTGGTGAGGGTGAGAGGTTGGCGCATCAGGCTACTAAGCCGAGTTTGCTGTCGAGGTTACAGGTTCCGGTTGGCGACGAGCAGACGACGCTTTCTACTACTACTACTACTAGCGAGAGGAAGATTTGGTGGGAGCGCATGGGAACGAGACCTGAGCACCGTTCTGCCACGGTCCGTCTGCCGCACGGCGTGCAGGTGTCGGACGTGGTGGAAGAGCTGGGCCTGGATGGCTCTGACAAGGTCGTGGTTTTGGAGTCTGCGAATGCGACTGCTACGGCGTCAGCGAGGGCAGATGTGAGAGGTCGGTACAGCATCATCGCGGCGGGACTGGAAGAGGCGCTGCGGCTTGAGTACCATACTGGTGACGAGTATGCTACTTTCAAGCTACAGAAGGTCAATGGCTTGCAGGTTGATCTGTCTGAGCGGGTCTTCCTCGGTCCTTATGGTGGGATATGGGGTCTTGTGGCCAGTTTCCAGGAGATGCGCAGCCTTGGAGGTGGTGTTGAGCTTCCGGATCTACCGTTCCTGGGAGGATTCATGGGTTTCATCACCTACGAACAAGGCCTGAGTGACATCGATATCCACTTGGAGAACCGTCAACACCACCGGCCTGATGTCTGTCTGGCATGGGTAACAAAGAGCGTGGTCATAGATCATACTCTTGGCTTGGCCCATATTCAGGAGCTGTACTCTTCTGATACGGACTTGGACGATGATGCCTGGATGCGTAGCACCGCAGACCGGCTTTTATCAACTTCAGCTCATCACCAACACCAATTCCTCAACAATTTGCCTTCACCCGCCAAAAAGGCGAAGACGCGCCGTCCATCTACAAGCACCTCGATACAAACACCTTTGACCAAGGAATACGAAGCCAGGGTGAAAACCTGTCAAGAGTTCATCGCAGCTGGCGACTCCTACGAGCTCTGTCTCACAGATCAGACCAAGATCACCCGGCCCCTGAGCGACATGATCCCATCAGCTACTTCCCAGGAACATCACGCACCGCAACAACAACGGCCAACAAGCCCAACCTTCAACCGGAAGCAGCAACAGCGACGTCGCTCCTCCTCCCTCGTACCCACGACGACCTCAACCCCCGTCCCCTCCTCCTGGCATCTCTACAAAACGCTGCGCTCCCGCCAACCAGCCCCATTCGCGTCCTACCTCCGCCTCGGCGGCGCAACCCTCGTCAGCGCGTCGCCCGAGCGCTTCCTGACGTACGACCGGCACGGGCGGTGCTCGATGCGGCCGATGAAGGGCACGGTGCGCAAGTCCGAAGCGGTGTCAACGCTCGAGCAGGCCGAGAAGATCCTGCACGTGCCCAAGGAGGAGGCCGAGAACTTGATGATTGTCGACCTGGTCCGGCACGACTTGCATTCGATTTGCGGAGCGGGGAATGTTGAGGTGAGCGATTTGCTCAAGGTGGAGGAGTATCAGAGTGTGTTTCAGATGATTACTGTTGTCGAGGGGCAACTACCCTCGCCCTCCTCTGACAACAAGAAGAAATACACGGGACTGGATGTCCTCGCGGCTAGTTTGCCGCCGGGGAGCATGACGGGAGCCCCCAAGAAACGCAGCTGCGAACTGTTGCAGCAGATCGAGCAGCACCGTGAGCGCAGTTTGTACTCGGGTGTGGTCGGATACATGTGTGTCAGTGGGAGAGGAGACTGGAGCGTGACGATCCGAAGTCTGTTTCGGTGGGACGACGAGCGGGTAACTGTGCAGGTTCAGGGAGAAGATGGTCAGAGTGAGGAAGAGCATGAGGTGTGGCATATCGGCGCTGGAGGAGCGGTTACCATTCTGAGTACCCCTGAGGGTGAGCGAGAAGAGATGTTTACGAAACTCGCTGGGCCGTTGAGGGTGTTTGCGGACCTGGGTTAGACTCGAAGAATGGGGGTCTATGGCGAGCAGAGCTGGTCTGAGGCCAGAGGCTGTGGAAGAAAGGGAGGACGAAAACAAAAGTGGAATAAATTCATCATTTTGGGCTCAGGCGTACATTAGGGTTGGAAGAACACGATATTCAACGTATCTAGAGGGTGGTCTTGGTGTCAAGGTTAAAATGGGTTGGAGTTTTGTGGCTGTCATATTGGCTCAACGGATGCATACCTTATGGCGGGACTAAAAAGTAGACATTTCAACACGATGCATTGCAGGTAGAGAGAAAGAAGACGCCAAGTCCTCTCGCTAGATAAATGTTCATAAAATAAAATAACCTCATAACTGTCTCATAATCATCCAAATCCAACCCAGCCCAAATGCCCTTCATCAACCAGTGCCTGCCACTTTACCAAATACCCATTGATCATATCCCATGGCCCCTCCCCGGCTCAAGTCCCGGCGGTTGTACAGTCATAGCCTCCCACCATGTGTAAATCGGTTCCGCACCCAGCCGCTCTCCGAAACTCCCTGCTCCTTTGTAGTTCTGTGTCATTGTTGTGTCTCTCGGACTCCGATGCATTCTGTCGTTGTCGCCATCATTGGTCGGCTAGTCAAAAGTCTTGCTCCTCCTGGAAGAACATGGCGAAGCTGATAATAGTGCCATAGATCAACAGGCCACCGATAACGGACATGATCATGGCCGGGACCGTGATAATAGCCGAGTTTGCGAGAACCACTGGAAGAGCTGTTTGCCGAAGAGAAGAGAAGATGTCAGCTACCGTACTTCCACAAACACAGAATACATAGCAACAACAAGACGGAGACGGAGTAAACCTACCAAGCCCCATCATGACCAAGAAACCAGTGCAGAAGCGACCCAGATCCAGCACCGCAGCGCCCGAGCTCTCAACAAAGTCGTCCGGGTTGGCGCAATGGCTGCAGATCCAGTTGGGTATGGGCGCCAACACGTAGGTGGCCACCACCAGCAGCGGGTAGTATGCCTTCCATAGTGCGCAGGACAAAATGACGAGGAGGAAGCCCACCGCCAAGACGAAGGAGAGCGCGATGATGGTCTTGAGTCCTGCTGCCATCTTGGGTGACTAAGTCGGAATCTCGAACTGCGAAGGCGTATGTGATTTTGGGTAAAGGCTGGGTATGAGTGTCGTTTGCGCCGGCAACTCGGAGGATCGTTGGATGTGTCAGGCTAGGTAGAGTCCAAGTGTGTCGCGGGCCTGCCGGGATCAAAGGTGTTTGTTGCGCGGGCGTAGATAACTCGTGATCGATGGAAATGTGTAGTGCTGCCTGCTGCTTATTGTGATCGAGAATCTGACATGTATCGCGTAGAATTACTCGGCTTGCGCGCTTCGTCGACTCGTTGCTGTAGCAGGCGACAACTTGTGATGGTGGTGATCTAGTGTGCCGTGGTGGAGTTGGAGGAGCTCCAGCGAGCGGAACAAGTGACGACTGACGCTTTGGCTCTCAGCACACAAAGTCTTGGCCGGTGCTCCCAGCGCGCGCCTGGGCCGCCTGCACTCAGCAGCAAAAGTGGGTCTGACTTTCTTTTGGCGGGCAAGGGGGCGAGGGGGGGTACCTGCAGCGACGTACCAGTTGCCTGCCCGCCTGCCCGCCTGTCCCGCCCTCCGCCAACAGCACGACCAGCCTCATTGCCTGGCGAGCGGCGGGACCTGACGAAGCTAGGAGCTGCCTGCGCAACTGGGGAAGAAGCAACCACTGTCCACTGACCTCCATCCATCCCACCCAAACATCGTCACTATCAGTACAAACAACAATCTTTCGCGTCCTCCAAACACCAGAAGAAACCGACGATACTTGCCGGCACAAACCCCGATACTCCCCGCCGCAATCAACTCTTGTTTCCTAGCCTCCCCAATAGAGGTATCCAACCATGTTCAGGAACAACTACGACAACGACTCGGTCACATTGTAAGCTAAGCTGTCCCGCAGCAGCCAGCCAAACTGGGCCCTGCTTCCAAACGCCTAAAGCTCCTCCGCCTGCCACTTTATGAGGTCTACCCTCAACATTCAGCTAACAACTGCTTTCCCTCCAGCTCCCCGCAAGGGCGAATTTTCCAGGTCGAATATGCGGCGGAAGCAGTAAAGCAGGGTTCGGTGGTGGTGGGAATTGCTAGCAAGACACACGCCGTCCTGGTAGCGATCAAGGTACTTAACCCCGACACCCCCTCGTGCACCACCCTGCCGACCAACACATGTCTCCCACTCTACCTACGAGCAAGTTAAGCTGACCATGTTCCTCCTTGCTCCGTCCAGCGTAACGCCGAAGAACTCTCCTCGTACCAAAAGAAGCTCTTTCCCATCGATGAACATGTCGGCATCGCCATCGCCGGTCTCACCTCGGACGCGCGCGTCCTCTCCAACTTCATGAAGCAGCAGTCCCTCGGCCACCGCCTCACGTACGGCCGCAGCATGCCCGTCCGGACCCTCGTCGACATGATCGGATCCAAGGCGCAGATCAACACGCAACACTACGGCAAGCGGCCCTACGGTGTCGGTCTCCTGGTCGCCGGCGTTGACGACCACGGCCCGCACCTGTTCGAGTTCCAGCCCAGCGGCATGACCGAGGAGATGGTGGCCTTTGCTATTGGCGCCCGCAGCCAGATGGCGCGCACATACCTGGAGAAGAACCTGGAGGCTTTTGCCGACTGCGGCCGCGAGGAGCTGATCCGTCATGGTCTCAAGGCGCTCAAGGAGAGCTTGGTGCAGGACCGCGAGTTGACGATCGACAATACCAGCGTCGCCATTGTGGGAGTCGAGAAGCAGGAGGACGGCAAGACCAAGCCGCAGCCATTCAAGGTGTACGATGGACAAGACGTCAGCGCGTGGATAGAGAGTGTGGCGGATAACCAAGAGGCTGCCCCGGCAGCTGCCGAGGGCGAGGGTATGGATGTCGATAGTTAAAGGATGAACTTGCGGTTGACTTTGAAGCAGAGGGGCAGATTAGCACAGGGAGCGCATACACCCGGAATGAAGTAATGAGATCAAACAGATCACTTTGATGTTAATGCATTGTATTGTGTCTACTGACATGGTGCCATCAATCCCGTCGATCAAGCAAATGGTACACCGAGAGCTTTTGGATATGGCCTGGCCTGGCCCAGCCTAAAAAACAGGACCCCTGAACGCCGTCATCCATCCAGAAAGAAGCTGCGCGGTGCAAGGGCAACAGCATCTGGTTTCCCAAGAAAGGAAGAACCTCGAGAAAACAATCCCCCCTTCGTCTCCTACCCTCCTCGTCTACTCATCACTCCACTTCAGCTTGAAAACCGCCTCGGATACCTTATACTCCCTCAGCGCCTTGATCGCATCCTCCGGGTTCTTGGCCTCCACCATGATCTTTCCATTCGCCTGGTTCACAAAACCCTCCTTGATGCTGTTCTGGATCCACTGCAGAATACCGTCATAGAAGCCGTTGATGTTCAGCAGCACGATGCCCTTGTCGTGGATGCCCAGCTGGTTCCACGTCACCGTCTCGAACAGCTCCTCCATGGTGCCGTAGCCGCCGCTCATGGCGATGAAGCCCGATCCGGGGCCGCCCGCTAGCACCTCCTGCGCCATCATCATCTTGCGCGTGTGCATGTCCTTGACGATGGTCGTTCGGCCGAAGACGTTCTCGTCGGGGACGGCAAGCTGTTTGGGCTTTCCCTCCTCGTCGGCGGCGGAATCCTTCTGGCCGCCGTTTCCGCCGCTCACCTGGGTGGACGTGTAGTTGGGGTCCCGCTCGTACCGGACCAAAGCCTCGGGGATGATGCCGTGGACAGAGTCAGGGCCGGAGAGAGAGACGAGGGTCTTGGCGATCTCGCCCATGAGGCCGACTGTGCCGCCACCGTAGACTGTGATTTCTGGTGTTAGTGAAAAGAGGTTCATCAGTAGTTGGGTGAGAGGGGTTAGTCAAGTACCTAGGCCAATGTTGTTGGCGGCCATGGCGCGGGCGAGCTGGCGCGCGGCTTCGAGGTAGATGGGGTTGTTGCCGGCGGACGCGCCGCAGTAGACGCAGATCTTGGTCTGCTTAGGGCTGCCATCAGCGGCGGTGGTGGAAGTAACGCCGTTGGTCGACATGTTGGTCATTTCCGTTGTTTGGTAGTACTGTATGTCAAGGAGTGTTGCTAGGGTCTCAAATACTCTTATGAGTGAGAGTAAAAAGGGTAGCGGAGTGGTGGCGTTGGTCTCGAGATATTTATACAGAGAGGAAGGGCAAGGTGGGTTCCAGGAACCTGGGTCCAGATCTCTTGCAATGAACCTTCGAGTTAAACCTTGACAGCTCGAACCAACAAGATCTATCCGTCAAACCTGAGGATAGGATGAATTCTAGATAGATATTTGGCAAGGCTGGGTGAATGTCAGCTTCCAGGTTCTGTCAAGGGAGTGTAGTGGCCGCTTGTGGTTGGATGATGACTCGATGGGGGAAGTATCTCGAGGACCCTTGCCAAGAGGCGTGGAGTGGATTCCCGTCATGGAGAACGGGCCCTCTAAAGTTAGGTTGCAGGGAGGTTCAGACCTTCTGGGTTGGGTGTGTTGCGAGTATCAAGATCGAATCCTCGCGAAGATGGCAAAGGGCGTTAGTAAAATTCAGACGAACATTCCGAGAACAATGGACAGAGCAGGTGAATTGGATTGTTGATTGTCAAGCTCGTTGCGAATAAAATGGATTGTTGCTGGCCTCGTTATGCCGGGAGAAGCCGCAGGACATAGCACCCAGATGTTCGAAGCCAGGAGGTCATTTGTTCTGTGAATCAACTTCCACTTATAAGAACGGCATCATAACTTTTGTGTCTGTGACGCGCGAGGGTGGACTTTTGCAACTGGAATGTACCTTATGACACGGGAGTGTTGATACTTTGACAGGAGGAACCATCATCGCGGGATGCCTTTCCGGGAAGGCACCGTTCGTATGTACTCTGGTTCTCGGCAGTGAATGGTTCAAACCTCAAAGTATAGGGTAACACGGCGTAACAGCCAATCGACTCCGGATTCTTAGTCACGCGATGTCAAACTGATTGTGGTGTTATGAAGCTGTGAACTGTATGGACAAGGTTGCTTGGAGTTGGGATGTCAAAGCTTGATCACTCGATCGAAGTTGAAGTGGACATGTTCGAATGTTTGGACCCTTGCTGTTTCCCCGCCGACTGTCCCGACGGGAGCGCTGAGACAGCGAACCTGAAGCTTGGTGCCAGCTTCCGGGTTCTGCCAAACAGAGAGTACCTAGCTTGGAGCCTCAACAGGGTAGAGAGGCAAGTACCTACAGCTAGGACAGTAGGCCCACTTCGTTTATAGGTCCCCTACCAGAAAATTGCAGTGTACCATGCTGTTCCCCTCCCGTCAACATCATCACCATCACCACAGCCCGGGCCTCTCTTCACAACAGAGTCCTGCGGTAACGACAGTCCATAAGTATCACCTTGGCTCGGCGCAAGTGGAACAACCATCTTTTAATTGTTCTCCATTCGTCACTTTTCCCAAGATGCCCGAAGGAAATGGCGCCCAGCGCCAGCCTGCGCGGCAGGAGGAGCAGCAAGGCGCAAGTTATCAATCCCAAGCTGGAGCGGTGTATCATGGAATAGATTCTGACAGTCTAGGCTTATCCAGTCCTCCATGTTCTCCAAGATCATCCAGGCCGTTGCAATGTGGGCCTTGATGCAGCTCGTTATGAAGCAGTTTATGGGCGGTGGACAGAAGACAGCAACAGTTCAGGACGCGACCACCGGACAGACCGTCCAAGTCTCGACAAGCGTACCTCCGTATGACCAGCGCCCCCAACGGCTCGATGATGGCGCCGTCTACAACCGAGTTCCTCAGCTTATTGCGCCCATCTGGCCCGAGAACAGCCAGGTTGATATCATAGTCACTATTTCCCCGTCCTTCGTTCCGACCCCGTTGAAGCAGACCTCGGCGGATAAGGTGGTGTTCCAGGAAAAGAAGTTTACAATCGGCAATTGGAGCGACGCGCGCACTGAGGAAAGGACCATCGACATTCCCACCGAGGTTCAGAAGAATGGCACGCTTTGGGGTCATTTCTATGTTGGCTTGTCCGGTGCCCTCCTCGACCCGACCCAGCCCAACTACGATCCTGGTTCTGCATACCATTTCGTGTGGCCATTGACCCACTACATCCCCAGAAAGAAGGAATTCAAGACCAGGAACCTACTTGCTGGCAAGGAGGATGCTGTTGAGGAGGTGGAGGAGGTGGAAGAAGAGCAACCATCAGGACCCATTATCACTAACTACTACCACCCCAACATCTCGCTCTCCTTCATCCCCAATACCGGTTCCATGCCTTTTGCCCAAACGCACCCAGCTGAACGCCAGTTTCTCCGCCTCGAGGCCACCGGTGCAAGGGACGGCACCGGTCAGAACACTTGGTACTACCCGATCCTCTTTGTCAATACCTTCTGGCAGCTCAAGAGTCAGATGACCATCATCAACGAGACGATCAAGACCATGCCCATGCGCATTGATCTGAACAACCTGGCGGGATGGAAATTCAAGACTATGGCGTCTATCGACCTCAGCGCCAAGGAAGCGGCGCGTGCGGCGGCTTTCGGGAATCCCTTGACCACGGGCAGCGATGGCAGCGAGATCGAAATGATCAAGGAAATCTTCCTGGATTCCAACCCCATCCTTCTCGGTATCACCATCTTTGCCAGTATCGCGCACATGATTCTCGAAACGCTTGCGTTCGGTTCCGACATCGCTCATTATCGCAAGAAGAAGGACAACGTTGGCATCTCGGTGCGCTCCATCCTCGCCAATGTGTTCATGCAAACTATCATCTTCTTGTACCTGGTCGACCAGTCGCAGAATACTAGCTGGATGATTCTCGGCTCTCAGGGCGTCGGTATTCTTATTGAGCTATGGAAGATTACGACAGTGGTCAACGTGCGGATTCGCCCTGCACCTGGATCCATCATACCATACCGTATTTCCTTTGAGGACAAGCACAAGCTCAGCGAGACAGAGGAAAAGACCAAGGAGTACGATGAAATCGCTTTCAAGTACATGTACATTGCGGGCGTTCCTCTTCTGATCGCTTATGCTATCTACTCGCTTATCTACGACACCCACAAGTCGTGGTACTCTTTCGTCATCGCCACCCTCGTCGGCTCGGTTTACGCATATGGATTCCTGATGATGGTTCCCTCGCTCTACATCAACTACCGTCTCAAGAGCGTTGCTCACATGCCTGGCAAGGCCATGATGTACAAGTTCCTCAATACCTTCATCGACGACTTGTTTGCTTTCACCATCAAGATGCCCTTCCTCCATCGCCTTGCTACTTTCCGCGATGACATCATCTTCTTTATTTATTTGTATCAGAGATGGGCATACAAGGTCGACTACACCCGTGTCAACGAGTTCGGGCAGGGTGGTGAGGATGACGCCGTTGAGGAAAAGAAGGCGGAGGGGCAGAAGGCGGTACTTCCTGCACCGACTGAAGAACAGACTGTGGGAACTACATCCGAGAAGGCTAGCGGAACGGAGACTGGCAAAGCGAAGAAGAGGAAGTGAACTTGATGGAGCACGATGTCGGACTCGTCCGGCACAATTGCATCAGGGTAAAAAAGGGATCCGCGTTTTGGAGACTGGCAAAAACGATCCCAGAAAACATATATATACACTAATATAGAGCACATGATTTACGTGTTGGTGAGCTGGTGCTTTCTGTGGGGGCGGGTGTCAGGGATACACCCACGGCTGGTCAATGGTAAGCCTATATCTTGAGAAATATGACAAGCTGAACAACAGCCGTGACGTCGTACGAATGGTAATATATAGCTATATCAGCCAGAAAGCATCGACTGTCATACCCACCATGCCGTCGGTCATCATCGGATACCTCTAGTTGTAGGGCTGAGCCTGGGGTGGGTTGCAACCGTTATCCATTGGATAGTAAGATGCTTTCCCCTCTCCGTCGTCGAAGCTGGAGGCTACAAGCAGAGGCAGATGTCATTACCAACGGGTGGTTTTCGGGAAATGAAGGGCTCGTGGCATCCGATCTGAAAATAGTTATATGTAATGCCCTGGTCCAGGACGTTCAGGGGCACCTACTTAGTAAATGCGCCCGCGGCCCGCCAAGATCTCCACGATCCCCACGTTTTGCAAACAAACCGTCCCTAAACCCCCGTCCTATTCTCCCGGACGGGATACGAGGGGACTCCCATCACCAACAACACGAGTCAAAAAGTAACCCTGGCTGAGCACCTTGCTGTCCTTTTGCAGGGTTCCGTTTTGAGAAGTTTGGCTGGCCCGGTTCGACTCCCAGAGGCCGCCCATCCTGATTCCCCGCCAGGGTCCATGGTGATCAGGACAATTACAGCCCCTGTTCCCTTGTTACCCGTTGTTCCGCGCTGCCATAGCAACTTCCACTTCTTCCCTAGGACAACTTGTTGTGTTGTGTTTGTACAGCGGCTTCCAAGCACGTCTGCCTGCCTCCGCCAAGGAGAGCTCCACAGGGCCCTTTCAATAGCTTAGGTCCCGCCGTAACCGTCGGATCGTTTCCAAGCGCCCGGGCCCCGAACCCCGTTGCACAACGATTCAACATCCATCCCCATTTCCTTCCTGGGCGACCGAGTCTTCCATGTGATATTTCTTTTCCTGACTGGCCCCTTTCTCACATGTTCAACTCGATGATGAAATTCTTCCTTCACTTCATTCATAGTACAGCTACCGGATCGGAGCTCTTGGTATCCACTTGATGACGACGGACGACAACAACCCAACGCTGCGCATTCGTAGAGATACCTAGACAGATAGTCTCGTCTACAGACCCCGCTCGACCTCTGTTAGTGACGAGAGCCTCGTTGGTAGTTCAGCCTACGTCTACTTACGGTCATCTACTACTATTGAAGCGGCATTGAACATGCGCTAGGCGAGGGAATCAAGTCATTGATAAGAGGATTTAACACGACGACACAGGACGATAACGGCTTAGACAAAAGATATCAACGGGAGGAGGTGGAGGGGGATCCGATATAAAGAGATCATAGCCAGCAAAAGCAACCATCGCCAGAAAGATATGAGTGCAGGTCCCAGCAAGAATAACGACACGGTCGGGTCGCTGTTGGCCAGCATTGCGACCTACTTGAGCGACTCACTCCGCGCACTCAGATTTGCCGACAAGCGCCACTGGGGCCCTGATGAGTTTGAGCAGATCCGCGCCCTTGAAGATGCATTGGATGATGCAAAGACGGATTTCCAGGAACTTGGTGTCTTGGTCAATGGGCAGTTTTACTATGAAGGAGACAGGACTCGTAAGTATATCATGATATTTCTAATGTCTTCTCACTCTCATCTTGCTCTTTCTTGTCAAGCAAAAGTCATCCTTCTTCTACTGTTGTCTTACTATTTCGCCTGGCACTTTCACTCACCACCTTCACCACTATCCTCACTCCTTTCCCAACACAACCACTTAGACAAAGCTTCTCATTACCCGCTCTACCACTAACCCTTCTCACAAAAGCCGAATCTCTCAACGAACTGCGCGCCCTCCTGATCAAATACGAATTTCACGCCCGCAACTTCAAAGACTGGATCCGGCAAGGCGGGCCCATCAACCCAACCTGGCTCAGCGAGACCAAGGAACTCCAACTAGAGCTTCATCGCACCCAATGCCACGCCGCTCGGCGCATATTCGCGGCCGAGCAGGAAGGGACGTGGATGCGATGTCTGGGCGCCTACCAGGTGTATCGCCAGCAACGAAGGAACGAGGAAGCTGAGCGAATACGGAAGCAGAAGGAAGAGGAGAAGCGGGAAAAGGAGACTAGGGAAGGGGCAGGGGGGAAGCAGCAGCACAGGGACCTGGAGAGGATACCGCCGTGGCAACGGCATGAGTATCAGCAACACCAACAGCAGCAGCAAGGGAAAGGGCCAACGGATGAAGGGTTACGGCCGGCGTTGAGAAGGGGGAGGAGGTTAAGCCTTGAGGATCTGGTTCCATGCTGCAACGCGGTCGGGAGGTTCGAGAGGTTTGGGGAGCACGACGTGGCCTTTGTGTGCGACTTTTGCGACGGGTTCATCGTCTGGCCGGATCTACAGAGGATGCCATCTACGAGGACGGCGTTGGATCAGTCGAATGGAGGAGGGAGTACAAGTACGGCGACAAGTACTCTTCCGACGTCAACGACGACAGCGACAAACTCTCCCAGGAAGCTCATATTACCGACCATAGTGACGGCATCATACCCAGCAGCAACAAATCCCCAACTTTCAGGAACCACCACAACAGCACAAACAGAAACAACAACAGAAACCACATACCCCCACTGGCAAGCCCAAGGCCTAAGTGCCAAAACAGGCGAAGCCAAAACCGTCGTCTTCGCGCCGATAGCGATAGCGAACCACATGGCTCCCGTCCCCGGCGACTGGCTGGCGAGGATATGGTGCCCCTACTGCGACGAGTACACGTACGTGGATCAGGGCGAGGACAGCGAGGATGAGGTGAAGTGGGCGCAGGACGAGAGGGGGTTCGAGGACTTGGCCAGCTTTCAGGAGCATCTGGAGTGGTATCATACGGCGCTACCGGTGCCGAGTATACCGGCGTTATTGCCGAAGGCGGCGGGAAGTTGTTTGGTTATGTGATGGCGGTTGTCACGGGTGGTTCGAGTTTGGGCTTAGTGTCCAGGGTCTCTCGGTTTCTGTTCTGGATTGAGAAAAAAAAAATTGGCGGTTTGGGCTGGAGTTAGGGGGGAAAGGCCTTCTGGTTCAAGCAGGGAAGCAGACTGGTAGTAGGCCCTCTCAGGGGTAGATTTTGTATCGGCGCTTGACGAATGCATGGCGTTGGATAGAACAGATACCGGTCTGAGATCAACCTGGAGATACGCATGAATGAGCGCCGGTGGCATTGGAGTACAGCAGTCTGTAGAGGCCCTGTCAGGCTTTGCGAAGTCATCATCGGATGAAGGAGTTGAATGCAAGAAACTTATAAGAACATGTCTTGATAGCTGATAATTCACCCGGCCAAACGTCCTTTTTGCGTTCGTCCCCCCTTTTACCCAAACTCCATGCTAGGTCAAGCCGCCAAAAAAACCAATGCCGTACACACACATATTAAAATAATTACAGAATCCACGTAGCCTATCCGTCACAGCATTATACAGAGCCTGACGGTGTCGTGTATAACCCGCTAACGATGATGCCCCCATGTGATCAGCTCAAAAGAAGAACCTCCACCACAAGAAGAAAACAATAATAGAGCCAACCGCCGCAAACGGCCCGTACTGCTTCAGAAGCAGATCCCAGTTAATCTTAACAGCCGCCCTCTTGTACTTCTTACTATCGTCCCTCAACCGACTGCTCAGCTCGCCCATGCGCTCCAGGCTGTCGCCGCGGTACAGCAGATCCTCAATGTTCTTCGTCATGACCTTAGTTACGTCCCTTAGCTCATCATGCAGCTTATCCAGGTTCTGCGTCGCGCGCGTGTCGCTGTACGTCGCCTTGGTGCGGCTGATGAAGCTGTCAAAGTCCATGAAGGCGTAAGGCCGCAGCGTCGGGTTCATGAGCTGCTGGGGCGTGTGCGTCGTCGCGAACTCGCCCGCGATGTCGGATAGGTACGTGAAGGCTAGCTTGCGCGGGTACGATCGGTCCGTGATGGCGAAGTACACGATGTCGGACTGGATCAGGTAGTGCAAGGTGTAGAGAGAGCCGCTCTCGATGCTGGCTTGTGGTTCCGAGGTGCGCGTTAGGCGGCGCAGGATTAGTTTGACTTGGGACTTGACTTCGCCGAGGGAGGATTCGGTGGCTTCGTCGTCGACCGAGGCGCAGAGCATGAGGCCTGTTTTTGAAGGGGGTCTTGCGTTAGCTATCAGGCAAGACATCTCCGTGGGCGGATGATAGATGGGGACGAGGGGGTTGGTTAGGGGGGCACGAACCATCCAGCCGTGCGATCTGTGTTGAGCGGATCATTGTAAATAAAATATGTTATGTCAATCCTCGTTCGTTGTTTGCTGGTGGTGACCTTGGTTGTCCTCGTGCAACCGGATATTAGTAAGGACAGCTGCGTGCTTGGGTTTGTCAAGTTGGTGTTGTTGGAGAGGAGAGTGGACAAGGGAAAGTTTAAAGCTTGTGATGACGAGCAGGAGTGACAACGCGGCCCAGAAAGGCGTTGGGGGAGTTGGAGATGTCGGGTACGTGGCTTCTATGATCGCAACCACCTTGGACCGACAATATTCTCGTTGCCTGTTTTTCTTCCACTGCTGATGAAATATAGTATTATTATCCTCTCTTCATTCTACTACCTCGTTTTACTAGTAAGAAAATAAAATATCACCAGACAGTAGACTGATGCAATGATTGCAAGTCCCTTGTCAAGGATTCAAGTTGTTAAACGGGGCATTGATGACGATATTGGCGCTGGAAATGTCTTGAACGCTCAAGCAGCAGGCCCTGTAACTTGTACTGTTTAGTTGAATAGTACGAACGCTATTCACGCCTAGTAGGATCTCCAAGCTAGCTTCCGGGGTGCATCATGCAAGTGCTTGGCGCCATAGCTTCAGCTTCCATCCCATCCATCTCGTCCATCACACAATAGGGAAGGAGCAACCTCAACCGAACAACAACGGGGAAGGGGAGCTGGAGGTGGATCATTCACTTATCATTCACTATATCAGTTCAGGTTGATGCCGGCTCAAATTCCACTTCCATTGCACATCCTCCCAGCGTTGCGCGTCAACTTGTACTCTAGTACCACTTCGTTTTGTTTGACCACAAATTTTACCCGAACGTATCTTATTCTCTACCTTCATCACCCCCCGCTTTCTCCTCTTTCCTTCCACCAGATATCAGTTTGTTCGCAGATGTAACCACAGTCATATCGGCCGCATGAACCATCATCGACATACGACAGACAGACGGGGACTTTCACGGCGCAACTGTGCCAATTCACGCTATCTGGTATCGATTTAATATCACAACAACCAAGCATCACAGACCTGACCCCGTATCTGACTTGACGGTGATTATTCTTTGCCGGCAAACCAACATTCCTGGATTCGATCGCTTTTTGAACATCTCCAAATCTCAGATTTCCCTCTCCAGGCAAGGCGGCCAACTAAAGGTGTTCTGAAGGATGGCTGAAGAAGGAAGTAGTTCCCCGCTCTCCTCCGTCCTCTCCTCCCCTCCGCCTTCTCCTCCCTGGAGCGTGACTGGGGACTGGAATGGCACTCATGTGCAGGAGACCGATACGGCTGCGCAGGTGGCTTTGGAGGAGCGAGCAACCGAAGAGCCAGCAGTCGAAGAACCAGCGATCGAAGAACCAGCAGTCGAAGAACTCGTGGTCACAAGTCCGGCAGTCAAAAAGCCAGCAGCCAAAAAGGGAGCAGCCAAAAAGTCAGCAGTCGAAAAGTCAGCAATCGAAAAGCCAGCAGTCAAAAAGCCAGCCGTCAAAAAACGATCTGTCAAGGAGCCAGAGGTTCAAGGACCTGAAGAACCTGAAGAAGGACTGACTATGCCGTTGGCGGCACCAAGTGCTTCCCCAGAAAACAAGACAGTACCTCGACCATCAAATCAACCAGAACCTCAGGAACCAGAAGGAGAAGCTTCTACATCCTGGACCGCAATAAATCTCCCACCACGGAGACCACAATCAGTCAAAGAGCCAGAAGTTCCAACACGTGAAGAAGAAGCGGCTGCGCCATCAGCTGTACCAAGTCCCGTCCTCAAGAAGAGAAAACCAGTCAAAGAGCCAGAAGTTCCAACACGTGAAGAAGAAGCGGCTGCGCCATCGGCTGCACCAAGTCCCATCCCCAAGGAGAGAACACCATTGCCTGAACCAGTTAATTCCAAGCAGGATGTGGCTGATTCACGCAATACACTCAAGCCAAAACTGACGAGGGGCGCGTGTACTCCTTGCCGTGAGAAGAAGCTCAAGGTTGGTTGGTCAGAGATCCTGATATTCCCCGATTGTTTTGTGTCTGACAGCTGCGATAGTGCCTTAAAGAGAAGCCGATCTGCTCGCGATGTTCTGGATCTGGCACGCATTGTGTTTACGCTTTTGAACAGCCGCGGAAAGGAATTTCAGCAGCGGCTCGTCCAGCGTTGTCCAAGGCTGAGGCCGTTCCAGCGGATGGGGGCGAGCCAAAAGCTTTGGGTTCGTCCAATTCGCACGAGGATTCGGCAGTACAGAACCCGGAAGTCAAGAAGGAAGTCGATATACCGAAAATCGGAGCAGCAGCAGTCACCGATCCATCGATCAATGGACAGGACTTCAAAGGTCCGAAAAACGAGGACCCAAGCACAGTGACGAAAAGGGCCCGCAAAAATGCAAGTGGGCAAACGCCAGAGGACGCCGTTCTAAACGGCGATGCACAGAGTTCAAGAGACACACGTCGTTCTGAAAGCAGTGGTGAGCAACTGGATACTGAGCCCAGAAAGCGTAAAGCCTCGGATCAAGACAAATCTAGCACTGCTAAAAGGCCACAACATGCCGGAGCAGCGCCAAAAAAAACAAACCTGGACAGAAAGTGGGAAGCACCTTTCGTCTATACCGATGAGAATTCCCCTCTTACCAATGCTGATCTTAGAGTTCGTACCTCTTCCCTCTTTCAGACATGCTAGAGTTATCCCACATCGATGTTCTGACACTTGACCATAGGCCATACTGCTGCTCCCGCAAGCATGGGACGTGTTGACACCAGAGGAGAGGAAAGACATTCTCGCCAAATTCCCCGACGACAGCCATATCCTGGATGCAGGGACTGAGAATGCCCGACCGGATCTTGTCTCGTTGCGCAATAATGATCATTTCAGATACGATTGTGCTCGGTATCTTGAAAACATTGAGCGGGGTCGGCATGATGAACAATGGCTTCAGGAGGCCTGGGTCGCTCATGAGAAGCACAAACGAGGCGACTATGATGATTTTCTGAGAAAGGAGTTTGAGAACGACTGGGCGACAAAGATACCAGAGGAGTTGCTTCAGAAAACCAGCCGGAAGAACGAGATGCTCGGGCCAGATGCTACTGTAGCAGTGTCCGAGAATACGGCAATAGCAAATGAACAGCACAAAGGTAAAGTTGATTTTCGCACATGGCAACAATGTTTCGATACTGATTGAATTCCAGCTCTTCCTGGACGCGCTAAGGGCGCTTCAGTGATGCAAGAAGTGCCTCCTGCCAATCCAGCATCTCTTGATGCGACCGAGGCGAATGGATCTGTCCAGGGCGTCACGGAGGGTACCCAGAGTATAGACCACATCGCCAAACATCACCCCAACGGTAACGGTCGTGGAGATTCCAATATGAACGGGGCACAGTATACCGAACTACGGTTCGAAGTACCACAAGAGGCCGATTGATGCTTCTTCGAAGCAATAGAACACAGAACACCAGCGAGGAACACTTATGCCGATCTTCATCTTTGACGGTTCCCAACTTTAAACTACTGCCGCATTTACCAGTAACCAATATACCATCCTAACTATGGAGAAGGTACAGATCTCATGGTCACTTGAACTAGGGCGGTGATTCGGGAAGCCTAAAGTGACCACAATCGCAGGCTTAAGCCCTGGGGCCACGAATACATAATGATATCTGAGGAGACGCAATTTGCGGCGGACGGGACATGCGTAGTCAGTCTTACGCAGTATCCCTTTGTTGGCACCCTATTTTGAGAGCATGGACAGTTGAGCGTTGTAACACGGATTGAGGCCGGAAGAGAAAAGCACAGATGTCTGTCAGTTCCAAGAGGTTTCATGGATGATTAGCGATACCCATTCAAGAAGATCAACGAGTAATATTAAACCAGAAAACTTCGCTTGTGCATCAGTGACTATGACATTCGTGGTAACCAATGCTTGAATGCTTCATCGACAATGATGATAAGCGTTCTGGTATGCCAATTGGGCAGCAATATATAAATACTAGGATGGGGTGCAACTTCCAACAATCACTACGACAGTTGATCACAACTGTAAGTCTTCCGTAGTATAGTGGTCAGTATGTGAGCTTGTCAAGCTTGAACATCAGTTCGATTCGCTCGAGACCCGGGTTCAATTCCCGGCGGGAGAGACCAATCTTTTTTTTGCAAAAGTTTTGCACACACCCCCAATATCACTCACTCACTTTCAACTCTTCCTAGGATTCGTAATTTTTGAATACTATGATACTTCGTTACGCTTCCGGGTTGGCCAGTTTTCAATTACGTAGGGGATGGGACCGAGTGTTTTGGTGTGAAGGATGGTTACCGAAAGTTTGCGAGAACTGCGATCCTCTTCGCAGCCCTAAAATCTATTTCTTGGCCAGCACTTTCAACCTTCTCTCATTCAACAAGCAGGGCCTCAAAATCATAACACAACACTTCGTCAAAGTACTTTGATTTGGGCTTCTAACTCTTTATCTCCGCCCCCAGTTATACGAGGCTGGTCCAAATACATTTTAAGGTCATCCCAACCAAGGCTCAAGATGGCGCCCTCGGCTCAAACGCACCATCGCTCCCACAGCCTGCTGCTCTTTCAGAAACTGCTAAACCTTCGAGACAGCGCAAGCCCACTCACACTTATTCTCGATACCCTTGAACAAGGTGCAGGACCACTTATACAGGAATTCATCAGCAGAGGCAAGGTAAGAAGTTTCCTTCCAAGTCTTTTTGCGCTTCATCAACTAACACGCGCACAGCTTGCCCGTAGTAAAGTACTCTTTGTTTCATTTACTACTGTCAGGAAGCCCCGTGATGTCGATATCTTCATCAAGGCCAGGGGCAAGTCAGTCACGGCTCTCATAACCGAGATCGCCTCACATTTTGCTCCTCCCAAGGGCCAAACACCCAAAGATGCTGCCACGAGCTCCCAGAGTAAGTCCACCAACCACACTAGCACAGAAACATGAGCTAACATTACCCAAAAGGATTTCTGATCGTGGTTGACTCGCTAAACCCCCTTGCCTCGAAAGAGCCACACGCCCTCCCCCTCTTCTTCGGCAGCATCATCAACCCGTTCGCCTCCCTCGTCGCCGTCTACCACAACGACGTACCGCTCGTTCTCCCCCGAACCGTCAACGAGTACGAACCCCATCCGCTCACCCTCCTGTCACATATGGCCACCGCCATCTTCAAGGTTTCGAGTCTCTACCAGGCCGTCGAGACCAAGCGGGCGCAAATGAGGAGCTTGCGCGAGCCAGAGTGGGGGCTCCATGAAGGGCGCGAAGGCGTGCTTGTTGGCTTGCGGACGGGCCACCAAGCTGAGGGACTCGTGGTGGAAATGGAGATGAGGAGGCGCAGCGGGAGAGCCGTGGCTGAGAGGTTTATACTGAGCCCGTCGACTCAAAAGGGCAGTGCCGGCGCGAGTCTGTCACTGCTTTCGGATCATCCGCTGTTTGCGCCGCCGAAGGACGCGGAGGGCGGTGCGGAGGGAGAGATGGCGGATACCACGTTCAATTTGGGGTTGACGGAGAAGCAGAGGAGTGATAGGGAAGGGATTGTGTTGCCGTACTTTGACGCGCAGACAGAGGTCGGTGGAGGGGAGGGAGGCCGGATTCTGTATGACATGGGCAGGGAAGATGATTTTGATGATGAGGAAGACGAGATTTGAGGAAAGTCTGGTGAGAGACCCGGCGTTGTCTCTGTCTCAAAGTCGACCAGGGGAAAGGGGAGGGATGCCCTGGGTCAAGATGTCTACAGCAATCCAACTCGCATGATGAGGTTATTGACGAGGTACTGTGCCCTCCCTTATCCTGCACTCCCATATTGACCAGGACGACAAAGCTAATCGCCCGAAGAGCCGAGTTGCAGAGATAATGAAGTTACTGAAGCCCGATACCTTTACTGTTCGAACCTTATCCGCAAACTCAATTTACTGTCTAACTCTGGAAACCGCCTGGGACTGAAGCAATGGTACTTTTACCGGTATATTCACAAACACTTTGGGCAGGACATCTCCATCAGGGCATTCAGAACCTTGAAGGCCTGCACCGAAGGGAAGTCCATCGCGGGGTGGTGGGGTCGGTGCAGGGGTCCGTGGCTTATCTTATCGCTACAAACAAACGGACTCCACATGATCGGCGCCTGCATCCAGCCTTGCAGCGGCCGCCAAGCCTACAATTTGGCCTGCAGCTTTCGCCTAGTTTCAGCCGCCTCTTCTTGAATGCTCCAGAATTTCCCCATACAACGTCATCAAGGACATTCACTTTCTGGGTGAAATCATTCATATCTTTTCCAACAAAACCTTACAGGTCTTACGTTCGCGATTATCGAGCACGAAGCATGGCGGATAGACACGCTCGTAACCCTCCCCGCGGGGGCGCGAAAGACTACAACGACAGAGACAGACACGGCAGAGACAACCGCGACCGCGATCGCGAGCGAGATCGAGACCACGACCGTAGCCGTGGTCGGAGAGGAGGTAGGGGTGGACGAGACGGTCGAGACAGGGACAGCCGACGATACAGGTCCCGATCCAGAGACAGGCACGATCGTGACCGTGACCGTGACCGCCGGCGCTCGCGCTCCCCGATTCGCGAGAGAGACGGACACGATCGACGCGATGACAGGGTCAGAGACGGAGGTAGAGGAGGCCGGCGCGACGGTCCCAGAGACTCTCGCCGAGATCGGGGTGACGCCGATAAGGATGGCATGAGCAAACCAGACAGAGGTACGTTTGGCAACCGGAGTCACTCCCTTCGCAGGGGCTGTCCCTCGTTTCGCAAGCTACACGGAATAGCGCACTAACACCCCGAAAGACAGAAGAGACCTCTCAAAAGACAGAAATATCCGCCGCTCAGCCTCACCGCCCCGAGAGCCAGAACCACACGCGAAGTCACCACGGAGCCCCTCACAAACAGCAGCACACGACGATCACCGTCTTTCGATAAGGTCGAAATCCGAGAACGCCCCAGCTGCTGCGGCACCGGTACCAGTGTCGTTCAAGGTCAAGGGACACGACCAACGCCGATCCGATATCACTCATGCGGAGGAGCAGCGCCAGTCGTCCCGGGAGCAGACAGAAGAGCACGAAGAGGAACATATGTCGAGGGGACGATTTGACGCAGATCCCATGGACGAGGACGAGGAAGACGACGTGGTTGTCGAGGACGATGGTCTTGGAGATATGGCCTCTATGATGGGCTTCGGCGGCTTTGGCACGACCAAGAACCAGAAAGTCAAGGGCAACAATGTTGGTGCGGTGCGGAAGGAGAAGAAGACGGAGTATCGCCAGTACATGAACCGTGTCGGCGGCTTTAACCGACCGCTTAGCCCGAGTCGGTAGTGCTGGGGAGTTAAGATTGAGTATGTCGCTCAGGCAGAGAAGAGCATAGAAGGAGTCTCAGGGCACATTTGCTCATGATTATTGTATGGCCGGTTCAGATACCCAAATATCGTTTGTCGTTTCTACTTTGCCCTTGGTTTAGGGCCGTCTCGATAGCTTCCACCAGCTCTAGAACACAGCAGGACACTTCGCATCTTGCGCGCTCGCTGTTATTCATGTAATACATAGAAACATCAATAACACCTCGTACATCTGGAGGTACTATTCAATCTGTTCACTCTCATTGACGTTAATGCCTTTTTGCCATGGTTTTGCCAGGGGAAGATACATCACCATTCATGTTAATGTTCAGCAGGGTTAGGGTTATACGCGCTACAACAACTTTTCTCTCATCTTCTTTTCTCTGTGAAGCCTCTTTCCTCCTTCGACCTACAAATCAGAACTCACCCCACCGGCACAGCAAATTTTTTTCCAATTACGAATTTCATTTTCAGGAACATTCAAGCTGAACAAACCGACGATCCCAAGGAGATAATTCTTACAACGGTGCAGTTCTGTCCATCACCACCTAGGTAATTGCCCTCGCTCCCTCTCACTCAAGGATCATCTCATTAAATCTCCACACCTAGTTTTTACAACCAGACCCTCAAAATGGGCGCCTCAAAAACAGAGCTCAAGGCAGCTGTGCCAAGCAAGAAAGATAAGAAGGAAAAGAAGGAGAAGAAGTCCTCTAAGAAATCCAGCCCCGAGACTGCGGAAGTCGCCGCTGTCGCTGCTTCCGACGAGTCTGTTGCCGTCGCTCAGTCCAGCGAACAGAAGAAGGAGAAGAAATCCAAGAAGTCTAAGGACGCGAAACACAAGCTTGATGAGGAGGAGGAGGAGGAGGATAAGCCCTCTTCTAAGAAGCGCAAGTCGGAGGAGGACAAGGAGACCACCAGCACCGAGAAGGTAGAGAAGAAGAAGGAGAAGAAGGATAAGAAGAGCAAGTCCGAGTCCAAGGAGGACAAGAAGGAGAAGAAGGACAAGAAGCGGAAGCACGACGACGATGACGACGAAGAGGAAAAGAAGGAGGAGCCGGTCGCCAAGGTCGCCAAGATCGTAAAGGAGGAGGAGGCTGAGAAGAAGAAATCCAAGAAGGACAAGAAGTCCAAGGGCGAGAAGGAGAGCAGCAGCAGCAGCAGCAGTGAGAAGAAACACAAGGAGAAGAAGGAGAAGAAAGACAAGAAAGACAAGAAGAGCAAGCACGACAAGGAAGAAGAAGAGCCCGTTGTGAAGAAGGAAAAGAAGGCTGAGAGCAAGAAGGAGTCCAAGAAGGATAAGAAAGATAAAAAGGAGAAGAAGGACAAGAAGAAGGAGGACGAGACCAAGACCACAGAGGCCAAAGCATCAACAACTACTTCAGCCGCCACCACCACCAACACCACCACCACAACCCCCAACCCCGCAGCGGTACTCGCAGCCAACTGGAACGTCAACGCGCTCGACGGCGGCGCATCTCGCCAGTCCAAGATGATGAGGTTGCTCGGCGGCAAGAAGCTTGCTGCCGACGGTGCCGCTGCCGTTGCGGCGAAGAAGACGTTTGACGTCAACCAGGTGTCTCAGGAGCTTGAGCAGCAGTTCAAGGCCGGCATTCACCAGAAGTTCGAGACGGGTGGTCAGCGTCGTGGTCTGGGTGCGTAGAAGGTGACGATGCTCCGGGTTTGTTGCTCGCAGAAGCACGTGTTGGAGTTGGTGATAAACCCAGGACTGTTGGTAAAAAGACAGGAGTAATCACTGGCAGGTTGGTTGCAATACCCTTTGCAGTTGTTAGTTTGCAAAAATGTTCGGATTTAATGAGTTCAAGCAAATTGCCCTTTCTTTCCTCGACTAAGCAGAAGATAAGGAAAAGAATCCCCTTTGTTCTGTTTCTGTGACCTCAAAATCAGTCCCCGGTTCCTTTTTCATTGCCCGTATTATCCGTGGTATATATATGTGTTACAGGCGCTTTCGCTCAAACCAAGCGCTAAAAAGATCCCCCCCGTCCCTACTTCCTCCTCTTATGTTGTCCTATTCCCATCTTGCTTATGCGGATGTTCCGTTATCGTGACAGCTTCCCCTGATTTTCAGGCTCTCGGTGGCCAATCCTGATAGTCTGTGGCCTTTCATTGGCCCTCGACCAGCTCCTTTAAGTCTCCATGCTGCTGAGTACCGTAGCTGTAGACAACCTGTCTGATATTCGGTAGATTGGAAATGATGGTGTTCATTCCGTGTGTACATTCCGTGGTGGCGGTGGTATTTCCGCTCTTAGTTGAGGAACAGACGCGAAAGAACTTCGAAGACGAGACCGCCGAAGACGATAAAGCCGAGGACAACTGGAAAAGTGAATTGACTGTTAGTCAACCAGTTCGCGTATGATTTATGGTTAAGGGGATGGTGGGCGCAGTGCTTCTTACCGAGCCAAAACATGGAGATAGGGGACTTGGGCGCCTTTTCTACGCGCTTCTTGATTTGGTCCTCCGACTTGCCACGACGGGCCTCCTGGTCCTTCTGGAACTTGAGGTTCGCTCGCCTTTGCTGGGGTGTTTGCGCCTGGTTGGAGATAGGGGGTTAGCAAGATTGGAGTCGATACGCTGGAGCTTCGCCGTGCGGTTCCTTGATATTCTCGTAGGAGATACCGAAGGGCTGAAGCGGGAGTTGATCGTACCATTGTGTCTGTGTTGTGTGGTTTGAAGGGATGGGAATGGAGATGCTGCGAATAGCTGGCAATGCTGGGCGCGGACAAGTTGTCGGACAGTAATGCGTCTTGCTGTTATGGAATAGTATATAGGTTGACAGAGATGCGACGATGATGACTAGAGTTGGTGATCGGTCCCTGAGTGGCGCAAATTACAAGCTGATATCGAAGGGGTCGCTGGTTGCTTATGAAGTGGAAGGGGGAAGCTTCGTTAATCGATTACGAATTGGGGACAGATTGCCAAGTGGAATGGACTTTTGGAAACACGAAACGAAAGTGACCTTCCATCCAGTTGGGGCAGATCTGGCCATGTGTCGTTGATGGCACTTGCCCCAAACTGCCCTGTCCGCTCCCTGAGGTTCCCCTCAATGCCCCTGTCGAACACGCCTGGCGAGTGGGCCGTATTCCGGCAACTGATGGGATCCCTGCAGCGGACGATCCATCAAATTAGGGTGATTGCCGCTAACTGCCCGCGACTGTTTTAGCGGCTCGCGGCCGGGTATGTACCGTCCGTTCGGAAGGAAGGGCGGGCGGGCACCGTCGCCCGATTTTCGACGACGCCGACGGAACCTCCGAGGGGTTGTGGGTATCGCCAATTCTGTGGTCCATAGAACTACAACACGGGACCCGTGCATGTTCCTTGCATTTGAACAAATTCGAAGCCTCATAAACACCAATCAACTTACTCCGACATCTCGGTTTTTTCCAGTTCACGAATAACGACGTCATAACAATTCCTGTCTTTTTCACTTTGAAGTGGATTTACCCTTATATCCAGAAACGAAATCAACTGTCAATCATCAACTCAACCAACACCGTAAACATGATTCCCAGGACTGCGGCCGGTAGTGCCCTTCGCACTCTCACCAGGGCTACCACTCAGAACACCAAGCCTTTGCCCAGGACATATCTCCAAGTTCAATCCCAACTGAGGCACTACTCTTCTTCTTCTTCAAACCCGCCCTCGGCCACGGTATGTCACTGTTAACCCTTTCATTATTATCAAAGCATTCACTGACAGCAACACAAAACGTGTAGGGCGTATTCTACAAGACCTTCACCCGTCCCGTAGCCAAGTGTCTACTCACCGCCCTGTTCGTCTACCAGGTCGTCTACTGGGGATGGTCAAAGCTGGAGGTTGATGAGATCAAGGAGGAGCGCCAGGGTGAGTTTTCATCATTATGACCCATCCCTCTCATTCCTCCCTTTCCGTTCACCGCACTTGTCTAAGTACCAGTTTTTGTTACCGGTTTAGATTGAAAGAGAAAAGAGACACTCACTCACACTTATGAACCATCTCAGCTGAGATAACCAAGCTTGAGGCTCAAGTACGGGCCTTGCAGTTGCAGAGGGAGAAGGAAAAGGAGAAGGAGGCTGAGGCTGAGGCTGAAGCGGCGGCTGCTGCTGCTTCGAGCACTGAAGCATCATCAGATTCTCAAAAGAAGAAGGGCTGGGGTTGGTGGTGAGGAGAGTGACGCTGAAGGAAGGTTTGGCGAGGTGTGAAACATACCCTTTTGGAGAGATTGAGAGCAGATGGATGTTTTACACGCATTTCGAGGGCTGGGATGCTCTGTGGGTATTTTCACGAGATTCACCCACCTCTCTGATACATACAGTTGGAGCCATCTTGGTGTCAAGTATCACCGGGCACATGAGTACATGGGGTGTATGTACGATTTAAGAAATCATGGCCTCCTAATATCCTGGCCGGACGCCATGCATTCTTCTAATGTCCATCAACAGTTCCAGGATTTCTCTCTACAAGTACATTGTAACCATTATTGTGATCTGTGATCTGCCCGTCTGTCAGGCTGTCTGTCTGCATGTCTGTCCAACTCGTATGTACCGCAAGGAAAAATAAGTGCACGAACACTTTCCAAACGCTTTCTAACGCTATCCCCGTGAAACCACGAAGTCTTGATTCGTGCCATAAGATCATCTCTATGCACTTCGATACAACCCATCGAAACCAAAGCAAACGTGCGCAACCAGATTATCAAGCAACACAAGCACCTCCAACGCCAAAACCAAACCCCTCCAACACCGTCCTCGTTCACGAAGAACCAGCAGCGCCACTAGCAAGCGAGCAGTAGGCTCACCAACACCAGGACAACAACAGTCAACGCCACGGAGACTGCGTCCCTTGATGAGCCCGAAAAGATATGTGCCGAGCCCGGATAATTACACACGACCTCGCCGTTTGTTTCGTTTTTGATGTAGTAGCTCGAATTGAATCCGTTCTGGCCAGGCAACGGGCAGCCGAAACCCATGGACGACGGACAGCTTTGGACCAGTCTGTAGCAGAGGTAATCGCAAGGCAGGACCTCCTTATACGGGCCGGGTTTGATAAACTCGTCGATCCGCGAGCTGCGGCTCTGCATGAAGGCCTTGCCTAAGGTCTTGCCGTCGCCATACTTTTCCGCGTACAATGACATAGTCGCATTGTCGAGCATCTCGCCGTTGGGGAACGGCTGGCTCATGGCCCGCGGATGCAAGTAGCTGGCATCGTTACTGAAGTCCTCGCAGCGCGGAATGGTCACGGAACAGAGCCAGTCCTTGTACGCGGCCTCGCAGTCACTGCAGTTCCGGGTGAGCGAGTAACGCTGGGTCACAGGCGCCTCGCAGGGGATCTGGGCCAGAGCCTTTTTGAAGTAACCATATGCTTCGGCGGCGTAGTCATCGTAGAACTTGGCCAGGACGGAGGCGTTGCCAAACTTTGAGTTGCTGGGGACCGAGTAGGCTACCTGATCACAAAACGTAAGGTTCAAGATAATGTTGCAGTTCCCGTGATCTGCTTGTATTAGCTCCTGAGCGTTGGTCCCGACCTGGTTGGATCCTGGATCCCGAGAAAAGAGCTTACCGGACTTGGTTTGGAAATTGGTGGCTTTGAAGACGTGGCCGCCACCTCCAACGGGATTCGGACTCCCTGGGTCGGTCGCATTGGTCTTGGCCAGGATCCCGAGATAGCTGGTGCTTGGCTTCAGCCCGCTGAAGAAAAACTGCTGCTTAGGAAAGTTGCCCTGTCCTCGCGTTGTCATGCCTGTCTGGACCATGTTCGAATACTTCCCGTCCTTTGTAGTTGCAATCTGCGCATACTGTTCGAGGCCGCAAAAGGAATATTTGACACCGTTGATGGACGGATCAGACTTGTCCTGGGCGAACAGAACGTATGGCGGCGCTTCCATGATCTGCTGTTGCTTCTTCTCATCGTTACTATCAGTCAAGTTATGAGTGATGAGCAATGCACCCTGGGAGTCGCTATCAACCCAGATCAGATCAGCATCGTTATCCACGTCATAACTGTAGATATAACCGTCCGTGGAGATGGCGATTTTCATGTTATAAGGCCCGTCAAATATTTCCGTCACGTTGGGTGCATGTACACCCACATATACGTCGGTCGTAGTGGTGAAGTTGTACATGATAGCACCCTCATTAAACACCATAGCCACCTGAGAGTTCGAATCCGCATCTGGGCCTGGTTCCACGTTATCGGTCGACGTTGACACATACAGTGTAAGCTGCGGTGGAGGCTGTGTTGTCTTGGTCGCATTAAATGCTTGGGGCTGCAGGCATGTGTTTGCAGAAAGAAAGATCTGACGAGCACCCTGTTTCCGTTTTCCCAGCTTCTGTTCCGCGGAATCAGAATTCGAGTCCACAGGCTCTGTGTCCAGGCTCTCATCATTCAAGTCATCTTTATCCTCCTCCTCATCCTCCTCCTCTTCATCTTCCTCTTGTTCTTCCCAGGTATGATCTTCATCCCTCAGCTCCAATGACCGAACCTCTGGTTCCCGCTCGGACAGCTGTGACAGCTCGAACACGAAGCGCTCCGTAACCCCCTGAACGACGTTCAACGGGAAAGCCTCATTGTTCTTCAAGACATTGGTGTCTCTAACTTGACGACGCCCGAGGATACTCCTATCGAATGCGGCAAACTCGGGTTCGTACATCGGGTCGAGCGGGCTTCCTAGATCGGAATCGACATCGTCGAATAGTATGGGCGGCGCATCTTCGAGCTCGGCCGCGAGAGCAAGATTCGGGGAGAAGAGGGTGAGGTAGAGAACGACGAGAAGGCATGATGCGATAAAGGACGCCGCCAAGCGCGACTGTAAGGGACTGAGGTGCATCCCGAGCGCGCGCCCTCGAGAGGGGGCGCCGTTCGTGGGCGAGGATCTATCCCAGCTTGTTGCCAGTCGGGTCGTCGATCGAAAAATCGGTTGGCGCAAAGAAGGGCAAGGGAATGCCCGGGGAGAAATGCGACGACGACTCCTTAATGTTTTCCGGTCTGAGGCTGCCCGTTGGTGTCACTGGACGGGCCACTTCGATCAGGGCAGCACGGCTTCCTCGACTTGTTGTTGAGCCGTCAGGTGTTCTAGGCCAGGGCCAGGCGAGTAGCGCTCACGCTAACTCTAATGCTAGGATTCTAGTCGACGCGCGTAGGAAATAGAATTCAATAATGTATCCCGAGGCCAGTCGAAGTGCCAGAGGTCGTCGCCGTCGTCGTCGTCGGGTAAGTTCGATCAGGGTATTAGATGGATAAGACTTAGGTTCGGGGTCGCCGATTCGTAGGGGCGGAGGTGGAATCTGGGGACTTGAAGTAGGCTTGTTTCTGACTTTTCCAACCTTTTCCGTGCCAGGGCTGATAATAAACGAGTGTTCGAGGTCAGCAATTGCCCCTCTGGTTAAAGTGAAAGTCTTCCCCCGGGTTTCAAGTTTCACCCGTGGCCTCGAAACGAGCTGAAGCAGGCGCACCCATCAAGACGGAATATCAGTGGATGTTCTTGCCTGCTGTGGACAGCAACACCCGGGGAATTTTTGGCAGGTGGCTACCACTGGAACTTTTGTTAGTGCCAAGTACCTCTGGAGAGGGGCTCAGGGGCAGCGTATGCCGATCTCGTACCTGCTTAACATAACATATAGCCAATGCCTGCTTTATCCAATAGTGCTGTACCTTTTGCCTGTCGCACTAGCTTTGTTGGCAGGGGTTTCAAACAGTGACGTTGGCCTTCCATATCTGGATGGTAGTCATGTGAAGAAATATTGATCAGTTCGGCGAAGAGAAAATTAACATAGCGCGGAGATGCTTTGTGGATGTCGTCTAGATATTAACAAGACCCCGTCCTGAGCTGTCCTAGCCAGCAGTTATACATTGCAAGCATCTAATGTGTCCCATTGTTTTGCCTCTTACGATGGCCAGCCCTGGGCCTTTCAGGTCGAGCACGTCTCAGTATTTCAGTGATGCCAGTTCAAATGCAATGCTCTGTTACTACCATTTATTCAATCGTTAGATACCAAACATGTCCCTACTCGTCTAGACGCATCGGGTTTAATCATCCTGTCACCAACATCTTCTATACCCACATGTCCTCCTCTACCACCACATATCTCCAACTTTTCCAGCTAACAAACTGTCCATCTACCCCGGTTTTGTTGTCATGTTTTTGCACGCGTGATAGGTTGCCGACAAGCCCAACGCAGAGGCTTGACGGCCGTGCATTTGTTGCCTGTATCTTCTTGAGCCTCATTCAAAGCGGCACACTTTGTAACGAACTGGAGAGGCCCGGCAGTTGCCCATGAGACGCTTAGTCAGTGTGGACAGCGTCAGCCTTGGCGCGGAGGCCGCTGGCGGTGGAGCCGTTCTGGAAGTAACGGCCAAGGGTGGGGGCGAGGAAAGAGCGGAAGATGATCTCGGCGCCCCTGTTGACATGTGAGCTTTTCTTCTTGAGATGCTGGCAGAGTTGGGAGACCACTTACTTGAAGGTAGGAAGAGAGAGCCAGAGGAGGAAAACAAACTTGAAGGTGTAGTAGAAGGGGAACCAGTAGACGACGCTGATCAAGCTCTCAATGACACTATAGACATATGATTAGATATTAAGCGCACCATATAAACAGTAGGCGCAAAGCCAAAGGAGTATGCTTACGTGAAGAAAGAGAAAACAACCCAGTACTGGACGTATGGTGGTTAGCATGGAAACCATAGGCAGAACCTAATCAGGCATGTCCCGACTTACAGTGAGCCACTGGGTATCATCCTGCTTGGAAGAGGTAAAGAGCGCATTGAGCGAGTAGTATCCGGGAAGGACGAAGCCAGCGAGGTTGACGAGGAGCTGGCCGCCGAGGTTGAAGATGATCAGGAAGAAGTAGAGAGCAACGAGGCCGATGACGGCATAGGCCTTGGGCACGCCGGTGGTCTTCTCGAGGTTGTTGAGGGTAGGGTACTTGGACAGCTATTGAGGCGGGTTAGCTACGCAAAGCCCAACGACGCCGTGGCCGGCGTGTCTGCGATCTGGCTGCGGTTTACGAACCTCCTTATCGAGCTGGCCGATGTACTGCTGGGCGCGGTCCTGAGGGGAAGACATTTGGTGTGGTTGATGCGGTAAGCGAGTCTATCGATCTAGAGCTAGCTGTGGTGTTTTGGTGTCAGCGAGATGCAAAGTCGAAGTTCAGGGGAAAATCCGAGTCGGAACTGGCGGGGAGGCTGAAGCTGTGACACGGCAAAGTGGGTTGGGCAGCCGGGGGGGCTGGGCCTAAAACTCGCAGCGTGCTCGGCGAACACACCACCAGCAGAGAGGAGGAGACGGGAAGCTGAGAGAAAGCTGCTGACCTGGATTTCGAATTCGCCGAAACGATGCTGTGAAGTGCAATGTGTCGTTAGGGGTGATGCTATCGTGGAAATGGCAGTTGGGTGTGGGAACGGGTTGAAGTGGGCTGTGGGCTGTGGGCACAACAATGACGATTGATACGTGTGCAGACGAAAGGGGATCATCCTGTTCACAACCCGAAGAGCTTGCCCTGCCCGTGGGGCCGCAAAGCTTCCTCCCGTTATCATCTGCATCTGACTGGTTCCAGAACCCAGTGACGCCACATCGCTGTTTTGCTAGGATTGGTGGACGAAGATATGGTGAAACGACCGTACACATCTGAACTGATAAGCTCATCATCTTCATATCTACTATCAATAACAGGTCCGATGGTGTAGTTGGTTATCACGTCAGTCTAACACACTGAAGGTCCCCAGATCGAGCCTGGGTCGGATCAACGTCAAAGTTCTTTTTTTCCTTTTCACATTTTTGCGAATTCTCTTGGCCTGATGCATCTCTTTCTGTGCCTCGCCTGTGATCTTGTTTTTCTTTTTTCTTTTTTCTTTTTCATATTCTTTATCATCCTGATATAACCTCCTCCTAACCTTGTCATCGATACACACAAACAACGGCACTGGTCGCCTCTTCCCGGCTTTTGTCAAGATTTACTATACTCAATGCCCCTAACCTGTATCCGTCCATCTTCATTGTGCATTAAGGTACAAAGAGTTCCCGTGGGCAGTTAGGGGGAGTACATTACCCGGGCCTCTTGAGGTTGCCTCCTTCGCTCTACTCACTTGGGCGCTTTGATATTTGGGACAGGCGATGATGACAACTTGTGGACATTTCCAAGTAGAGAATCAGAACTCATGACATGAACCAACATGAAGCCTTTCAGAGCCCCGCGATACCTCCAGCGTTTTCGTGCAGCTAGCTCCACTTCATGCGGATGGATGTCGGCCATATGTACAGCGCACTTCACATTACATGGAAAAGTGTAATCCTCTGCCAGATGCCTCACAAGAAAACTTTCAGTTCGATCTTTCCAACGTATCTATGACCAATATCAATGAGGAAGAGATCGATTTCCCCTCGTTCTGCGAGCGGTCAGACGTGAACTTGCTTGCCAAGTCAATGCTGGTGCAGACTTCAGTTAACGGACTGAAGTAAAGTATTTGTTCTGCGATGACGGTGATCCTATCAGGTGGGATAAACTCCTGTCCACCAGAAACGTAGTCAGTCTCCCAGAGTAGTGAATCATGGTGGAACGTCATAGCGTACTGGATGTCTGGTTCGGAAAAGGCACAGTATGTCGATCAGGTACACATCTGTAGCCCAGGAATGAGCAAAACAACAAGGAATCCAGTGGGAAAGAAATGCGGCGGTGTTCTGGTTCGTCAACTTTGAATTCCTCGAACAACAAAAGGAAAGTCAACAACACTCTCGAACGGGCAAACGGCCAATCAAACGGCATTTTGGTCCCAAGCGGGTCTGCATGGAACGTGCGGGGAGCAGCTAGCTGCCTTTGACTTGCAGTGGTTTAAGTTCCCTCCAGTGGAACGTCGCTGCACGTTGCAGTCACGGCAGCCCGTCCGCAAGCCGCATTGCCCCAGGTACGTCCCTAGCGCTTTCATGTTTGTTGATTCTTTCTGTTCTCCGCTCCCCATACAAACCTCCAAAGAAAATGTGCAATTGACCTTTGGCTGCAGCATCGACATCGTCATTAACTAAGTCTTCTTACTCGCGCATGCACGGCACTGTTACTCGCGACACGTTCCGCGGTGTGCTCCCGACCCCATATCCGTTACCCTTATTATTAGCCCGGCCTGGCCGTGTTGGCATCCGCCAGGTTTGGAGTAGTCGCCGCCACCACCACCATTTATCCTTGTGTTTACTTGGGATATCCAGCAGAGCTATCAGTCCATACCATCACAACACGGGCGCTGATGGACTCAACCCACGGTACGCCCCCTAAGTCTTCTACCGTCTTCTGTTCCCCCGTCCACAACCTTGTCATCTGCCCTTCTTGCCCTTCCCTTGGTCCCCTATGTATCCGGGCGCATACTTGTTACGCGACATACCATAACGGTATGCTTACTGCTTGTACAGACCCTCTCGCCCTCACCAAGGCGAAGAAGCGGCCTCGCTCTCAAGGCTCAACAGCTTCCATCCACAGCGCCGCAACACAACCAAATCTCGACCACGCGTTTACTGACGTGCCCGAAGTCTACCAATCCCAATGGATTCCGAACGATCACAGCCGAACCCGAGACCTTGGCCACCCGACCGCCCAGATGACACAAGACGACATGGTGCTGGCCTCCCAGTTGCACACTAGCCGCGAGTTCGCCATGGATTCACAGGTCAACGCTTCGATGCAGAACGTTCAATATCATGGCAGCCACAGCATGAGCCGCCAGTCTTTGTCCGCCGATTCCTTTGCCGGAAACACCAGTTTTGTGGAGGACAGTCAGATGGTGGACCATGACGGCAACAACGACCACGGCTCCTACGTTGGAATGACATCGCAATCTAAGGGGGGGTCACGCTCGAGTGCGAACAACGAAGTGGAAATGCGTCAGCTATATGTCGCCAACAGACACAGGAATCTTCAGGAGGTTGCAGAGGAGCTGCACGGCAACGAGCGTGGGCCCAATTCAGAACGAACCCGCCAGGTTTTCGCAATGCTTTGGTACGTTGGTCACTTGGTATCTCCTTCGAGATTGTGGGCTAACAATACGACAGGATCAGTCAAGTCTGCTCAAAGGGCAAGGGATCGGTACCTAGAGGGAGGGTTTACGCCAACTATGCCTCCAGGTGTGCGACCGAGAGGATAACAGTCCTGAATCCTGCCAGTTTTGGAAAGCTTGTCCGGGTTCTTTTTCCCGGACTGAAAACTCGTCGCCTTGGTGTTCGGGGAGAGTCAAAATATCATTACGTCAACTTTCAACTTCGAGAAGACCAGCCTGATGTGCGAGATGTCTCGACACAACCGCAAGTTTCCCCAACAGAGGAGCAGTCCTTCTCCCAAACTTTTAAGTGAGCAGCGACACATTCATCTAAACACCTTTTATTCTTACTAATTCTGTAGTAGCACGGCACCGGACAATACAATGACAACCGAACGCCCTGTACTCCCCACGCCTGACCTGGGGCAGCAACCGGAGACCCGGGTCAGGCGGCCGCATGAATATGTTCACAGGCTGTACAACCAAGTCCAGGTGGCCAACATTGACCAGCTTAGCACGACGGTAACCAAGACAGTACAGAGGCTTTGTTTTGCCGCGGAAACCGAGGAGACATTCCAGCAGTCCGACCCTCTCGTCCTACCACGTATCGAGCCATTTCTACCCAAAAATACCGATCCGGACGCTGCCAAGTCGCTGGCTGCGCTCTACAGGTCACACTGTACGTCTCTGGTGGAATGCATTCGGTATTGTAAAGAGAAGACTTTCTTCCACCTTTACACCTCATTCCAGGGCACTCTCACAATGCCGGTCCAGAAGCTATTCAGCAACCCGGCTGTTGCACCTTGGATAGAGGAGTGCGACTTTGTTCTCTACCAGCGCATGATGCGCATTGTCTCGAGCCTGGTCCTCCAGGTGGTTCCCAAGACGGTGCTCGATACGCTGAGGAACATAGCAGATAAGCTCGTCCCACACATTCGCGATTCCTTTCAAGGACAACCTCCTCACGTTCTCAAGGCCAAAGAAGCACCAGCAACTCTATTCGCAGGCTTACTGGATAGGGTGCTCCGTGTCAACCTTACCGCTCATGCTGCCGCCAACATGCTGTCAAACCCAGCAAACCGCGACCTCATGTACGTGGAGTGGATAAACATAATCAACCTAAGAAAGGTTGCCGAGAGTGTTCCGTCGAGGGGCATGGATGATGTTGTGAATCTCCTCCTCAAAGAGATGCGTGATCTCCTAGATCCGGTTAACATTCCATGGGAAATCGAAGGCCTGACCCTTCACGGAGAGATGGCAATGCGGAATGGTCGGCAATCCCAGGCAGGAAACCCTGAGGAATCCACGGCCTCGAACGTTTTGGATCGCTGGGTGAGCTTTCTTCGCTCCCTACCTTCGCACTTTCCCTACGCGTCACATACCGATATTGTCTGGTGTGTTCAACGATTAGGCACAGCCGTAATGAGGGATATTACCCTGGGCCAAGGCAAGAGTTTTGGTTCTTGGTGGGTCACCAAGTGTTTTATCGATGAGATGATTCTCTTTTTGGCGGAATACGGCGGGTTTCTCAAGCAAAAGTCGACACATGAGTATACGCTCCTTGTCTCACAGCAACAGGGCGCAAGCAACGAGGCAAGCAATGAGGCATCCAGATATAGAAGTGGAAGCGATGATTCCAGCGCGTCCCGAATGTCCGAGTCGCAGCCAGATCGGGCACGATTCCCGGTGGCTGCATCGACAGCCACCCAGCCGTCTGTCCATGACGACAGTGGTATAGGTATTCGGACGCCCGATGAAGATTCTCCGATTCAAAAGTTTGGCTTCCAAACGACTACTGCGAACTCGCAAGATATTTTTGCCGGCACGGAACTGCAGGATGAGGACCATTTGGCAGATATTTGAGTGCTCGGTTGGTTATACGACGGGATAGGTTTCGGTTCTTCTTTGATGTCTTTACTAGGAGGGGGAGTTCCGTTGGCGGTTATACCTTGATGAATCTCTTTTCTTCTACTCTTTACATGACGATATGAAGCTATGAGAACAGTGGCTATGAGGTGCTGGGCTGTGCGGATCAGGCGTCATTATGGAATGCATCCTTCAGTACATGTTGCTTATCGTCGGACATCTATCTGGTTTTCGTTTTCTCGGTCGGGGAGTCATGGCTATACCTGGGAAAGAGGAATTGTTTTCTTGGGACTCGGTGTTCAACGTCCAATGTTCAATGTTACAATGTATGGATATAGGGAACGCCAAAGCGTCGGTTTTATCATTGAAGGATCTGAAAAGGGAAGGCGTTGTGCAAGCATTTACGTGTGGAGGTGGCGGAACGGCGTCTAAATCCATTACGACACTCATAATGAGCATTGATTTTTCTCCTTCGTACACGATTGTTGGGTCTATTTCTTCTTGTGTTCGGCTATATCTAGATGCGTTGGAAATGAAGTCGATTCCTTTGTAAAATTCTCGGAGCAGCGACCGACCACTGAATCAAGACGGCTTTAAACTGCTACGTTCGGTGTGGGTGAGCGGGCCACGTTTCCATGCTTTTGTAGCACGTGAAGGCGTGACGGAAACTATACGTTTTGGGAAGTGATCTTATAAGAAACCCCTCCGTCATCAAAATGCAGGTCCTCCGCCTTTTATCATCTTACACACTACCTCGACCATACACCTCGTATCTCATTGTCCGAGTATACCGGCAGCTTCAACTTGTTCCTCTCTTGGTTGTCGCTCTGACAATCAGTACTATCGACGACCGAAGTGTAATTCCCGAGTCGAACCAACGCTGAAGACGTCAAAGGACCCGGCGAACCACTACGTTTTACAGTAAAAGTACAATATGGCAGTCGAAAAGGAAAGCACTTTCGAGGTTGCGGGAGCATCATTGTATGCCAAGTCATGGGAGGTACGTATCACGCATCTTTCAGCTTGAGCCTCCTCGACCTCTCACTTACACCTTAAAACGCCACACAGCCCGAAGGGCCAATCAAAGCGAAGCTCATCTTCATCCACGGATTCAGCGACCACATCAACCGCTACTACGGCTTCTTCCCTTCACTCGCAGCGCGCGGCATCGCCGTTTACGGGTTCGACCAACGCGGCTGGGGGCGCAGCGTCAAGAAGCCAGCTGACAGGGGCCTAACCGGGCCAACATCCAGGGTGCTCGCCGACATCGTCGCCTTCATCGAGCCGCACCTGTCCGATGCCCCCGGCGCGCCGCCCGTCTTCGTCATGGGTCACTCCATGGGCGGCGGCCAAGTTCTCACGCTTGCCTGCGACGAGCAGTACCAGGACCGCATCGTCAGCCGCGTGCGCGGCTGGCTGCTCGAGAGCCCCTTCATCGGGTTTGCGCCCGAGCTGAAGCCGAGTTTCATCATGGTGTACGGCGGACGGCTCGCGGCCAGGCTCTTCCCGCATCGCCAGATGGTCAATCAGATCCCGCCTGGAGACCTGTCACGCGACCCAGAGGTTCAGCAGAGCATCGCGGCAGATGAGCTGATGCATAACACCGGGACGCTGGAAGGGTTGTCGGGAATGTTGGACCGCACGGATGGCTTGACAAGGGGAACGATTAGACCGCCTGGAGGAGAGAATACGAAGATCAAGGCCATCTGGTTTGGCCATGGTTCGGGTGATAAGGCGACGGATTATAATGCCAGTAAGAGGTATTATGATCGTGTCATTGCGGGCACGGTGAAGGACAGGATGTTTAAGAGGTACGAGGGGTGGTATCATCAGTTGCATGCTGATGGGCCGTGTAGCGAGGACTTCTATAAGGATGTTGGCGACTGGATCTTGGAGAGGAGTGAGGGTTCGGATTCGGGGAAGTTTGAGGCCAAGATCTGAGATGGTGCTTGTGGGCGAGGAGGGGGAAAGAAGATATCGCTTAAGTTAGGATTCCGAGGGCCACCTAACATCAGGTTTGTCAGAATCATTTACTATATCTATCCTACAATCCATGATGATCGAGAATCCTGTACGTATAGGTAGAGGTCATATTTTGTGGTGTTGAGGTGCCCTTGGCCTGCCGTCCCAAGCACAAGATCGCATCTGCACCCCACCAGTCAGCTAACATCGGGATCGGCTCGGCTTGAAGATCTTGAAACAGGCTGTAAACTCTTCCGAATATCCCCGAGTTTGAACTTGGGCTTGTCATTCAGCTCGAGCATTAGCTCTATAAAGGTAGGTATAGCCCATATTAAACTTTCCCCTTTGTCTCCTTTTGCGATCTTTTCGAGTCCGACCTGGAAGTTCGAGCTGCTGTCCGCTGCGGTGTGGCTTCTTGGCTTTTGACAACTTACTCCCCTGACCCCTGATGATGTCCACCATTATCAGATCATCAACAAAGATGACGACCCTCTTTTCCAGACTCCAAGCTCACAGGTTTCCATCTGCACTTCCCCATCAACTGCGATGGTGATGGGATCTGGCCCTCCAGCATGAGGGCAACGAGCCCGAAGTGTCGAATTGACGAACCCAATACGGAAACACGATGACGCCGTACCGCCTAAGTATCTGACCTCCCCCAAGGGGAGCCCAGAGTTTGTCCATACTGTGCGTATTCGTTGGACCGGCCGGGGCAGGGCCGTTGCCCAGGCAAACCGCATGCCGATGCCCTCAGATTACAAATGCAGGGCAACGCTAGTGGAAAATAGGAATGAGGTATGAAAGAAGCAAACGTGTGGATATGGTTGGTTCAGGATATTTTTTGTTGGTTGTTGAGATCAATTGACACAGCCTCTCTTTTTGCCTCTCCTCCGCGAGGCCTCACCCAGCCTCTTTTCGACGGCTTTGTCAATCATTATCCAGTTGATCGGCCGGCGACTTTCCGAACTCTGTTACCACGGGCGACAACTGGCGCTTCCCCGCTGAGCCCCCAAATTGACCGCCGTCTCATCCAACCTTCGAGGTTCAGCCCTTTATCCTACAGTATACTTGACCTCCTGCAACCTTTGCGATTAATACCGCGCGTCCTGCGTCCTCCTCCCACCAATACCCCACGTACCAAACCTTTTTCGAGTTTAGCATAACAGCGCGATCCGGTCGAAACGGTACCTTGTTTCCAACCATGGAGCCCGATCTTTCGCACAGCATCTCGCATCACCCGCACGCCTTCAGAACGCAATCTCAGTCGGCCAGCTCGATTCATCGACACCACCACCACCATCATCAGCAGCATCAGATGGGCGGGTCTGGAGCAGCAGCCAGTAGTACTGGAGTTGAAGCTACGGATGGAGACGACCACGGCGTAACCAGGCACCGCGACGTCGAGGTAGAGAGCCAGCGAACCGGTCGCCTCCCGCTCGTCGGCGTCGAGCACGATCCCTACGGACTATCGCAGCGATACAAGACCCCGTCGGAGCTAGCGGCCATCAAGGCAAACACGTCTAGGAAGCGCGATGCCGCCCGGCCCGACTCGGACTCCGCGGGCGTTGCCAGCACGGGCACGGGTGGGGCTTCAGGGTCCGGGTCCGGCTCCAAGGGGCACGGATCCGGGTCAAAGTGGAGACCGTCCATCGGCCGCTCCGCTTTGCAAGCCCGCCGCGTCCGGGGCTTCTACGAGGCCCAGAACGAGACCATCGAGCGCATGCTCAAGACCGTAGAAGAGCATGTTGCCGAGGCGCGCCAGGAGCAGGGCGACGACCACCTCAAGTATCAGATCGCGGTCTGGGGCTCTCTGGTCGCCAACCTCATCTTGACCGTGCTCCAGGTCTACGCGGCCATCTCTTCGGGTTCGCTCTCGCTCTTCACCACCATGGCCGACGCCATCTTCGACCCGCTCAGCAACGTGACTTTGATCTTTTCCAACCGGGCCGTGAACCGGGTCGACCCAAACCGTTTCCCCTCGGGCAAAGCCCGCCTGGAGACGGTCGGCAACATCACTTTCTGCTTCATCATGTCGGCCGTCTCGGTCGTGCTCATCGCTTTCAGCGCGCAGGAGCTGGGGCAGCACCACAAGGGGGACGGCACCAAGGATTTCCATCTGCCCAGTGTCATCGCCGTGTGCGTCGCCTTCGCCACCAAGTTCTCGCTCTTTCTCTATACCTGGTCGCTGAAGGACAAGTACAGTCAAGTGCGCATCCTCTGGCAGGACCACCGCAACGACCTGCTCGTCAACGGCTTCGGTATTCTCACCTCGGTCGGCGGCGCCAAGCTGGTGTGGTGGCTCGACCCGGCGGGCGCCATCTTGTTGAGCGTCATCATTTCGGTCATCTGGCTGCGCACCGCGTTTACCGAGTTTTTGCTGTTGGTGGGCGTGACGGCCAGCGTGGAGATCCAGCAGCTGATTACCTATGTTTGCGTCACGCACTCGCCTTTGATTAAACAGATCGATACCGTGAGGGCCTACCACTCGGGCCCGAGGCTGATTGCGGAGGTGGACGTGGTGATGGACCCGGACGCGAGCCTGAGGGAGACGCATGATGTGGCGGAGGAGTTACAGATGAAGCTGGAGAGCTTGCCGGATGTGGAGAGGGCGTATGTCCATGTTGACTACGAGACTACGCATAAGCCGGAGCATGCTTACAAGAAGGATTTGTAGGTCTTTTGGTTTGTATGTATGAAGGTGAGCCTAGGCACAGCTGTTTATGGAGATGAAGAGCGTGACGATGAGCACGTTGGGCTACTTGAACGATTATTGGCATTTATTATCTGATGTATAATGGATTATTGTGTGTATTACTGCTCGACCATTTCTAATATCAATACCATTTACTCACCTCTAAAAGCATCACGGCTGCGACTTGGTATCCCTCAATGAACACCATGCGATCTGCCTGTGTTGTTTTCAAACCATTCATTTCCTCAGGCTACATACACCTGAGAAGACTGCACAATGAAGCGAGGGGGAAGCAAAACCATGAGAGGCATCTGCTGTGGGTTGTTTCCGGAACGATTCGAGTTTCACAAGCATCCCCGAGTCTCGACAGACGCTTCCTTCTCTCGCCAACTTGCCTACCGGTGTAAAATCGGAGCCATTCTGTTCTCCTGTCACATCTCAGTCTCATGCGCTTAGAAGGAGTGTAGGACAGCATCGAGTCTTGGGCTGTATTCGATCGGATCATATGTCGCCCTTCGAACCTCCCCTCTTCTTTCAAATCGTCGTTGACTGTTGGTGAAGGGCCATGGCTCGTCGGCCCGTTGGATGCCCTGATTGTGAACGAAAATCGAAAGAAATGAAGACTGTGCTTCGAGTAAGATGGTCCAGGACGTTGGATGGTTGATGGCTCAGCCATAACGACACGAGCTGTTGTACAAAGATTTAGACGACAGCATCCCATTCGTACAATGAAGAGGTTGCCGTCGTATTCTGGACATGCAGAGTGAGTTGGGCAATATTCTAGAGCTTCTCCTCATTCCGGATAAGGGGGAAACCTTCGGGTTAGGCGATTACTCCTCATAAGGCTCGGGATCGAAGCAACGAGTCCATGATGGTGTAATCAAAGTTGATTGTAACTTGCCATTGGGAGGCTCGTTGTTGGAAAGAATCGGGCATGAGTAGATCGGACTGAGAGACCTGTACCTACTTGGAAGGCAAGCTGTGTAGGTATGTGTGGTCCCTTGAGCGTAACCCTACTTGCCTTCAAAACAGGATTCTGCTCGTGTGGGAGCGAGTAGGTTTCCCAAGTGTTAATATGTCGTACCAGCAGAGTTGGGGAAACAGACAGGAACCTGACCTCCACTCCCCAACGGGTACCCAATCATGAGGCTGCTGGCGAGAGTAGGCAGGCACAAAAAGAGCCCTGGCTTGGTGGTGCGGGGCATCAGATTAGCTTCATGTACGACACCGTAGGGCAAATAAGTGTCAGCGATGTTCGACCCTATCGAGTGAAGGCAAAAAACTGTCAACCTGTTAGATGTAACGAAAGAGAGCATATACCACTGTATAATATGTTAAAGAAATGGTGATTGGGCGGTGTCAGGCAGGCTCGCAGCTTGACGGCTTTCACCTTACTGGGCAAGCTGGGCTATCAGTGGCAACAGAAGCGGTCTGAAATTGGCACCCCAAGATGCTGAAAGTGATCATAGTGATGAAGAAAAATACTCGTCAGGGCTTCAAAATCGCCGCTGACTAGTCTCGACGAGTAATACTGCATGATGCAAGTCCCTGTCCCCCCCCACTCCCAGGAGCAAGATGCAAGCCACTTCCCTTCCAGAGATGCTGGATGCAAATGCCATGTATTACCAGAAGCGACATTCACAACGGCTCTTGGCATCCAATTGTGTCGAACTGTGTTCTTCCTATCATCGAGGATGCCCAACCGCGGCCTGTCATGCTTGTTCACGGAAGAGCTGACGACTGCCGATATCGAGATGTTTGGGCCACAGTCAACATGCATTGATGCCGTGAGGCTCAGGGTCCTCAGCCTGTCAGAGCGGCGGGAGTTCTCGCTGATGGGTTTCTATCTGATATGATATCGATGGGAGTCATAACCGAGCGGTCGTCTCTTTGCCCAAAGGTTTACAGCCCGGATGGTCTTCATCGATATCGGCAGTTTTTCCATTCAATTTTCGCCGGAATTCTGGGCCCGCTTTGAATGGAGCCCTCGCGCTGCAACTGGGGGTAACGCAATTGAGGCCGCAGTAGGATGCAATGGCCTTGAAGCGACGGAGGGAATGCCATCACGCTATCACAAGCCAGGGGGAGGAGGAGAGGCGGAGGCGGTATCAAGGTTCTCGTCCGGGTGGTTGGAAGAAGAAGGAAGGGAAGAACCCTTGCAACAGTGACTCCAGTCTTCTCTTCGTTCAGTTGCTGAAGAGTCCACTTCTCATCCCCAATTCCAATGCGCACTGTGACCGGGGCAGCCTAACCCGAGGGGTTTAGATGAGGCGGGGGGCTCCGAGAAGGATCCTGGTTCGGGCAGCGCTGGGCAAGCAGCCCCTCGCAATGGTTCGTTCCCCAGAGCGTTCCCAATGTTGCCCCGCCTGATGATGGCATTGAGTGCGCAATGTACTGTGTACGTACCTGCTTCGGTTTGTCCAGAATCCTCCTTCGCTCCTCGTCGATGGGTGCAGCGCTTCCACTTCCCGCCTTTCCACCCAGCCAGACGAGATGGAGGTGGAATCCAAGCTCCCAAGTCGTCAGATCACCATGCTTGGGGCTCTTTCGTCTGTGCCTTACTCCCACCTACCTCTTCGACCATCTCGGCCATCCCAGACTAACCTTGCAACCTCTTGACCTTGCCACACTGCAGCCTCTTGTGTTCTGATATCTTCCGTATCATAGTCTTGTCGCCAAGTTTATTTACTTATAACACCGCTTGCCTTGCTCTCCCCACTTGTGTGATTGCTCATTCTCTTCTCTTCAAGCGTCAGTAAGCACCAAGCAACCACGAAGCAAGCCTTTGAACATCTGCCATTTTTGCTATTCTCCGCCGCCCAAACCCAACAGTCACAGCTCGAACCTGTGTGATTGTCCAAGATGGCCATCACTAAAGGAGAGGATGTGTATGCTAGTGTAAGTCTTCTCCTCCTTGTGATCCCATTGTCTCTCCCCTTCCGGCACTATCCATGTTATGAGGTTGGCGGCACTTGGTAGTTGGTGCTCGCGCATCTAAGAACTGGCGCATTGTCCAATCGCAGTCTCTGCCTTGCAGTGCGCCTGTCGCAACCAAACTTAGACACTCCGGCCAAGGATCGCAACAGCTGACATGTTCTTTCGAATAGCTTCTCTTGAACGACGCATACCTTCCCGGCGCTCTTGTCCTTGCGCACTCGCTGCGTGATTCCGGCACCAACAAAAAGCTCGCTATCTTAATCACCCCCGAAACCGTCTCCAACGAGGTTGTGGAACAGCTCCAGGTAAGCCTGTCAACCACACAGTCCGATTCCAACCCCCAAGCAGAACGCATGGCTAACTCCCGGCAAGACCGTTTACGACTATGTCATTCCCGTCGAGACGATCCAGAATGACCGGCCGGCCAACCTGTTCCTCATGAACCGCCCCGACTTGCACTCGGCCTTCACCAAGATCAACCTCTGGAAGCAGACCCAGTTCCGCAAGATCGTCTATATCGATGCCGACGTTGTCGCTTACAGGGCTCCCGATGAGCTCTTCGACCTCCCTCACGCCTTCTCCGCCGCTCCCGATATCGGCTGGCCCGACCTGTTCAACACTGGTGTCATGGTTCTGTCGCCCAACATGGGTGATTACTACGCCATGTTGGCCATGGCCGAGAGAGGAATCTCGTTTGACGGTGCCGATCAGGGTCTCTTGAACATGCACTTCAGGAACACCTACAATCGCCTGAGCTTCACCTACAATGTTACGCCCTCCGCCCACTACCAGTACATTCCGGCCTACAAGCACTTCCAATCGAGCATCAACTTGATCCACTTCATTGGCTCAGAGAAGCCGTGGGTTCAGGGTCGCACCCAGACCACCGGGAGCAGCACCTACGACGAGATGATCGGTAGATGGTGGGCCGTTTACGATCGCCACTTCCGCGGCAACGTGAGTGTCCCAACTGCTTCCCAGACGACCCGTCTTTTAATCAACGATATACTGACCTAAGCTCAACAGTCGAACAAGACTACCGATGTTGTTCAGAAGTTTGTAAAGGGTGAACAACAACAGCGCAACGTTTCTTTCCAGATCCCTCCCAGCCAGAGCCACAACACGCAGAGCCAGAGCCACAACACGCAGAGCCAGAGCCACAAGACACAGAGCCAGAATACCCATAGCACCTACACCAGTCACGGAGCATCCTGGGACGCTTCAAGACACTCTCCTCCGGCTGGCTCCAGGCCGGAAGCTGCCAACTTCCCACAGACGCACTATACGATGTCCTCCAACACCCAACAGTTTGTCCCGCCTGCGCGGTATCCCAGTCCGCCCAAGGACATGTGGTACAAGGTGCCCGAGGCGGCGCCCACTCAGGAACCCGCCCCAATCTTCCCCTGGGAGAAACAGGCACCTGCACCCACTAGGGTCTTCGCGGAACCACCTCCTGAGCAGCGAAAGCCCTCAGTTGCGTCAATTGCGACGCCGTCCGCAACGGCGTCAGTTACAGCATCGCCCACCCTTGAGCCGAAGAGCGAGGCTGTCACCCCTACAACCCCTTCAAGTTCCAACCCGTGGACCTCTTTCACAACTAGAGGAAATGCATGGGATGATGTACCTGAAATCAACCGATATGTCGACGCCTTGCAGAAGCACCGCCGCTCCGGAAGCAAGGGCTCAGCGGCAGCCACTTCGAGGCCGACCAGTCCTGGTCGCGCTCACAGCAGATCTAGGAGAAGCTCTAGAGTGACTGACTTCCCGACCGAGGATGACCGTCCAAGCCTTCCTGTCACCCCCGCGCCCATCCAAGGACCGAGATCTTCGAGAGGTGAGAATGAGCGGCAGTTCCCTGCTGCCGCCGGCGTACCAGCGCAATCCGAATGGGTATGTATACATGCATGCATAAGAAGTTGCTAATTTCCAGCAGCCTCTAACACCCTTGTGGTTTGGCTAACAGAAATGATGATTACAGGATCCCGCAATCCAGCTCGAGAAGCTGGCGAGACACCAGCAAGAAACGTTGCAGAAGCTCGGTGAGCGTCCTGCTTTTGGGGGATTGGCAATTGGGACAGCGGGTAAAGAGATCCCGGCTCGCGCACTTCCCTTTGGGTCCGAAGATGCAAGATCGCCAACTTATGTTGCCCAGTTCCCGTCGGTGCTTAGTCCGAAGCCGTTGAGAGCGAGTACAACCGGAACGAACTCGGTACGCAGAATCTTGACGATTGACGAAGAGGGAGGGAACGTGCCACTGACGACTACCGAGAAAAAGACCCCGAGCCCGCTGCCCACGCAGCCAAGTGTGACCATCGCCCCACCGAGCTATCAGGGACCAGGTGCGGCTTTTGAGAAGGGGGATGACTTCCCGACTCATGAGACGCCTGCGCTTCCGACGGAGGAGGAGAGAGATGTCCTTGAGACGTAATCAACCACATTGACCTACAACCAGGTACAAACAACACATCGTTGGCTTGACTGCTGATAATCAAAATTCAGTGTACAACTTCCATGGGGGTGTATTCTTACCGGTGTACAAAAGCTCAAAACTGGCGGATATCAAAAGGACAACTGGGAGGGGGTGGTTCTGGAACTGGAAGGGCGTGGCGATTCTCTTTTCAGTTGACACCGGTTGTGTGAATGGGGGACAAATCTGAATCTGTGCATCGAAGGAAGGCTTTCTGCTGGTGGATGCTGGACACAAAAGAACCCGGTGAATGCAGTCATGCTTGAACCGGGTTCAAAGTTTGGGAACAGCGATTTTTGGGCTTGGTTGCGGCATTCTGTTTCCTTATACCTCTCTGTTGTTTTGCTCATGATTAAATGATAGACTTGTATTTCTTTTTCAGCCCATTTTTGACAGGATCTACGTGTACCCACCAATGCTATAAATGCCAATAATTCCAAAAAGAATTCAGGCTGTTCAGTGCTGCTGTGCTTGTGCTATTCCATTCTTCGGCGAACCTCACCGTTATCCTTCAGAGTGGCTGGATATGAGTGGGGCGAACCTCAGGGGTAAGTAAACAAACCAACTGTGATGCCAAGAATGGGCGTTCATAGTACCTCGCCGTTGGCTTCAACCTCGCAACTCCCTTTCAAGCCATGTTGTGTACAAATACCCAATGATTTTTCCGTTTCCCGTTTTTAAAGTCACTCATTCTGCCTCCTAATAATTCCCTTGCTTTCCCCAAAACAACATTCTAGCTACCCGGCCTCACCACAAAGAGTCAAAGACACTGCCTTACTGCACACTCCCATACCCCGACTTACACTGCTTGCCCAGCGCCGTACTCCCACTGCGCATATAGCAGATCTTCGCCTTGGCACACTCTTCCGTCTCACACTTCTTACTCTTGGCGCTACTCTTCCCCTGATACTGCGTAAACAGCTCAACAAGCGTCCTATTCCGTTCCATCGCCTCCGTAACCCCATGCCAGAACGTGGCATTAAGCGGTGCGTCGCTCGGCCAGTTAACCGCCGGCCCGTAGGTAGCTCGGGTCGAGTACTCGAGTTTGAAAACGGGCCCTTCCCCCTCCTCTCCTTTTCCATCAGAAGCAGATGATGATGATGATGAAAGGTTAGTAAACGTCCCAACATCACTATAAAACGTATAAGCCTCCATAACCTCCCAACTACCCGTATCAACCTCATACAACCTATACCCGCTATTCAGATTCTGCAACGGCGTCAAACTGGGGCCAACCCACCCCGTCACCAACGCGTTTTCCCTAGTTTGCGCCGTGCCGTTATTCCGATAATATACCGTCGCCTGGTCCTCATGCGAGTGTCCAAAGAAGATGTTCGCAATCACATGCGGACTGTACCTCTCCACAATCTGATAATAGTAATCCGCGCTATTGGGCATCGCGCTCCCGCCGTCCCAGCCGGTAGGGATGTGCGCCACGATCCAGACGCGCTGCCCTGCGTCCTCGGCGGCTTGGAGTTCGGAGACGAGGAAAGAAAACATGCCGCTGTAGTCGGGGTTGGTGGAATTTAAGAGGGCGAACGGGTTGTGCTGGTAGTACAGGTCGCTGTTGAGGGTGATTACTTTTAGGTTTGGGTAGTGGGGAGGGGAGATGGCGTAGGCGGCGTAGTGGGTTGAGGCTTGGTGGGCGACGGAGGAGGGGAGCCAGTTGTAGTGCGCCCAGAGGGAGGAGACGTGGGCGTAGTTCCAGGAGAACTGGGAACCCAGGGTGGAGTTGCCGCCGTCGATGGCGTGGGGTGCTTCGTAGTCGGCTGGGGTTGTGTCGTGGTTCCCTAGAGCAGTGTAGATGGGTCCACCAATGTAGGCTTTGAACATGTCCCAGATGGCAACTTCGGTGGCCTCAACGTAGGCGCGCGAAGCCTGGTTCTCGTCGTCGTGGGCGACCAAGTCTCCTGTGTAGAGGGAGAAGGCGGGCGGGTTCTTCGCGGAAGTGCCCGTCAAGGGACCGATGGATTGCAGAGCGGCCAGGGCGAGGTAGAAAGGGGAGTCGCACTTGTAGTAGCCGAAAAGAGGAGCCGATACGGAGATCTCGGGGACCGTACCGTTTGCTGGTGGTTCAGAGTACCTACAGCACATGTAGGATGTGCAGTTTGCTTCAGATCCAACGCTGTATCGAGGGTCTAAAGGGTTGATTAGCATGGCGATCAAGTAGCAAATGGTTCAGTAGGCCGTCTCACCAAGATGTAAATCAGATAAGTGCAACACCTTGACCTTCTTCCCACTCCGACGAGGCTCAGCAGGCTTCTTAGGCTTGGGCTTGGGGAATTTGGCCTTAACGGATTGTACAGTGGGATACTCGCAGGAGCCCTTGTGTAGATACGAGCAGATGTATTGGCCATCGAGTCCTGCTACATCGGCATTTGCGAGTATCTGTGCCCACGAAGCGCCGGACCCGTTGGGGCCATATGTAAGTTCGCAACTGCTGTATGTGCTGAACTTGAGCGAGTGACATAGCGATACCATGCCGGTTGGAAAGTGAGTCGGAGCCAACTTTGCTACCATTTGGCCCACCGCCAGGGCGGCAACGCACTTGGAGCATGTATTCGATGCTCCGGTGTTGTTGCTCTCGAAAATTCGCAAAATCTCAGAGACAGCTGCTGACACGATAGCCTCACCAGTAGCATCTGAGAGATTGGCTATAGGCTGGGGAAAGATCACCGGGTCGTCATTGGAATCCGGGACGTGCTTCGGGTCCGTAAGATTGAATGGGAAAGTGGTGTTCAGAACAGGATCGTATAAGACGGGTTGTGGCTGATTCGTCGGACCTGGCTTGACTGGGACATTGACATGGAGAGTTAGAGGATGCTCTTGGTCGTCGGGATAAGGCGTTCATCATGTCATCTCACCATAGTAGCTTGAGAACACCGAGGTTGGGAAAGCGGCAGGAATAGTGAAAGCAGAGACAGAGCCAGGATAAGAGGCATCGTCTTGATGGTGTGTTGGAGGTGTTGGAGGTTGTTTTGGATGAGCAAAGGCTGGCGCGACGGCCATCGCCATCACAGAGCACCAGAAGAGACCCATCATGATGGATGACCGTGAGAAGCAAGAAGCTACTATGGGCTCTGACAGAAGAGCACCCAGCGATGTTTCTCTTGAGCTTCACCGACACTGGAGGGACATCCACGTATTTATGTGGCAGGAGGCTGGAGAAAATTCGTAGCTTCCATGGGCATTGAATGCAACGAAATCTACCTCCAACCGAAATAGGAAGTTCGTTTTCTCAATTGGTGTAGATCCACAGATTTCGACTTGTTAATATCGAGGTACCAAGGTGGTACCGGTTCTCCTACCCCTCCTAGCCTATGATAATGACCCCTGATTTGTGACGTAAGTGTACCCTGCTCCTTATCACTGCCGTGTGTTCCGTGGGACATGGTGATCTTGAAGAAGCTGGGGAAGCTTACTTCCGAATTAACACGTTCAGAATTGTCGATATCCAATTGGGTGTGAGTGATGAACATTGTTCGCAGACCTCCGACCTCCGAGTGTCCAACCTCCAGCCTACATTTTCACCAGAATAGCTTCTTTGAGTTGAACGTGAACCACGGCAGGCCATTCCTTCAAGTTCTGCTTGGATAGCTCGACACAAGCAGAACAGGGTGGCCTATAGGTAGAGCACGGCATCGAACGAGAGACTGCGAGGTTGAACCTCTATGCTAGAGTTCGCAAGCAAACATGGAGGATGTTTCGCGAGGACGACACAGCTCTCGATTGGCTGGCTTATGCTGTTGATGCGCAACATAATATCAAAAGTCCCGAGTTGATATCCCCTTGGACAATACCGCGTCCTCATCGTTTTTAGACCGACACATAACCGCCAAAACCTATGACTGAGGTGAGAGTAGAGTGAGAGCATTCGACTGTCAGATACACACCGGTCTCGGCAACTTTGCCCACGGCAACGCTCAGGGCAGTGAGTGACCACTTGGGTGGTTGGTACAAGACCAGTGAAGTGCATGACCAATAGAGACCATGTTGCTGGGTCTTCCATCTGATGTTGCGGGAGGTTCTATTCAGCGAGGTGAATGGACAATAGAACTTATCGCAAAGGCCCAGCCTCTGCCGCAGTGATTCATTTGATCTCGGGGCTGCGAGATGTTTCGGATGGAAACAAAATGGGCTTACCTATTGTCTCTGCCTTAAAAATGCGGTTGAATAGGATGCGACTTGGGAGAAGTGACAGTTAAAAATTCAATGAGAATCGTGAAGCCATACTTTTCTTCTCCCTTCTGTCTTCTGCTCTTCCAAACTCGTCCAACTTTGGGATTGAACGTTCACAACAGAGCAGACGAAAACAACAACTTGAGACCGCAACAACAAGCAAACAACAATGTCCAAGAGGAAGACTCGAGACTTGGAACCTCAAGTCGTCAGTCCAAAGATGGCGCCAACAACCAGCAGGAAGAGTTCGCAGGAATCGTCAAAGTAAGTGTCGAAGCTATTCGCATGAGGATGTTGTTGAGAGAAAGATCAACAATGATTCAGAACGCAATCAATCGATGGCATGGGCCCGCCAGTTACAGTGGCTCAGTGGCTACTGACAGCGGAAGGCTGGCCAATCATGGTGCCTTCTGTGGTGGAGTTGGGGCTTGATAGCACTATTAGCGGCTACGAACAGTGGCTGACTTGTGTCTAAGCAGTGCGGCTGCAGGAGGCCATGTCAGCCTTGCCGAACCATTCGCGGTCAACCACCAGGACCGAAACAACGACGACGCAGTCGCCGCCCACGAATCTTGGAGAAGAAAGCTCCATAAGAACGCGAGACGAGCCGCCGAACGAGTCGGATTGTCTCGTCTCAAGTCGAACCGTTCACAGCGCACCGCGAACAAAAGCGCGCCGTCAGATCCGCCCTTGACACCTCTCAGGCGCAGCAGCCGTGTCCCTGCCCCCAACAAGGACACCCCCAACAAGGACACCACCGACAAGGTCATGCCCAGAGGGCGCCGTGGAAAGTCAACCAAGGCCAAGAAGCCGAAGAAGGAATCGTCCGAGACATTCTACTCTGTCCGGCGCATTGCTGGGGAGAAGACCGAAAAGGGCCGGCTGTTCTACCTGATCGACTGGGCCAACGACCCCGTCACTGGAAAGAGCTACGATCCGACCTGGGTATGTTTTGACTCCATGTTATGTGCTCACACGCAGTACACTAATCATCACTGCGCTTACAGGAACCAGCTGAATACGTGACCGAAGCTGCAGTCGCTCATTGGGAGTTGACCAAGGACAAGGCGCCGCAAAGCGACGACGACACCGAGCAAGAGAACAAAGGCCAGGACGAGGAAGACGAGGAGGACGAGTTGCCAATCGTTCACCGCCGCCAGAAGCGCAAACTCTCGCTGGATCGAGAGGAAGAGCAGCAGCCGCAGAAGCGAGCTCGGACCGCCGGCACGCAGGAGGACAACACGGGCGCCAATCCTCGCGTTAAGCCCGTCAAGATTGCTGTTGAGATTCCGCGCGAACCCACCGTCGACCCGTCCGATTTCGTACCTGTCATTGTTTCATCGCAAGACAGTTCCCAGCCCGCCTCGCAGCATCAGGAACCCGCAGCGTCAAAGGAGATCAGCCAACGGACGATTCCCGACTCGCAAGCCGTGGGTGATTCCTTGCCATCCCTGCTGCAGGAAACCCAGAAAGAGCCAGACCTTCTGCCCGAAGACGAAGTTAGCGACTACCATTCAGCGGTGGAGGATCCGGACTCTGAAGGCGCTGCTATTCCGTCTTCCTCCTTTGCGTCCGCCCAGGCTCAGTCGACGCAGTCTGGGGCTGTGATTCCGTCCAGACAGATCGAAGATCACTTGGAGGTTGAACCCCAATCCATCATCTCCTTCGACGACCAGCAAACCGCAGCTGAGAAGGCCTCGCCCCAACAGGACCTGGATTCGAATCTGAGCAGCTCCCCGCCTGGAAGGTTCTTGACACAGCTCGATTTCGATTGGTTATTAGCAGAGACGTCGTTGTCAACGTCGGGAGTTATCGTCTCAACTAGCCAAATCGTGAGCCAAAACCCCGACAACCGCAGCCAGGGCCCCGCGAACGACAAACCTGACACCACAACCACTACCCACACTTCGCCCCAAACCTCAAACAGCGCTCCTTCGCAGGCCGCCCAGGTTCTGCTCCCTTCAAGCAGCATTTCACAGCAACTGCGCAGCCAAATCGAATTCACCAGCTTGATCGAGAATTCTACACAATCCGAACGGGCGGCCCACCACAGCCAGACCGACAACGACATCGTTCCGGCCACCCTGCAAAAAGAGGTCAGTGGCACCAAAGAGTCGCCAAGTGGCATCAGAGAGTCGCCAGCATCACCACACATGATACTGCGCACACTCGACCTAAACCAGCCCACTAAGCAGCCGCACTCTGACAACACAAACAGAATCGATAATCCGAACACCCCTCCCCGTTCTTCTTCTTTGTCAACACCCCACACACCTAATCAAAACGAAGACTGCGAGACAGCTAACTTCAGGATGGACGACGCGTTCCCGACGGAGACGCCCCAGCTCTCCGCAACGGAGACGCTGCAACGGTTGCGAGACCAGATTTACGGCAAGCAGTCCGATGAGCCATCCACACTCTTAACCTCACCAGCGTCGCATCTCGACCTCCACACCACCCAACCTGAGCAGCAGGAACAACAGCCGGCCGTAATCTCACCTGTCGATGTTTTCCCAGCGCCTCACCCTGATCCGGCGGATCCGTGGGAGATTCAGCCATCAGGCAATATTCTTCACAGCATCGATCCGAGCCCTGGGCTGCATCCGGGGTCAGTCATTTCCAACGGTGAGACCATCTCTGCTGTTGAGCAGCTTAGACGTAGTCTGGGACTCCCATTCACTCCCAACGCCCCACACACAGAGCTCGATATCTCCCCCGAGCCGGTGGAAACCCACGACCATGTAGCTTCGGACGAGATGCCTGCAACTATTGCTCCTTCTGAGTTGGATGTCTCAACCGGCCACGATGCACTACCGTCTCATGAACACGTCGATTTCGAACAGAACAACGACGACATGTCTCACACATCTCGGAACATAGACTCCGAGGAGCCCGAGGAAGAATCGGACTTAACCGAGTTTCTGGTCACCCTACCGATGGCGGCAAATTCTCGTCCTCAGTACCTCGAAACGATCGACAAGAACAAAGCTGCCATGGAGGAATTTTGCCAGGCCTTCAGCGAGTCTCATCCGGCGATGCCCAACGACTCTCTCACCGCAAAGATTGACTCGCTATTCCAGCGACTGGCTGATCTCTGCGACTTACCAGCCTACGCGGACACCATACCGGCGATGACGCCCACCGAGATGATGAAGCACGCGACGGGAACAAACACCAAGTTTTCTTTCATCTATGAGTTTCTCCACCTCGCTCGTGATTTGAATCTCCGAGTTCTTATCCTCTGCCGACCTGGTAGGACATTTGATTACTTGGAAGCCGTGGTTTCTACACCTGGTTTCAACTACAATGTTCTTGGGCGTGACGAACCAACCCCGTCTGATGAGGCTTCCGACGGATTGTGGGTGGTTCTGGCTTCACCAGACCAGGATTTGTCCGCCGTCCGTGGACCTATCGATGTGGCCATCAAATATGATCACGAGACGAGGTCAACCAGACTGCCGCCCGGCTTAGTTCCTGTTGTCTTGTCTCTCGTAGTCTCCTACAGCCTAGAGCACGTTGACCTTCAACTCAACCAGATGGAACATGGTTTGAGCGGCTTGGAGAAGAAGAACGCCCTTACCCTGGCGATTGATACTCCAACGGCGAGAAGGCTGTTCGTAAGCCCACCAGATGAAGGGCATGAACCGCACAAGGCCGCCGAGCTTTTCGCCTGCTTTTTGCAGAACCCCGATAATGATCTATCCTGGGACCCGCAAGTTCTCCCTGCGGATGTCTTCGATGGCTGGTTGAGCTCGCAGAACCGTATGGAGTCAGCTCAGCATGTACTTCCTTCAAGAGATGCCACTGGCCGTAAGCGCCACTTGGTAAGTGTCGGAACCCCAACCAGTTCATCATATCTCAGGATTAGCTCACTAACCGGAACACAGGACGTAGTTGATGCTGGCACGCCAAAGCGAGCCAGGCTTTCTCAGACCCAGACTCCTCGGAATAGCACACCATCCCAGATGACCGACTTGCTGAGAAGTACTCTGGAGAAATACCCCGGTAGGCCGGCAACACAGTTCATGGAAGTTTCGGTAGAGCAGCTTGAAGCTCTGGCCTTCAAGATCTTCGAGCTGGAGTCAGATCTTGAACGAGAAGCCAGTGACGAGAACCGAACCCGACTGCTCGCCAGGAACCTCGGCGTCGAACTGGCGTCCTACAAGCGCACGGTGGAAGTTCTACAGCCCAAGTACACCGAAGCGCTCCACGACCGCAGCACCTTCGAGAAGACTTGCAAAAAGGCAGTCGACGAAAACGTAGCAGCGCAAAAGCGGCTCGAAGCCAGCAAGCACGACCTAGACACCGCCAAGGCAGAAATCAAAGCCTCGGAAGCCAAACTAGCCGCTGCCAACTCGCAACTCGCCAACTCATCCAACCCAGACCTATCCCGTCTCGCCCGCGCCGAGAAGGAGCTAGAGGACACCAAGACCAAACTGGCCGCTCTCGAGAAGCGCCTGGCCACCACGACCAACGAGATGGAATACAGCCGCTCCGCCTACCAAAACGCATCCAACGCGCACACCGAGCTGAACAACGAGAACCTCGCCCTGAAGCGCAAGATCGAGGAACTCCAGCGCAAAGCCGACGAAAACGTCGTCAGAGTCAACCAGATCAACTCCGACCAGGAGAAGAAGTTCCTGGGCAAACAAAACGACGAGTACCGCGCCATGATCCGCGACCGCGAGCGCGAGCTGGAGACGGCCCGCGCCGAGCTGAGACATCTCAAGAGCGGAAGGCGCGAGACCCGCCAGGCTAGTGTCCCGCGGAGTCCGCGCACGACGACGGGCATCATGAGTCCCAGGACGACGGTCGGACGTAGAAATGCCAATACGGATACAGCAGCAAGTAGTCGGGGCAATAGTCCTGCGCCGGGTAATGCTAGCGATGGGAACGGGAACGGAGGAGGAGGGATGAACTTTAATCCCCGGTGGGGGCACCTGCGTGATTAGGACGTGACGACCAGGAGCCAGAACCGGGACCAGAACCGGGACCAGAACCGGGATCAGAACCGGGACCAGGACCGGAGAGCGAAATCGATGGGTGTTTGAAAGAATGTCTGTTGCTTGACTACTGCTGCTGCTGCTGCTGCAGTTTTCTTCACGGTAGCAGGAAAAGACAACGACTGAGATTGGGGTTTTGTCTTTCTTTGACAACGGTGGAATGGTTATTTGCTTATTGCTTTGTCACACATTGGCTATTTCCTTTTTTTCTTTTGTGTTTTCTACAGCCAACAGGGGCTTTTACACAATACCCGTCTCCCTTAACACACGGCTCATTAGATTAGTTGTTTATCGCTTTCATATGGTTTGAGGCACGATGGTGCTGGGACATCGGCAGCCAGGATGCATTTGCGGCGGGTTGAGGGATGCATATGGAAGAGGTTGAGGCACTTGGCGCATTCGGGTTATCTTCTCTAGATACTCTATAGGGAAGCAACACAAATTTTTTAGAGATTGTGAAGATGAGCCAGCTGAGTGAGAAAGGTTAACCAGCATCTGAGTTTCGTGAATTCTACGGTTGCTCTCATCACTGTCTTGTGAGGACATCTATCTTGTTACTCTTCAAGGTCACGGTGCGTGCAATATATCATCCAAATACATAAGTGACATGACCAATTATTATCGTATCCAGCTTTGCAGATAAACAGGTTGAACTCGTTCGATTCATCTCTCTAAGCCCCTCCTCGGATATACTACGCTCTTATTTCCCGTAATAAGAGTCTCTGGTCAAAGAAACATGTACAGTATCAGGGAGGTAGCGTATAGTGCTCTCTTATTTAAGTTCCAAGCACACACACGTACGCCTTCCCCTTTCACACAATCCCTCCTCTCTCTCTCACCTCGTGGCTCTCATTTTCCCCTCTCTTCCACTTCAAAGATTCTGGGAGGGTAATTGATGGGTCGTTTGAATGGTGATTCCTCATGGCAGCTTCTAAATTACGTTGATCCTAAATTTAGTTGGCCTCCTCGGGGTAGAGGTCCTCCTTGAGGGTGATGCCGAGCTCCTCGCGAAGGGGCTTGAGCTCAGCGAGGTACTGCTCGTACTGGCCCTTGTTCTCAACCTTGGCCTTGATGCCTGTCATGAAAGCAGCTCGTTGTCAGCATGGTTCTGGCTCGTCAATACTGCTGTGTCGCCCCCTATCCGCTCGAATATTCCAATACATTGGTATTGGCGCATAGACTTTGGTCGTCGATGGCTGCGATGTGCAGTTTTCGGTGGCGGCAGTGATAATGCTAGGACGGGGTCTCTTACCCTCGAAGACGCGGACAGCGGTGGGGAAGTCGTTGACGCGGCGGGCAGCCTTGAGAGCAGCGGCGAGAACGGAGGGGGAGGGGACGAGATCGTAAGCGAAAGCGTTGTTCAGGTTGCGCTAATTTCGGTATGGCAGCGTCAGTCACCAGTCTGTTCCTTTCCTTGCTCCTGTCCCACCAGTTGAACCATTATCCTTCGATCGAGGATGCAAAGGGTGCGTCGTCGAGTCGGCTGTGGGAATCGAGGTGGGACGGGCGCATGGGAGGTGGTGCATACCTGAAGCTCGAAAACATCCTGGACGGCGTCAAACTCCTTCTCGTAGCTGTTGGAAAAGGCGCAGGTTAGGAATTGGGGTGTTCTCGAGGGCGCATAGAGGTATTGAAGAGGTGGCCCTGGCTGAGGCTGAGGGGGGAAAGAGTCGGAGGCATCACGTCATAGTGAAGCCGAGCTAGGACAGGCAGGTAGCTAGCTCGGGCCTGGGACCTCGGGAGCTCGGAGAGGCAGTAGCTTCCCGGCCGGGATGCCGGGGCAAGACTCACCGGGCAGTGAACTCCTCGAAGGTCTCCTCCTGGTGCTCGGAGCGGAAGCGGCTGGAGGTGCTGAAGAGGCTGACGCGGGCGGCGACGGGCTGGGGGCGAGCGACGGCGCGGAAGAGGCCGGCGGAGGGGCCGCGGACGGCAGTGCGGAAGAAGGAGGCCATTGCGACGGAGGGATGGAGGGGGCTACTAGAGATGAAAATTAAGAGCACACGGTAAGAAGCTGGAACTGTAAAGCGAAGAAGACCGGGGGGAAGAAAAGGCAAGGCGGTAATTGGCGGCGGAGACGGAGGAGCACGCACGTTACGTAGAGGGAGGTACGGTAGCTGAGATGATGGTCTCAATTGATGCTAACGAGGTCGAGGTTCGATGGTGTGCGTCGTAAATGCTTGTCAACCCAAGTGGAAGTCTCCGGTATTGCACTGCATCGAACCATTCGAATACTTCGGCTATGTCTTTTTCGCTTAGCTGCCTAGCTGTGTTTTTCCCGCCCTCGAGGTACCTCTGGACAAGCCACGGAGTGGTCAGTGCACAAGCTCTCCAAGCTCACCTTAACCAATTCGTACATGAGCTTGGTATGCAATTGGACGAACAACAGTCCACTTTTCCGCACCAGCAGTGGCTGAAGTGGCTGAATGGTCTCTTTAACTTCATAATGAGGCTAATATCGAGTCCAACAACGGGGGGACATAACGCCTCACTACAGCTATGATGCAACCAGTGCGTTTTGCTCATGTCGGTCTTTGACACAAGTGGTTGTCCGTGTTGCGGATATTCGATCCAACTCATCGTCATATTGACCTTGTTAACCCTTGTGTCTTTTCTCTTTTGATCCTTTGATTCGTGAATTTCTGAAACAGTAGGCTGGAGATTTGCGGATATATCATCGTAAGAATCCGACTGCCAACCGGATGTTTTAACCGGCACATGATCCGTCATCTCAGAATTCATGTCTCGTGTGTGCGGGTGGATGAGTGATGGGCCGGTGAAAGCCAGGAGTCCGGAGAGAACATAGAAAACGCGCCTAGAAGCATTGGTGGGTTGGGGTTGTTGAACAGGCGAGAGCCGCGAGACATCAAACATGGACTCGTCTGAACGACCCGAGTCTTTATCTCCGCTGGTTAATGTCTTACCGTAGCACCAATCGTTGAAGGGCAAGCTATTCACCTTCTCTTATAGACACAGTTGGTCCGGGTTCACCTAGCCGTATGGACGTCTTCATATCAACCCCATTAAGATAGTTCTTGACAGCGAAGTTGTGAACGTCCTACCTCCATGAAACCTCGGCATAGACTCTACATACTCGTTCGATCAAGAGTTGGCCCGTGGCGGTCCGACAGTTGACGCTGCGCATGATGAACGAGGTATCCGATGTAGGGGGACCGTAGGTATTTGGTGGACCTCGAACGGCCTAGAAGGGTGTCCAGAGTCTCGAGTTAATTCTCGATCTCATCCATGTTTCAACAGGCATGGTGGTTTTTAGTAGCCCAGGACTGACCCCTTTTGATGGAGCCCCCGTTGAGTCGCACCGGAACAGGCACGAGACGCGATTGATGACGCGCTAAAATGAAAGTGAAGTTCTGCGTTGTTGAAACACACTGCAACCTCATTCGCCGTGTCCCTCCGGTGTCATCAGTTCGGTCATCACTCCTCAAAAACAGACTCGCTGGCGACGTCACAACCAGTGATGAGTGGCAGGAGCTATTCCGAGGTCTTGGGCCCGTACTGGTGCCGTACAACTGGATAGTTCGGCGCGGTGAGACGGAGATTCGGGACGTGATTGGGTGGTAAACGCTGCAATGGCAAATTGGGGGACTTCATGCAGGAACTGGAAATGAAAAGCCAAGTGTCGTTGAGGTCTATGAGGCTACGCGCGTCTGGGTGGCTACCCCTTTTCCACTTTGTTGACACTCACAGTGAGTGCCAGTCACCACTGCAGTGCCGTCCATGCGGCTGACTGCTGGAGTGCCATGGCCCCGGAGACCAGTGCACCACGGAAGTACCTGTTCCCTGCCCGGAATGGAAGGCCCGTGAATGGAAGTCACGGCCGTCAGCCTGGGAGCCTTGCCTCACTCTCAGCTGTCCTGTCCTGTGATGAGTGTCAGATTTCAGGTCAGGTTCCAGGTTGCCCGGGGATACTTGCTTTAAGAGGTGTTTATTGACTTTGACCCCGAGCATGGATGATGGATGTGGCCACCAGGAACTTGGCCACGTTGGACCTTGGAAAAGTCTACATGCTGCATCATGTCAACAAAGCCCGGTACTTTGAACTTCTACCATCAACATTTGAAGTCATTATAACCTGCTTTGGTTAATCATTCGCTCGCACAATCTTGATTTCTTCTTTAAATGACACTGATTGAATTAGGAACTTTATCCTTTCAACGATTCCAAATCCGTTGTTTCCAACGCTCATTTTTGGATGTACTACCTTATCGTCGGCATCCTGATCGCTGCGACCTTCAGAAGCTCACTGTCCGCCTTTCTGCAGAGGTACCACAAGTGGCTGCGTGGCCGATTTCTTGGCGGCGGATCTTGGGCCTAATCTCGACCAGTCTCCCCCGTGGCCCGCCCGCGGATTCCGAGCATCGAATACAAAAATCTTCCCGCCTTTGGTGCCTCGCCCGGACAAACACAAGTCCCTGAATTCCGTACGCGGAGCCCCCCAACCCCCTTTCCCCGTCGCGCGACGCTCCTCCACCTCCTCCCCTCCCTATATTGACCTCCTTCCCCCAGCACCTGTCCAGCTCGGCTCTCGATTGTTGCACAACAACTCTGTCAACATCTCTCACTGCGCGCATTCAAGATGGCGACCGCAAGCCCCGTGTCGTTCCTCGACAGCCTTCCCCGGCCCACCCTCGACCGCCCGTTCGGCATCCACCTATGGCCCATCTTCAGCAAGGCCTTTGAGGCCGTCGCCGGCTACCCTGCCGAGGACTTCAGATTCGTCCCCGGCCAGACGCCCATGTCCACTCTCAAGGAGACCAGCATCTTCATCGTCATCTACTACACCATCATCTTCGGCGGTCGCGAGCTCATGCGCAACCGCGAGCCCTTCAAGCTGCGCACGCTCTTCCTGATCCACAACTTCTACTTGACCGCCATCAGCGCTATCCTCCTGGCTCTCTTCATTGAGCAGCTTCTCCCCATTGTCGTTCGCGGCGGCATCTTCCATGCCATCTGCAACATCGACGGCGGCTGGACTCAGCCCCTGGTTGTCCTCTACTACGTATGTTGCTGCGGCTCACCGCCTGATGCGCTTCTGGGATCGGCAGACTAACATTGTCTAGTTGAACTACCTTACCAAGTACCTCGAGCTCCTGGATACCTGCTTCTTGTTCCTCAAGAAGAAGCCTCTCAGTATGTTACCGTTCCAGAAGAGATTGTCGCGTCGTACAACGATTTCTAACAATTTGCAGCTTTCCTCCACTGCTACCACCATGGCGCCACTGCTCTTCTCTGCTACACCCAGCTGATCGGCTCTACCTCCGTCTCCTGGGTTCCCATTACCCTTAACTTGACTGTCCACGTCGTCATGTACTGGTACTACTTCCAGAGCGCGCGTGGCATCCGTATCTGGTGGAAGGAATGGATCACCCGTCTCCAGATCATCCAGTTCATCATTGATCTTGGTAAGCACCTCTCCTCGTTCGCAATGGCCCCGTCACCCACGCTAACTCTTTACGCGCACAGGCTTCGTCTACTTCGCCTCTTACACCTATTTCACCTCGACCTACTTCCGCTGGATGCCCAATGCTGGCAAGTGCGCTGGCGAGGAGTTTGCCGCCTTCTCCGGCATTGGTATTCTCAGCTCTTACCTCCTCCTCTTCATCTCGTTCTACTTGGCCACCTACAAGAAGGACGCAAAGCGCCCCACTGCCCGCAAGTCTCTTCGCAGAATGAGCCAGGCCCCGTTGCCCGACCCTAAGGATATCGTCAGCGCCAAGGCTTCTGGCGCTCGCCCCAGCGGCGCCGCTACTGCCCGTTCCCGCAAGGCCTAAATCGTTGGCTAGAATGTGCAGTTACAGATCCCTCATGGATCGATCATACCAGAACGCTGCAAAGCGCCCAAATTCGTTCTTCGACAGCCATTGCTGGCTACGGTTTTCGAATTTATGACGACGAGGATGCCGTGCCCATGGAGGTACATGGCTCCGGATCATCTACCGGAAGACGCCTTCCGTACGATCCACCTCGACTAAAGATATTGTAATGATGGGTTATAAATGGGGAAACAAAAACAATGAGACGACATGGCTCGGAAAACTAATGACGACGTATGCTTGGGGCAACAGGCTGCCAATCGATGACAAACAAACATATCGGTTTCGTGGCTGGCACGGGTTGGAAGAATGCGTCTATCTCATGACACTAATGGGCGGATAAAAAGATCATGTATGACTGGGTTTTTTCTCGGTTGGCACCCTTCTCCCCCACCCTCTTTAGACGAGAGCAGCTTGGGTGGGGACTACTGGATATTCTGAACCGGTTCGCCAACTGGGCGATTTGGGGTTGCTCTTGGGCTTTGGGGGCTGGCAATGATGGATGGGCTTTGGAGAGTTCGACTCGACACCCATGGGTCGTCCGACTTCTTCCTCTACTTCTACTCTTTTCTTCCGCTGTCTTATACTTTTCTTCATCTTGTAATCCCTTTCCCCATGTATTATGCACGCGCGGACGGAGGAAGCAAGCCCATGGACGAGCCGGATCAACAAGCCCAGAAAGAGACATGCTGAGCATACGGACCTTAAACCTACATAGAAAACATAATGTTATTGTTATTGTACAACAAAAAAGACTTTAGTCTACGATTCGACATTGGTTGCGACAAACTGTCACTTGGGGACTTTGTTTCATATGGGTGGGGACTTTTGCGGGGTCGCGTTCACGCGAGTTCTGTTGATAAAGTCAGGACTGTTCCGTCTTCACTGCAGACCGGACGATATCGTCCCATCCGAGCCACTGCTTTGTCCATGACCTCCATGCGTTAACGCAGCCGTGATATAAAAAGCCCAGAAGCTCGACAACAAAGATACCACCGGATGAGCCGTTCGTATGGCGTAGGGTGCTTTTGGAAAAATTGGGACGAGAGCGAAAGATGAGATCCACTCAGCCATCTTGTCGTATTCGTCGTCCATCCGGCCCAAGAGCCAGGAGGTGGGGCCGGATGCCGGGGCCGGGACGGGACGGGACGTGAACGGAGTTGTGACGGGATAAGTGGGTCCATCAACGGAGTGAAGCCGATCATGAGGTGGGTCCGCCGTCCGACGAGTTGACCTTCGAGATTTCCTGATACATACAACAGAACTACTCTGCTTACCCTGAATGCTTGATTTGATTTATCGCATATGGTGGTTTGATGACGTTTGTGCTGCTTCCGGTCGGATTTGGCTTTCCAGTGAGCTTTTCCCATTTAGTACTAACTTCCGTTTCCCAACAACATATGGAAACAAGAGGAATGGCGTAGGTCTTGAATAGCACACACGTAGTCGGGATATGTTAGAAAGGACGAATTTTATCAAGTCGCTCAAATTAAATGCTTGATTTGTTCCCACCACTGTACGTCCTTAGATAGAGAGGCTTGTTTTCAAGCCTTCATATGGCCATCTATGTGGGATAAGATCAAGCTCCGCACGCGTGACCCTTGGACCGGAAGTCATTCTCATAGAGAAATAGCTGGTGACCGTTCGATCGCACAACTTGCTATTAAAAGTCAGTATGTGTATTCGCGCTGATGCATCACTGTTGTCTAGGTGGAGGATCTGCCCCGAAAGCAGACGAGGATAACGGTGAACCACCTACCATACAGCATGGATTGACCAGAATTTGGCCGTGAACGTGCAAAACATGAATACCCGGATCCTACTTCTGAATCCCTCTTCAGACACCTCCGCACGCCAAACTGGCTGGCTCTTCACAAAACGTTCAGCCCTAGACCTTGACGAAACGTCCTTGTCCAGCATCCCACCGCATTGCAGCGGAACCAGAGGTGGAGGACTGATATGGCTCAATACTAGCCTTGGCCGGATCAAGCCCGCACATGGCCAAAATGACCTTGCATGAGGGCTCCTCACTGTTGACATCGCCCACCCAGCCGATTCTGCCCTTCTCGCCCACGGGACCGTATGCCACCGCAGTCTGCAGGTGAACCCGCTCCGGGTCCCGACCCTCGGGGCCTCTGGCAAGCATCCCAGGCAGGTTCAGGATACCGCCCCCGTCATCCAGGTTGGCGTCGGGGACGTACCACCTGTGCTCGGTCCTCACCCCCGAAAGGCACAGCGACTTGACGCTGTACATAGTCTTAAGGCCGTTCTTGTTGCGATAGTCGAAGTGCGTGGCGTCGCGGATGCCGTCCGCCTTCTCGTTCATCACGACGATGTTGCGCTGGTACATGCCGCCCTTCCAGTCGGGGAGGCCAGAGACACGGAAGAACTCGTCCAGGTCGTCGGGGATGGCAAAGTTAGCAACTTGGCCGGTGAGCACGGCGGTAGCGCCGGTGCGGCGCAGGTAAGCGAGGACTTGCTCCCAGAGAGGAAGGTTCTCGGGAAGGGTGAGCGCGGCGTCGGTCAGGACGAGGGCGGAGTACGGCTCAGCATCCTCCTTAGAGAGGAGACGGGTGAGGGTGGCGGCCTTCTTGACGCGCTGGACAATGGCCAGCTCGAGCATGGGAGTCAGGAATTGGCTGACGATGTCGTCGAAGGACTCCAGATATTCGAGGGAGATGACGAGGATGCGGGGCTTTGGGGCCTCTTCGGCGTCCAGGTCAATGATATTGGCCATGGCTGGAGCTGAAGTTTCCGGAGAAGGTCAAGAGGATCAAGAGAAAAAATTGAGAGAGGGTGTCGTCGCTGGCCTTTGAAAACCGAGTCCTCTGCAAGTCACTAAAGTCTTTGGACGGCGTGTGAAGCGCTGTAGGACAGAGTGACTGCATGGGGGCCAATGTGTTGATATTAGCTTCCGAAGGCAACAGTCGTTTTGCGCGAAAAGGCGGGGAATCTGTTTAGGCTCAGGAAGAGAGAGACTCACCTGTCAAACAGAAAACCGGCGTAGAAGCTTCGTGTTTGGGAAGGTACAACAAATTCGTGACGTTATGAAGATATTTTGCGGCGGAAGTTGCGATCGGGGTTGATGCATCTACGGGTTACTAAGGTTATGCCTGCATTGGCCTAGGCTGGCCTAAGCTCCTGTACCTACAACTGTTGAGCATTTGGAAAATTATTGTATCTTCTCGTTCTCATATCGCTATCTGTCTTGCTGGCGCATCAAGCTTATCATCCATCTAACGAATGGTCAGTATACCTGCAGAATGGTGTTTGTTTTTGAGAAATCACCACCTTTGGGGGTGAAGGACGCAGAGGGGTACAGTACCTGTATATAATTACCTTACCTTTTAAGGTACTAGTGGCCGCATAAAATGCACAAACTGTGGGGTCTGGTTACACAATGAGCCGCGCTGTCAGAGTGCTTGAAACATTGCAGCTGTCAACCGAAAGGCAAAACAGTGGGAAGTCCAAAGAATTGGCAATGTGCTTGATTCTGATGCCGAGAAAAGAAGCCAGTGTAAAGGCTGGGGGTTGGCTGGGTTTATACCTTCTAGGTTTACACGATTCCTCATAGCCCACCAGACTTCCAATCGGCCGTCTGGCTTGTCTTTGGCGATAGCTTCCTTCTTCGAGGTATCCGGTTCCTTCTATACATATGATGGCCTCCTTCCATATCAACAGCGTCCTTCTTGCTCGCCGACCCCGCAATGCAGGTGTGGAGGATCGTGCAGGCAGGCATGCATCATCCCTCGGTTCTTCCAAAATGTATTGAGAGATTCAACCACCTTCCCAATCAGCTTGTTCGCAAACTTCATTGGTTTACAGGCCTGATATCGAATTTATGGACTCTTCTTCTCAAAGACAAGAACGCAGCTATTCAACCAAAATCCCAGGGCAACTGATAGCCAAAGCCTTCTCTTGTCTTTGTTGATCGATTGTCATGATCTTTCGCGTTGGGGTTTTGGGGGATGCCTCATTCAAAGAACCACGCTAACGAATCACAACCCACAATTGGATTTCGTGTACAGGATCCGGGATTGGCAAAAAAGTAATTCAGGAACCGCCAGGAACGCCAGGAACGCGTTCATATGAAGTTGCATCGGCCCCCACATCGATCTGTCTCAGTAACTTCCGCAGACCGAAGAGACATGACTTCGGCGAATCCAACCTGATCAGGTAGGTGAAGTCCATGTAGTGAGTGTCGATAAGTAGCTTTATTTTATTTCGACTCCCCTTCAACCCTCAATCCCTCCACTAGTCCACCTATAATTCCACTGTCTCCGTCTCCGTTTTCCGAATCCCCTCTCCTCCTCCCGGGCTCCTCTCATGAATGAGACCCCATAATTACACCTAGCCCACCTCGCCCACCTACCCATGAGTCCAGTTCCCATGGGTTCCCATGGTCTCATGAAAATAGATATCGATGGTGTTATCGTCGTCCGATTCCAGGCAAATACCCATACATTTTACGATCTTTCATCTCAATTTAAAATCTGCCCCAGATTTTGATTCTGACCAAACAGAAAACGGAGACGGGGCCACGGGGGACCTTTGGTGGAGTTGGTATCCGGAACATGTCGGACCAAGGCGTCACCTTATCAAGGTCGTCGAAACGATGAAACAAATATCCTGAATCGCGTTTGTGCTAACGGAGGCGGATGGATATCCATCACTTGTTACGGCGAATTGTTCATCTCGTGCTTCGGCTCAGCTTCTGTGGAAGCGATGGACGACCTGCAACGAAGTCATTCATCCCCCAATCCCACCTCGTAAATCCCAAAGCTAGCTGCACCATTCTGCAGTTCATGCACTGTCAAAAATGTTGTAAGAAAATATTCCGACGCGTGCCCGCGCAATGAAAGCTGGGCAGGGGAAAGGGAAGCGAAGCCAAGAAGTCCAAGCCGGCCCCCAAGGGACCCAAGACGTCTCATTGAGAGACCGGTGTTCGCACCCTACGGAACCATTATCTCCGCATGATCCCTACCACTACCACCATAAACAAACATTGGCAGGCACCTGGGGCACGCCAGGGCTGCTAGGTAGCATGAATGGCTCGCTAGGTTCGCTAGGTTACCCGGTGTGGCATGAAGAAAATAAAAAAATGAAAGCCAGAAAAATGAATGACACAGAAGAATGGGACGTGACATTCAGTGACAGGCCGGCATGACCGATCTAGAGGTGCAAGTTTGGTAGAGATCTGGTTCGCAATGTCACATTCATTATAGCAAGATCAGGTAGCGACGGGAGTGTTCGTAAGGTATGTTGTTTTGGCATACAATGCCTGTCTTTCAATTTGATTGAAGCCATCCATATATGGATGGAAATAGTGCTGTAGTAGCGGAGATAATATGCCTGGAGAAACGAAGAAACCAGAACAGCGCCCTGTGGTATCATAACATTCGTAAAAAAAGCAAGAGCAACAAGAAACTGCTGTTGCGTAGAAACCTCCCATGTCCCGAAAACTCCATCCAAGATGTGTTAAAAAAAAAAAAAAAAAAAAAAAAAAAAAAGACCGCCGGCCTGCTGTGCTGAAACATGCTTGCGCGCAGCCATGAGAAATTCCTCCCCTCTGCTCCGTCAATGTGTGTGTGTTGTGTGTCTAAGTCATTCCCGTCTGCGTCTCTTTTCCGTATCAAGGTCTCCCAATTAAACCCCGTCTCCTGTTGTATGCGATGCTGCGGATTGTGCCCGCTCCCCAAGCTTCAAATCGCCATGCTTGCAATATGCCGTGAAAAATATCAGAGTCTGGTTGGTACATGCTGCTTCGTCGCTTTATGCGATGTTGATCCTCCCCGTAAACTTGATGCTCTTGCGCCTTGCCGCAAACCCGCTGAGGAGTCCCCTCCTCGGGACACTGGTGGGAGAAAGAGGAGAGACGGGCGAAGCGTCCTCAGGCAGTGATGGGAACTGTGGTGATGGGGATGGTCCAAATGGCGAGGACATTCTGAAATTCTTCCTCGAAGACTTGTCAGAGGTTGCTGGGGATCCCGGGACGATAAGCTGCTCGGGAGTCTCCTCGGAAAGAGGAGTGGTCACAGAGAGCGGCATCATGCTGCTGCGAGACGGTGGTGGCTTCATAGAGTGTCTTGAGGGAGGCGGTGTGGTGTGCTCCGATGGTGGCTGGGGGCTCGCCAGCGCCGGACGGCTCCTCTTCCTGACGAGGCTGAAGGTCCTCGTAACCCCCTTCAACAGAATCATGGTTGGTGTCCTCGGTGATCTCGCCGGGCTTGTTGCCTCCTCTGGAGTATCGGCTCTGGGAACATCCAGCGAGTAGGAGCTGCCGTTTGCGAACGGGTCAACGTTGAGAAACTGAGGCTTCCTCATGGGCATCATATCGATGGGAAGACTGCTCTTCCTTTCGGGAAGGGCAAAAGCTGACATGGGGCTGGCTGGTGTGATCGTCCGCTCGATGGGGATGTTGCAGGACACTGTGCTTGACCGCTTCCTCATGTGGCCTAGGCTCGGCGCTGCGGAACCCCTCCTGAGGGTGGTGAGGTCGACGATCGAGGGCCTGCCAGAAAAGATAACCGAAACAACACGCGCAGTGTCTTCACGGCTACCTCGTCGGGATGTCGGTGTGGCGGTAGAGGCTTCCTTCTCGTTGCTGGACTCGTAGCCGGATAGGCTGTCGGTGTCTGAGGAAGCATCCTCCTCAGAAGAGAGATAGACGTCGCCGAGTGGAGACGGCTTTTCCAACTCGGCAGTCTCAACCGTCCCACTCATCTTGAGCTGAACCAAGCTGTCAAGCAACCTTGAAGCCCTCAGGGCACTCTTCTGAGGCAATGCCGGGACATTGTCCTCCTCCTGCTGCTCTACCCTCTTGGTATCCACCACTTCAGGAAATTCGTCGTACATTGTGCTGTCGCAAGATGGATTCCGGGTGTAGACCTGGGCGGTTGTGTTATCAGATGTCTGTGTCTCTGAGATGGTTCTTGTAAGAGTTGCTGTGCTCTCCCTGGTCGGGAGGGACTGTGTTTCTGTCGACATGGTGTAGCTGGCGATGGGATTCTGGGTGAAGAGAGCAAAGTAGTGAATGTTGAAGCCCTGGGGAAGGGCAGGCGCAGGTAAATATTAGAAGACTAGTGAGTCTTGTGTGCTGCTCTGGCTTGGCGTCGTACTATTCTGATGGAAGGAGCAACGAGGAACGGCAGAGGGATCCACGAGGGTGGGCAGATATTATTTTAATGAGACTCAGTTCTGCATGGGGTCATTACGCTTGTCAAGACCTGGTCAGGACCTGACGAGGGTGTGTGCTGGGGATGGTGCTGGGGTACAGGGGCAGGCCAGACGAGACGAGACAAGTCAACCTGGCATGCCACCGTCCTCTGTCCTCCGTCGCACAACGTAGAAGCCGTGCCAGCCGTGGTAGCCGTCCGGACGGTGGCATGGTGTGGTTGTGTGGTGGGTGGTCGCATTTCAGATTAACGGTGGGCAACAAACCACAAAACGGTCCCGTCAGAGGAGAGACAAGAAGAAGACAGGAGGTTGGCTTTGGATGCTGCACCCAGACTGCACCTACCTACGTGCATACAGCAGCATACAGTCAACAGATCGCCTAGCGTCACCGCACGTCTTCGATCGCATGCATCCCAATGCATGACACTGGACTGGACAGAGTGACGGGTTCTTGACTTCTTGTCCATCACACACACCATCTTTCTAGCTTCTGGTTGTTGCGTCTCACACCCATATCCAGTTCCTTGGTGTCTCGCGTTTTCCCCTGAGGCCGGCGTCGCAACAGGAATGAGCTCCAATGAAGGGGGGCTGCAAAGATGACCGGGATCAAGGCAGTCCAGTCAAAAAAGAAGCTCTCTGAGCCTCCCGAAATCTCTCTGCACGCCCATCCATTCCTTCCCATCACCACTTCTTACCAACACAACCAGGGCCAGCCTCGCACTTCTCTTCAATAAGCTTGATGACAGCCGGGCACTGTAGTGGAGGCGGAGGGGGGCACGGTCAGCCATCCAATTCAAGTTTAATGAGGACCCCGAGGACAATCGGAGCACGACGATGGAATCGACAGAGATGATGGGAATCAAGAAGCGCAATTTGCACGTGGGTGGTCAGAACAGTGATAAAGACTCGCGTTTCAAGTTAGCCGGACTGTCGAGTCCACTTTCCCATCCGAATGCTCACCTTTGGACGTGGAACCCTTGCCTTGCAATGCCTTGTCTTTTCGAGCTTCGTTTTGAGGGGTCTCCGCTAGTGTTTTTACGCCATCTTTTAGCGCTACAAAAATGCAAAGACTTTCACACAATTCACACACCACCACACTTCCCCCTCATCGACCAGGGATTGGGGTTCTGCGCTTCACGAACTTTTTATCTTTTTCGACGGTCAGCTGGATGGATACGAAGGGATACGTGCTGGTCATTCATCTTCACACTCACCGTCGTGACCAAGCTGCGCGAGAAGAAGCCGACAAATCCTGGAATCTCAACACCTCTATCACCCCTACGTACGCAGTACAGTTATCAAATGCCCCAAAAACCAAGTCGATTGCAGAAACGGCACGAACACCATGACCATGTTACGGAACCAAAACGGCCCCTCTGGTTCTCATCACAAGCCTCATATCAGTGGCTTCGGGTCCCTTCACACCTTGGCTGCCACAACGGGTAAAGACGAAGAAGACGAGTGGAGAGGGTCAACCAGGGGCCTGAGACCCCTTCGACCAGGGCCTTTCATTGGTAAGATTGGCCGCCATGGGGTCTCAGACTGGGAATGCCAAGGTGTCTGTGATTGGATTTTCCATCTCGACATCGTCGGCGGCGGCAGCAATGAACTGTCCGTTTGATTGGAGTGTAGCAGTGTGGGAGGCCATCCTCGACATCGTCTGGATCTTTCCAAGCTTCGAACTCGGACAATGCTGCCGAACGTTGTTCTTGAACTCTTGAGTGGTATCGTAAAGTCATTGGCTAACGGATGTAATGACAGCAGGTGCACTTGCAACTCCGAAGGGCAAGACCGGAGAAGATCTTTTTACTCCGGTTCTGAAGACTCATATTCGAGAGTATAGCATTCCGAAATCCAGAACGCCAAAACTGATATATCGACTCAGCATTTCCCGATACTGTCTCGACTGTGTTGTCGTCCACCGCTTCGTCCCAAAGCTGCCTTCCCCAGCTGTCGGGACTTGATTGCAGCAAGCGCCATCGGACTCAGCATTCCTTCATGCTTGCTTACTTGAAGCTTTCCTTCGGCTCTCGACATTTGAATCTCCGGCTCGACATTTGAATCTCCGGAAACCGAGCATCGCGTGGTCTGTCGCGACAACCGCCAGTGGCGCCTTCCTTCTGGTCCAATCATCGTACAGATGGACTCATTCTCTCACTTGAAGTACTAGACTGTATGTGGGAAGGATAAATCCGACTTGAATGAGAGGATGCGGTACTATCCCAACGTGACCATCTCAACTTTCTCTCGGCCTTGCTTGATGCACTTCCTGTCATGCCTATCATGTTGGTATCTCGCAAATGACCCGCTATTGTCTGATCACCGTGGAGCATTGAATTGCTTAGGGGTTTTTGCTGATGGCGATCCCTGTTTAGATCAAGATCCTCCTCACCCCAGCCTTCCTTCCCCAGCCCGCCCAAAATGAGAGTGGCTCAAGTGGCTCAAGTGGCTCAGGCGGCCCAAGGAGTTCGCAGGCATTTACAGAGCTGCCAACAACAGGCACCGAAGGATTGAAGTCCTGAGTTATGTCTGAGCCATGAGCCTTAGGCGGCGTTCTTGCTCATCTCCCCAAAGCATATAGAGAAAAGGCGGTCATGATATCAGAAAGATGTTTGTTCTCGCCTCAAATCTGGGTGGACGCTGTACAACCCGAGATGTGATCACAGTTATCGTCAGCCAAAAACGTTCCCAGCGGCGAACGGTGACACTTGGACCGATATGCAAAACGGAGTGGACGGGAGTAATCCGGGGGACGGATTGTTGCTGAATCTGACAGTGTGCATGGTGTTACCTGGAGCCTGTGCTTCAATCAGCTCGACATCCTCCAACTTCAGTTGCATCTTTTTAAAGGTCGCTATCTCCATCTTGCAATGTCGATCGGATGGATAACTCCCGACGATGACAATGTCTCCTGCTGTCCCCCCGCTACACTACCAGGCAGAGTGATCTCCGGAGACCCTTCTGAAAAACAATAATATCTTTTTAGGATTCCCCGCAAGCGCAAATCCCACGAGGGTTCATGATCTTGATGTTTCAGCAGTGACCAGGAGGGTCTGTCTTAGATGGGCAACCTTATCTTTTCACCCTTTATGTTTTTCGGATTCAGGGGATACCGAGTCGGGATTCTCAATGTCTTCTAGGCCGGTAACCAATGCTTGTCCAGGTACTACTCGTGGGTTGCCATGAGGAACTCCTGGACGTTTGGTTTGATACACTCCCGGCTCCGGCGCGAATCTGCGACACACAAAACACCAAGGTAGACAACAACCGGGTTCCCGAGAGCCTCTGGGCCTGTAGTACCTATCGCCACGGCACTTGTGAGGTTGTACAGGATATACGGGCGGACGGGTTACACCAAAGACCTCTGCCATTCAGTTGCGAACCAACGAGCCCTCCTCTTGACATCTGCGACAACTCCAATGGCATCGAAGCCGTTTCCTTTTGGCCAGTCATCTTTCTAGACGCTCCCCGTATCACACACATGGTACCGTAACCATCAGTTCAGTATCGTCGTCTACCTAGGGACCTAGACCTAGTAGCTATAGCAGATAAGAATTAATCGTGGCGTCTACTAGAACATCATCGTCACAACGGGGGTTATCATACAGCCATCTTAGAAGCAGGATTGCGTCAAAAATGATGCTCGCGCTCGTAGTTTTCCCAAAAAACAACGATTGAGAAATCTTGTTTTGAGGCATGACCGGTATGCGCTCAGAGAGAGGTCTGCAATTCCTTGAAGCAAGAGAAAAGATTTTCTTGATAAATGACATCGCTGGAATTCCAATCCAACGTATATCACTTCGTCTTAATGCTCGCTTTGACGCAGCATGGAATCATTGAGGGAGCGATCTCACCTCACCGCATTCCCGTCACCGAAGTTTTATGGTTGAATGGCTGGATGGCTGGTGAGCATCCCGTCATGAACATCAGGAAGTTGTGGTTCATCTTATGGCGTCATTGTCACTGCGCTGTCGAACCCCGACTCCCCGCTGTGGAGAGATGCGGCAGGCCGCTGAACGAGCCCGCCCTTTGCCCGCCCCAGGCCGCCGTAAGGGTCTGGCATGTTGCGCTGCCAGTGGCCCAAGCTCCAAGAGGTGCCCCGTCTCCAAAGTGGAAAGTGCGACCCCACCTGTTAAGCTTCTCGCGAAGGACGGGAAAGGAGGCTGTTCTTCAAAGGGCTTAGCTTCCTCTCTGCTTGGAGAAGCGAAGGTGGGGTAAGAACAATTTTCTAAAAATGAGTTTCTCCCCGCCGTTGCCCCCCGACCGCCCCGACACCCCCGGCCCCCGACCCGTGCAAGTCCGTGCTCTGACCGGTTCGTCCGGGGCACCGAGTTGCCGGGATTCTTTGACCGTCTTTTTGTGGGGTCGCTTCGGCGAAGCTGAGTTGAAGGTAGTTTCAACTTCACTCTGTCGACCATCAAAACTTCAGCATGACGCAGCAGGAGAGCAAGATATTGATTGATAACCGATCAGAGTAAAACCAGTTCCCGCTGTTCCAGCCAACCTGTGTAGCACAATACCGGTACTACAACTCCTCAGAATAAGTGAGCCTTGCCTGTGCTACGAACGTACGAACTGTACAACCGTTTTACCTTTTCCCCCCCATTCCGCGGCGTAGAACATCGATGGAAGACGGACGGGAACGACCGCCATATGGATCACTCACGGAACCTGTCACAGGCTCACAGCCAAGCCATCCAGCCATCATCTTGGCTTACGCATGGCGGGCATGGCGGGGTATGGTTCAAGACCGGACCCAGCCCTGCGGAGCAGACCTTTTCAAACGAGAACTTTTCGCGAACAAGCAGGCGAGGCCAGGTGAGGCGAGACGAGCGAGCACGGTGCGGGCCGCTCGTCGGCCGTTCGGTTGAGATACCCAGACCCTACCTGACCCAGACCCGGCCGCCAAAAACAGAGTCGGGGAAGGCTTGATAACCTACCGCCAGGACGGTCAAGCAGGGTTTCATTCTGTTACCGTACACTACTATGTAGAAGCGACTTTTAGTTAAAACTAAGGTCACCGCTTTTGCGGCTGTGATATGCGAGCGAGGATCGTGAGGCGGAGATCTATCTAGGATTCTAGGATTCTAGGCTGGGCTGGGCTGGGGGACCGGGGACCGGGGAGCCAAGAAAGTGGAAAAGGGTTCTCCAAACTAACGGTGACGGTAGAGGCGGTGTGTGTTAAACCTTGACTACACTGCACCGCACACCTTCTTGGGGACACCGCTTTGGCATCTGAAAGTGAAAAGTTTTCACTCCTCACCGTTTTTGTTGTGAGTTCCGTTTTCTTGTTTTACTAGTGTATGAAAAGTTTTTTTACTTGGTTGTCTGGATTTGACGAGCTGCTATGGTCCAAGTCATCGTGAGTGAGTGAGGAGCTAAAGCCGGAGGTCGGCATCCGGTCACTCCGGCTTACTTTCTCTAAGTTGCACACGCATAGTGTGTATCAACGTCGCCCAACCTCATACCAAGAGAAGTCTCTCCAACTACGGGAAATAGTCTTTTTCTTTTCTATGATACACCAGCGTGGTGGGACATCACAAACTTTAAAACTGAGTGTTACCCCGGACTTGAGACATCAAACCCAAAAACCCGGCTGCGTAACCTTTTGGATTTGACGTTACTCCAAGTCCCAAGTCAAAGACATGAAGTGGAACCTACCGAGTTTTCCAGAACACGGAGACATGATACGCAGACATTAATTGCGAAACATCCGAAACCGGGACTGAGTATATTACTGGTTGAAGAAGAAGATGGACGGAGACTCGGACATCCGATGGGGGGAGTAATGTTTCTGGAAGGACAGAGGATGGAGGTGGTGGACGTAACGACGAGTGCTGTACGTCGGCGGCGTAGTGGTGAATACTTACACCCAGTCTTCAGAGAGGTAAAGAGCATATTAGAACACACGAATTGAAAGGATATAGAGATAACATAGGCAAAACAGCTTGATTTGATTCTACCTCCAGTTCGGACTGTTCGATCTCGACAATACTAGGTGGTTTGAGCTAAGAGCATACTTGCATTAAGAACATAGAAAGACTACGAGGAGGACAAAGCCTTGCGGAACATAGCAAAACGGGGGTTAAACGTACTCGCCATGTTCCGTTCATTTTCACCACCACTCGTCAAGTGTCTTCAAGAGACCGTAGCAGGACACTAGGACTTAGTTGCGGGTAGATACTATTTCGCATAAAGCTTTAGAGTCGTAGGACACGACGGAACAAGCCGGCTGCTACCAAAAGAAACCAGAAACTGCCTCCTCGACGGGTTCAGCTAGGTCACTTGTGTAGCGTAGTCGACCGGACTATCTTTGAAGCAACCGTGATGTTCAACTTCGGCAGTGTTATAGCAGCGTCTGCTGGCCACATAAATGTTTGGAAACAAAGACCGGAACAAATGTTAGATGTCATGTACTCTCTTAATACCATGGGGCTTACTTGTCGTTTATCAAGTAGCGTACTCGCCGAACTTATAGGGGTACTATCTCCGAAGTTGGTAAGAGCTTGAACTCTTGAGGTAAAGGTGTTGTGGCAACCTGGTTTTTATCGAAGTACATTTGTCACCCAACAAGTCATAAGTTGTCACTCCAGAAAAACCACCTTGTTGACAACCAACTAACATTGCAATGCCTAGAGTATTTAAGAACGCAAGAACCAGAAAAGCAGCTACCTACTTTATGGCAGGTTAGATATACCATTCCCGGAATATTTTATATCACTCAACTAAAACGCCCTGGCTGCCTGGGAAGTTCAATCTCAACCACCTACGGAAACTGCCTCTTCTCCTCATCCACCGGCTCAATAGCGGCATTGACAAACAACGTATGCTTCCTCGGCTTCAGACTTAACGTATCTCTCTCACAATGCGAAGTCCGGCAACACCTCTCCTCCCTCAACCGCTTTACCTTGACCCTCTGCTCCTCCAGAACCTCGGGACTATCCCACATCCCCATCCTCAACCCTGCCAGCGTCTTAATTACAACAGACTCCTCATTGTCAAACCCTGCCAGCGTCTCAACCACAACAGACTCCTCATTGCCAAACCCTGCCAGCGTCTCAATCACAACAGACTCCTCATTGTCAATATTAGTAAAATGCGACGGCAGTTGTCCTCCTTCCATATCCAACCACGCCGGTCTATCCCGCCAGCTAACAAACTTGGCTCCCCATCCCGCGTGTACATGTCCAAAACAATGTAATCTCGGTCTGGCCATCCCCACGGCCGCGAAGAGGGAAGGACAGCCCAACGCACGTGTTGTTTTCGTGGAGGAGGAGGAGGCGGTGACGTCGTCGAGGACTCCGAGGGGTGGACCGTGGGTGATGACCACGTCTGGAGTATATCTAATATCAAAGACATGTCCCTCGGACTTGGTGTACTGAAAACCCCAGTTCCCCTTCCCCTTTCCTTGTTGTCCCACAAAGCAGTCGTCGTCGTCGTCGGGAGAGGAGGGTGTATAAGGCGAAGCATAGACGGATAAAGCAGCCCCGTTGCTTAAGGCGAAGTCATGACGTCCTTCATCCAGCAAGAAAATTCCGTCCTTCTCCTTTGTCTCTTCTAAAAGCTGCCGAGCTTGCCCTACTTTGCCGTAGACTTCGTATATTTCCTCCAGCTTAACCCCTAACTTGGTGGTGGTTTCCGTAATCTTGGCCTTATACACGGCATCGTCTAGAGTGAAGTCGTGGTTCCCGGGGATGACCAGCTTGAGCGGGGCCTTGATGGCCTTGAGAAGAGCTAGTGCGCTGGTGAACTCGGAAAGCGTGGATTCTTGCGTTAGATCGCCGCAGTGGATGGCTACGTCGACTGGCATAGTGGGAAGGGAGGAAGGGACGACGGCGGGCGACGCATGGGTGTCGATGATGAGGAAGCGGGTTTTGATGTCGGACAGGTCGAGGATGGGGGGGCATTTTATGAAGCTTGCGAACAGGTTGGAATTTGGCTGTGGGCTCGTTGGTTCGCGGATGAGAGCAGAATATCGTTGATAAAGGCCAGGGCTGAAGATACACTATGGAGGAGTTCGCAGCTGGCAACAAACCAAAAAGGCTTTGTAGTAGAGATCAAATATGGGGCTTCAAACAATATTTCGTTGAAAATAGGAAGAGAACTTCTAGAGTATTCCTGCTAGATTGATGCATTGGTTTGTATAAACAAATGAAGAGACACAGAACCTACGTTGGTGGTTACATGGCGAGCAAGTGCAAGAGGAGCTATTAGACTTCTCCCCAGCAGACCTACCTATGTAGTCAGTCTCGAGTACGCCTTCTGCTGATACTGAGAATGTAAAAAGAGTAGGCGGGACATAATGTGCTTGGAGGAAGGGGTGAGAGGAATTATTTACTAGGGTAGACTTTCGAGATATCACCGTAAAACATTAAAAGACAGACCAAATTCCCATTTCAACCTGGTTCTTATTAACCACCCATTTACCGTTCCCGTTGACACTCCTCGACCTACGCCCGCGGTTCCCGGGATTATCCCCCTTTGTCAAGCAGCTGAGCATGTCGTTCACATCCACGTTGAACAGTCAGGGCAGGCAAACAAACCCACAGAAACCCCCAGATTCCAGCTCATGGGGCAACAGTCCAGATGCCACCCACCATCTTCGAATGCAAGACCCAGCATTTCTGCTTCATACACAAACTACAAACTGACAATCAAAAAATACTGTCCCGCCTTTCTCTGTGTCCCGCTCTTGGACGGGTGACAGTATTTTTTGACTGGCAGTTTAACGCCACAAATCCTGCTTCTCCTTCTTCTTCTCCCCGGCACTGCTCTTCGGCCTAGGCCACAACTCCTCATCCCCACCCGAATCACCGCCAAACCCAGTCCCCCTATCCATACTCCCTCCCCTATTGCTTCTGCCAGGATCTTCAGCCGGCAAGGCCAAGAAGCCACCGCCAGCCCCGGCACCACCGATCAGCACGCTCCTCCTCGCACCAGCGCTGCCCATGGCATCCGCGTCCAGCCCAAAGGCGCTCTGTCGTCTCTCATTCGCGCCAGAGTGTCCACCGCCGACCTTTACAAAGGACCAGGTGGTATCGTCGTCGCCTTTGGTGAACACCTCGAGCTTGGCAGGGAGGTTTGCAAAACTGCCTGGTCCTGCGGGGGATGGGGCTACCAAGTTGGCAAAGGGGTTGTTGCTGCTGAAGCGACGGTTGGTAGGCGGTTGTTTGCCGCCTCCCGCCTGCATGAAACCCGAGAAGCTGTTGACGGAAGATACGGACCCAAATTGACGATGGCCGGGCACGAAAGGGGCGGTGGGAGGAGCAAAGCTGGATAAACTGCCTTGGTGTGCATGAAAGCTACCACCAGCACCAGGTCCAAAACCGCGATTCGAGCTGCTACTGGAAGGGCGTCCCATACCGGCTCCAGCAAAGCCGGGGGAAGGTGAGGGGAGACCGAGTAAGAGGTCGGGGAAGTTCGGGTCTCGCACATAGAGTGCCCGTAGGTTTGGTAGTCCGCCTGTCAGTAAGGAAGTAGCCAGAAAGCTGTAATAGCTAGACGTAATGCTGGAGTACTTGGGAGTCGACGAGGCCGCGGTGATCTCGTAGTGAAAGGTCTGGATACTTGTCGAGCTAAGAGTCTGTGCAAAGTATTGACCGTTGGCGGACGGCACGGCTTGGGTGACAGTGTCGATCACGGAAAGGTGCTTAAGCTTTGGAGCATACGGCAAGAACTCCTGCAAGGCCCAAGGGTATACGCCTGTACCGTTCAGGGTAAGCACTCGTAGTCTGCTCTGCGCGTTCGGGTCCATTAACCAGCCCCTCAAGCCTTCTGTGGTGACATTGGGAACGTTGGTAAGGATAAGCTCTTCAACTGGGGGAAACGGAGGCAACATGTCGTTCCACGCCAAAGTCTCATCGGTGACGCAGGGTGTGTCGTTAATCTTCAGGGCGCGCAAGTTCCCCAAGCAAGCAAGCACCCGGCGTAGGATTGCCGGGTCGACTTCTACGCGTACCAGCTCCAATACCTCCAGGTTAGGCCACACTTTTCCGGTGGCCAGCATCTGCAGACTGTGCTCTGCACCGGCCATATATGTCATCTTTCGTAGGTGAAGCAATCGCGCTTGTACTTCGAGCCGGAGGGTCACGAAGGCCGGATCATCTGCAAACAGGCCTTCGGGCAAATCGACATATTTGAGGTTTGGCGTCACAGCTATCGTCCGCGCCAGATCGGCCCGGCAGGATTCTCGCAGCATATAAGGCGTCTTGAAGAATTCCACGATCCTTCCTAGCCGCACGGGATCATCGCGGAGAGTGCGGCATAGCAGTCTGAGGCGCGCCTGTGCCGTATCCTCCGGTTCTCCATTGCGATCAAATCGGGCTTTACGCTTGCGGGCTTCGGCTAACTCTGCCTCGCGGTCGCAGTAATGCACCTGGTCGAGGCGGATGCTATAGTATCTGTTGAGTAGTCACCACGTCAGTATTCCTCCATCATAACGGCAGCAGGGAAACGATCCGAAAGAGTCTAAACATACAGAAGATTGACGCCCTCTCTCCTCCACCTCTTGCACACAGCGACACAATGCGCCAGATCGCGCAAGTCGCACAGCATGCAAGCATCTTCGACCGAGCTGGCTTCGCAAGTCTCGTAGCTCGTATCCCTGCTATGGGGGCATACAAAAAAGAATATGCGTTCGAGGATCGGGGCTGGGAGGTTCGCTAGAATCGTGGCAGACTGCCGCGTCACCATGGGGCGGTACTGAGTACTCCATGGACCATTTGAATCGTTCCGGCCGTGACCGTAGGAGGGAGATGGATTGATGTTGGGGCTGTAACCGAAGCCCGGCAGGGCGGCCGCTATGGCCGAACCACCGCTGGCCTTCCGCTTGTCTTTATTACGCCTGAAGAACTTCATGTTGTTGCGGACCCGTGATACAGTCTTTGCGACACGCCGTGGGATGGAGGTTCGCCAGAAGAGGAAGTAGAAAAAGGAAGAAGAAACAAAGGAAGAGTTGAGAAGAGTGGTGTCGTGTGGTTGAAAGGGGCGGCTGCCGCCCTGGAGAACCGACGATCCAAACCCTGGGTAGGGTCGAAATATCGTTGGGTTGGTGGGACCTGGATGGCGATCGCAAGAGTGGTTGATGTTAGGTTGCAGGGGCGCGAACCCGCCCGGCCACTGTTGTCGAGGGGAAGTTGTCAAGGGGGGCCTGGGGTATTTCCGCGTTGGGGCGTGAATGCGCAGGCTGTGCCGCTGTTGTTGCTACCCCTAGCGTGGGGCCTTTAATACCCCGGCAAACTAGCACCGACCGATAGCTTCGCGTGTTTCGTTTCACCACTGCCCGGAGTGGGAATTGTTGAAAGTCCTGTTTGCTAATTGCGGCGCCTGGTGGGAATGTGTTGAATATATGAACGAATGCGCAGATGCCGTCCTAGGGAAGCAGTCAGGCAGCGCACAGGCTTTGAAGCAACGCACGATAGGTGTACGTGGTGTACTAGACAACGGCTAGGGTCGCACAGGACTTGATGTGCTTGCTGAAGGAACGTCGGGTGTTTGCACGTCGTGACCGAAAACTGTTGCAACCTCAAGCAGGTCAAATAGCCGAGCGACTTAGTTATGAACATTTCAAAGCACAAAGCTCAGATTGAAGTGAACGCCATCTCGTCTCTGCCGCCAAGCAACCGTCCGTCGTTGTCCACTTTCCGTTGCTGGAACATGCGTCACGGAATCGGTCTAGGACACTTTTCTGCCTTTGACACCTTGACATTACATATCGAAAATGCATTTTTGCTTCAAACGGGCCAGACCGTCCACAGATGACTGGGCAGATGAGACAAAGAGACGAGTTCCTGACTTGTAATGATTGGTAACTGAGGCTTGTTTGCTTCGTGCCCACCTGATGTCCTTGTAAGTGGTAACTAATATCTGGAGTGGGGACTTCATTGCACGTTGTTCTGCAGCCCATGAACGCCATGGTTGTCCCCCTGAAAAGGCCCTTTGCAAGTCAAGCATTCAGCCTTGAAAACAGGTACGCAGGGCCTACATATCCAACATCTCATTAACAAGGACATCCCGCCTATCTGCGCACATGGAATCAACACCATCAGTGTCCTGAGAAAGCCGGTTCTATTAGGTACGAGAAAACGATGCAATCCTCCGCCGGGCAAATACACTGTACAGTTACATACACCGTTGGTCCTGTTCCTACCCCATTGTACCTGCTCAAAACCCAAAGTCGAACACTGGAACTCGCTCCGCTGTGGCTTCACGAGAGCTTGACTTTACCGGGGACCAGGAAGGTTGAAAGGAGGACCGGGAGGATATTGCGTCCCCATGTCTCGGTCCTTCTCCCGTCAACCCTTACACCTGCTCGACCCGACAATCATAGGACAACCTCTTCGTCTTGCTATGCTCTGCGAGCTCCAGTGCTCCCGGGGACCACGGTGAATGGCTCGGACGAACAAATCAGATTTCCGCCCAACGAAGCCCGTTACTTTTGAAATATCAACGCTGGCAACCAATTACTGAACGATGCTTAAGAGAAGATTGAGGCAAGAAGCCCGCGTTACTTGCTGCCGTTGATTTGCAGTCCTTGAATACCGTCAAGAGGGCTACCTGGCCCCGTGCGCTGCTTCAAGGTAAGCGGGAAAGGGTACTCGTCGGGGTCCTCTTCGTCACTAAAATCGGTCAAGTTAGTATCATGTTTTGAACATTTTGAGGGAACATTGTCACTTACGGCAGCTTCCACGCAACGTAATCCTCGGTACTCAGACCCTCGTGACTCTCCTGAAGACTAGCGAAATCGCCAGGGGTCATCATACCAGTCCGGTCTCTAGGCGAGCCCGGTACTGAGAAGGGACGAGAAATCTTTTGCTCGACTCCTGGGATGAAGTCTTCCTCCTCGTCGCCATTGAAAGATGTGGGATAGGCGCGGCGCAACGCAAGTTGGCGTGCCTTGACGTACTCCATGCCCATGCGCTTCCAGTCCAAGAGATCGCTCAAACGCTCGGTTCTGTTTCTCTGGTTGATACGCTGTCTGCGGCTCTTCTGAGTAAAGTCAAACATGTACTGAGTAAGCTGGTTGACCGAGTCATCGACTCCCTTGGAGCGACGATCCACGATATAGATACCGTAGTCGGCCGAGTTCTCAATGAGCTCCTCCATGTAACAGCCGAATCCAGAGAGGTTGGTGGTGATGCTTGGTACACCCATAACAGTGCATTCTGCCGGAGTGTAGCCCCAAGGCTCATAGTAAGAAGAGAAGACACCCAGATGGGTGCCGCGCACAAAGTCGTCGTAATCGAGAGGCAACACGGGGTTGGCCGAGCTCAAGAACTCGGGATGGAAAACAATCTTGACGCGGTCCGAGGGATGGTTGAAGAGTTGTACCCGGCGGATCTGGTTCAGAATCGGGTCCTCATGGTCGTTGAGCATGTTGTGGGTAACAATGGGTGGGAGCGTGTGCCTCTTCATGGCGAAGAGACGACGACGAAGGAGAACACGGTCCTGGCTGGTGATCAGCTCCTTCTCATCAGGCAACGGGTCGCCTTCGTGCCACTTGAGAGAGCGCTCGAAGATGCGGCGGCCAATTCCACGCTCGATAACATCGACGGTATCTCTCAGAGACTTGATGACAGCCTGCCCCTTCAATGCTTCAACAGTCAAGGAAGTGGTCTGGGCAGGCATAATAATGAAAGCAACAACCGTCGTCTTGCTTCCGGCGGTCTTGAGGCGGTGGTTGAGGCGGGCAAGCGACTCGATAAACATATCCACACCCTTATTCCTGAACTCGTAGCGACCCGCAGTAAAGAAGTAGAGGGTGTTTTCTGGCTCGAAATCGTAATGGCCATAGAAGTGACCGCGGACAAAGTCGTGGATCTTCTCCTTGTTTTGCTGGTGGAGGTTCTGGAACTCGTGCATGGCCGAGAACTTGGTGACGTTGAGACCGTTGGGGAGGACACCATCGGGCTTGCGCTTGAGCAAATGCTCACTCTCGTAAGCTGTGATGTGGGAAACGGTGGTGAAGACATCGCAGGAATGGGCGGCAGCTCGCTCGATGCAGTATCTATGATAGATACCGCGCTTTCCAGCCTCGGCATCAACGTCGAACCACTGAAGGTTGTTGTAGAAGTCCACTGAGCCGGCGCACAAATAGCGACCGAGAAGAGTGGCATGTGTCGTGAAGATGGTCGTAACGTCAATCTGTCTCCTCTTGGTCAATGGCAGCGCGACACCGGCAAGCCATTCGTGGAAGTGCGCGATAACAGCCTTCTTCTTCTCATGGCACACAAACTGCAAGTCTGTTAGCTTCGGGCGCCTCTCTGCTTTGTGGAGCAAATACTGACCTCGCCAAGGAACCATGCGACCAGGTAACCGAAGACAATAGCCTCGTTCGTCTCTTCGTCGTTGTCCGGAGATGGGATGGAAGCAACATTCCAGAGGTCCGTCTTCCACTCGTTCAAGTAACCGTAGGCGGTCTTTGTATCGAAGAGCAACACTCTGGGAGCTCCCTCAATGAGCCATCGTCCGTAGAGAATGCCGATGCCACGATCTTTCATGGCCTGGATCGTCGCCTTTAGTTCGGGGTTGTTAGGCTCCAGTTCTTCAACCTCGACGGCCGCCTGTAATCATTACTGTCAATAACCATGTTCCATACCACGGAGTGTAAGGGGCGTAAGAGCAGCGTACCGATTGGTGGTTTAGGGGACCGATAAGAGTGTAACGGTCGCCATATTCAGCGGTTGTAACTGGCGCCTTCGACTTGAGAACGGAGTAGATACCACCAACTAGAACAATTGTTAGACTGGAAGCTCCTTTCTGGCACAATTGGTACTTCTGCGCATACCTCGATGGGCGACCTCGGTCGCAACCTCAAAGAGGAGGTGGTTCTTGACCTCGCGGGGTTCACGGTTGTCGTGGGCCATTGTGGCTCAGCTTCTGTCGTCCGAGCTTCGTGTTAGTAACTACAGAACACTGATTTTTCAGGTTCGTAGAGAGGAAGAGAGGACGAGTAGAGGTAGCAAGAAGAGGGATAAGCAGATGGTTGGGTTCTATTTGAAGCAGATCAGGTCGACGTAGCCAGGACGAGACAACACGCACTGGTGGGGTTCAGTTTCTAGGAATGTCACCTGGAATGGGGCCTGGGTGGAAGCTTCAGGGGTGCAGCTGGGGATGCGGAGCTTTTATATGCTCGGCCGGAAGCGGGGAATGGGGGCCTCACTGAAGGTACTGGAACCCGAAGAGGAACCTGAAGCGAGTTTCCAACCTCCTCCCGCCGTACGGCGTCGAGTTCTAGGTTCGCTTGGGAGTCTGGGCTGTGAATACCGGCTCGACGGCTCGATACAGGTGCTGCAGTGTGGCAGGGAGAGAAGTGAGTGTGTCTCACAACCTGGAACGTACCTCGAAGAGTTCCACCTCTAGGGCAGGGCAGCGCAATGGAACTGGAAAACAGTGGCTTCGGGCAGCAACAGAGGCAGATCTGGAACTGAACAAATCTCACGATATACTACTCAACCCGAGGAGTAGAATTCGTGTGACGCAAGGACCTAGTGAACAAGGGGAGGCGCGTATGAGGCGACGCGAGAAGTCTGCCGCAGACGAGATGGGTACGGTAGGACAGACAAAAGACAACGTTGACAACCTGAAGCTGGAACTGGATGAAGAGGAAAGTAAGTAGGTAGTGTCGGCGGTTGGATAGGATAATTGGGCAGTAACGCTAGACGTCTGGGTAGAAGAGGGGAGAAATTTTGTTTATACTCTGGACTGGGGGGCAACACTGCTACACAAATACATAGTAGCTACCTACTACGTACAGATCATGATATTACAATCCCAATGGGATGCTATGTATTCCAGGTTGCCGCCGTCAAAAGGTTACCTCTCTGTTCGGATTGTCCGATCTCGATGGCAACTCTGGA